GCCCCTCGTCTTATTTGCCATTCTGGCACGTTGTTGATGCACGGCGGCGGTTGATAAGCATCTGTGATTGCTTGCGATGAACAAGTACTCCGCACTATGCCGAAAGATAAATGGTCAAACTTGAAGCCACAGGTGCCCGATGGAAATCCATACGTAAGTATGTAATCGGTTGGGTTGTTGAGCAGCCATGTGTACATGTGTGGAGCTACATAGTATATGGGGGCTGGTCATCGTGGTTCGTAGCATGGTGTATAGGCGGCTGGTAGGTATGTATCAACTAATATAATCTAGATAGATCCCGTAGATGCTATGTTTCAAACGTCTATTAAGCTTGTTCCTGCATTGGCATGACCCTTTACTGGCTGACTGGCTACACTACAGACCAATGACGTGGCTGGGTAGTTGAGTTGGACAGATTTGTTGCAGCGCTTGGAAAGTCGGGGGCGTGAGATCCTCAGTCACTTGATTGGCTCCCTCAGATTTTTCCCTCCCTTACCGGTCGCCCATGGCCGCAGGCAAAAGAACAGAAATAGAAATCTTCATTGCGTCTGGACCATAGATCTCGTGTTGTCCGAATGCTTGGCACTTTATAGATACCCGCTGGAGAGTGAGATTGGTGTGTGTAAGCCTGTAAGGGAGGGGGGCAACGAATAAGCGGCATGGATGAGACCATTCTTGCAGTGTTGGATGGCGGCTCTACTATGTACTATGACAAGATGCGTATGATCTCACACACACACACACTCGCACAAAAAGGTTATTCTTAGTGTCCGTCTTAGAGTGAGAGGAAAAAAGATCTGCAGGCACGTCGAGATCAACGTCGTTGGCTATGATTGATTGGGTGGTGGGATAGAGAAATATGCAAACAAGTTAAAATGGTACTATGTTACTATGTATTACATATGGTCTAAGAGAAAGCTTGGAACTTATGCAGCGAGCCGTCATATCGTACTATCTACTATCGAGAACGGCAAGCGCCGTGAGACTAGAGTACCTTGTTTAGTACCTACTCCACGTTATCATTACAGTTGCCTTCACAGCCTGCCCAAACCCGAGTAGGTACATGTTAAGGTTAGGTACATATCAAATAGGTTAGACAAGTACTATGTATCTACGTAGTAGTACACACTAATCGAATGCAAATGGCAGGGTGCAGGTCATGTGGTTGACTAGGAGCTTATTACTCCTACTTGCTTATTGACACTTATTACATGTTTAGGTGAATACTACTAGGTAGTAGTTAGTACTATGTACTACTAGTAGGTAAGCCACTTGTTTCTATTCATCTTTATATGATGCTATCGAGAAAAAGCCACACCCGACTTACTACGCTGACTGCGCTACAAGCTTCATCAATGAAGAACTCCAATGAAAACTCCAATGATTATTCATGGATAATTCTGAAACGGGATAGACCCGGCACGATGAACCTAATTGATGCAATCCAGGGTAGTCAACTATCACGCTCCAACCTTTACCAAATCGCGGATGGGCCAAAGAGTTCTATCATCTCATTGGTGTGCCTGGATTCTGCATGAACGTGGGCCGCAATCAACCTTGAAAGCACCGAGAAATGTTCCCTCTAAGGAGTTAGACTGCTCCACAACCACATCTTAAGCTGTCAATCTCATCCCGTACCAGCCGTACCTTACATGTTTTTGTGGGCGGTCAGGTTGTGAAGGACCAGGTTCATCAACTTCTGAAACAGCCGCCTATCGAACTCTCCAGGGTGTAATTACTTGAACGAGGATTAGCTCGTCACAGGTTCTTCCAGAACAGAAAGGACATTGAATTAGGAAATGTGACGACTTTGAAATGCCTACTAGGCAGCTGCTACTGCATAGTTAGTAGGTAGGTACTACTAGTAGTAACTACTAGGTAAGGCCATTATGCCATGTTTTCTTCTACTACAACACTACACTACACCACACTAGGTTGCTGCTAAGCACTTACATACCTAATCTAGGGTATTATACTACCTAGTACCTACTAGCTACACATCTATGTAGCGACAGTAGCTTATAATAACATTACAATTAATTCCAATTAGGTTATTGTCCCGTCAGATATCCACACCAGTATCATCCCGCCCGAGCGGATTAACTAAGCTTGTGACTTGTGAGCACGATTGGGCGCGTGCATACCATTGAAGACGAGACGGCCTAGATTCGACAAGACCCATGACTTCGAACTTGATGTTGGCGGCAAGAAACCACGCCGACATACATAGAGAGAGAAAGAGACTACCTAGATGGATAGCCCAATCATCCATACCTACCTAACTACATATCTTGGTAGGAGTCAAGCTACTTACTGTTGGTATGTACTACTAGTAGTATATACAATCCTTCACTCTCACCTTGTGCTTACCTATTGCTACGAACAGATACATATATTGTATGTAGGTAGGTTCAAAGTTCCCAACGATGCTTCAGTTGGATCACTTGACGAGCTGATGATATGTATGTAGGTGTGTAGGTAGGCTTGTATGCAATGCCATCTTATCAGTCTGTTTGTCGTTGTTTCATATCTCGGCATTACTTTCCTAGAGTTCGTGATGACTTCTACTAGGTTAAGGCTTGGCTCCCCAGAGATCGACTCGTTTCACCCTTTCGGACAATTTACACCTTCCCCAATCGTGGTTTATGAACCGCAATTAGAAAGTTTCTCACTACGACCCCCCGCCTGACCACGACCCTACTGAGCTAGGACCCAGGCCACCATGCCATCCCTCGTGGGTCCTCTGTGCTTTGACCCGAACTCTTCTCCTACCAGGCGAAATTCTGAAACGCTGGCAGCTAAGTGTTTTGAGTTTCAGCCCTTTTTGATGTCGAGTCTACACTAAATGGCCTCTAGAGTCTACCGGCCTCGTAGTGTATGTGTGTGTGTGGACGGCAGTTACCACGACGATGTTACGAAGTAGTCCTATCTGACCTACAGCCTCAGATATACTTCTTGTCCTTTTCTGGTTTAGCTGTATGCCGTAGGATCACAACCCCTATGTTTGTCCCTCCCCGCCCAACGCACCACCGTCATTTCCCCAGAACCCATGAACACCACTGTCAGATTTCTCAGGTTTTGAGGCACAGTTTCTGGCTCACAAGTGGGCTAATAGGCCCAGTTGTGAGCCCACTATGTGAGGTATTCTCCGAGACTAGATCGATCTGTGATCCGGTCACCGGGGCTATCCGGCAGCGAACCGGCCCCACCGACGGGGAGAGAGCGATCGTCTTCTGAAACTGTCGTGGGCTCCTGGACACTCCCGTTGGACAGACCCTGAACGTTTCTCCTTGGCAACCGACTGCGGCATAAATGTTTAGCAGTCCAGAAGTATTCTCGACGAGGATCAGGGTTCGTCGGTAAATCACCTCGAGGCGAAGTGCTCGTAGATCATGGTTGCCTCTCAACTATGTATGAACAATCCCGACTACCCTACCCCGCCGCATTACTACTTAGGGCTCAACGTGGGCATAGGCAACTGGAGAATCCTATCATAGTAAGCCCTGTCTCGCCCAGCCGATGTTACCAGCCTTGTGCATTCGGACGTTTGCAATCCGAGGTGCTATTTTAAGATCCTAACCAGACTTTGGTCTCGATAAAGTCCTACAAAATCGTAGATTCATGGAACTGTATTTCTTATGAAATCCATCTTAGATACGTTTACTAAGATGGATCTAAACAGAGTTCGAAAGGAAATGTCCCCAACGATTGAAAATCCTCCGAATTCACGTGGCAATTCGATGCAGAAGGCGAATCTAGAATATTGCCATCGACTTGCCTCTCTATGGGGGCCGTGGAATAGCCAGCCAATGAAAGTTGGCAATAATAGATCATGAACCTGGATGGTTCGATAATACCCAGTTAGGTAAGACGAGCTCCCTCTAGACCATAGGTGGGCTATCCTTTTCCTTTTCCCCGAATCCGGCAACTACCCAAGCCGCGTTCAGGTATTCCCGCTCCGAATCAGGGAGTCATAGCAAAGCGCACAGATATATCTAGAGGCCATAGCATATGGACTGGGTAGACAGAGGTAACCTGCCAGTCACGCACCCCGTTAGCGCCCTCTGTATGATCATCGGCCGGGTCACGTCATGGCTGCCGAAGGGGACCCTGGAGGCGATCGGACCTCGTCGTCAACCTGGAAATACTTATCGTATCCTGGCAAGTAGATTGCTATCTCTTATGAACGACTGGTTGTTGATGGGTTTTAAGACGGGAACTACCGTAGTGAGGATACAAGATGTCGAGGGTAGATTACCTGATCGTGATAATACAGGGGCTCTGCCTGGATTGGAATGGGTTGGGTTAAATTACATCATGCTTGGTAGCCTAAGTCTGGTGTAGAAACTATGAGAACTGCTGTTTGAATACTGTGTATGCAGAAGTAATGTACGTGCAAGAGCGGCATATGGATATGCTGGCTATAGTACCTAAACTCAAACCCGTGGGGTTCTCTACGAGATTATGTAGGTACTCTGGTTGCCTCTCAACCTCACGAGCATATCTCTGGATATACATACCTATGGTAGGTACTTATTTAGTATAGGTACGCTGCCGTGCCATATTGCTCTCAACATCAGTCCCCTAACTTATTTACTGCCACATCACAGCTAACTAGCAGTCTGAACAATAGTTAGTCACATAGCGGAATGTCTGTGGATCCATCAAGGAGCGAGGTTAGCGGCACAAGCACAAGCACATAGAGTTTGCGGGTATATTGATCAAAGTCACGATCTTCCTGCCTAGGTTTCAACGCATCTAGCTCTTCATTCTGTTAGGACATGACTTAGGGAATAGCCGTAGGCCATGATGATGATGGCTAACAACTTGAGAGGGTATCTGCGAGATCCATTAGCCAACCCGTAATGGAGAGCAGCGACGTGATACGCGATCAAGAAACTCGATTAACCCGCAGGTACGTAACAGGGGAGAGCAATCAAAGATATCGATCAAGAGGATACTCATATCTAGGTGTTGAAAAGGAGCTCGAAACAGCCGCCTATCAGCTGACTAAGGGATCCCTCTCGGAAAATATCTCGTGCTCATGCGGCTTCAAAGGAGACTAGACATAGTAGTCATTCACTACTGATAGAATTTACTCAAGGTAGGTAGGTATACGAAATATAGGTAAGCGTAGAAGTACATACGCCTACAAGAATTTGAATTTCAGAGCCGAGCGGGATCCTATGGCTGATCTGATCATGACAATGGTGGCTGACAGGCCGTTCTATGAAATGTAATATAAACGGGAACCACTCCCCTCATTGTTCATTAACCATTAGCCGTAAACAAATCATCCCGTCATTCTATCTCGTCCGCAGTCACTCCAAAACATCAAATACAACAAATGACCCCCCCTGTACGCCAAGAAGCCGGCTATACTATAACATGACTCTAACTCTATGCAAAGCAGGGAAGGAAAAGAAAAACCAAATAAAAGAGCCAAAGGTAGGGAAAGCGTTCATAGAAAGCCATCGGTCCTCGGCTCAGGCTTGGGCTTGGGCTTGGGCTTGATGCCGAGACTCTTAAGCGCGGCCTCGAGGTCGGGGAGCTCGTCGGCGGAGGCGGCGGGCTTGGCCCACTTGACGGTTCCCGTGGTGTCGAGGGAGAAGGCGCCGCCGATCTGCCAGCGGTTGCCGCTCTCGGTGGCGCGGTTCCAGATGTTCTCGTCCTTGCCGAGGCGGAAGGTGTTGTAGAGCGTGAGGGGGCTGAGGACGTGCCAGGTGTTGGAGATGCCGAGCCCCCACTGGGCGTACAGCTCGCGCTCGTAGTCCACGATCACCTGCACCTCCCAGTTGCCCCCCACCTCGATCACCCAGCGCTCCGTGGCCTCGGGCGACGAGTGCGATACCGCGATGAAGTGCACGTCCTTGTGCTGCGTCGAGAGCGCGGTCAGCCGCTTGAAGGTCTTTTCGGCAACTGTAATGGCGTGGGAGATGTTATTGGTTAGGAAGGGTTCTATCTTTTGAAGGGATATGGAGCTAGAAGTCTTGGAAGGAGAGGGACTTACAGGGACAGCCGCAATGACGCAAGAAGACGATGATGGTGGGTTTGTCGGTGGGAAGTTCGAGGCTGGGATGCACGGGCGCCTTTTCGCCGGCCTTGGGGATGGGCGACAGCTCCTTGGTGGGAGGTGTCTTGAAGGATTCCCACTCTTGTGAGAGGGTCGCCATTGTGTGGGTAATGATGTATGATGGTTGGAGCTGTGGTCAAATGAAAGGTCTGACTTGTATTTTCTTGTATTGTCTTTAGAGATGTTGGATGTTTGGATGTTGGATGTTTCGATGTATGATGTTTGGACAAGTAAACTATTTGAACCGACGATAAGCATAAAGTTAAGCTTACATAAATGCAAGCGGCAATTGGCGGAAGCATTAAGTTTATGAAATTACATAAGATCCATCCATATATTGCATAAAGTAGAGGATAATAGTATCACTCTACCTGGTACTAATAATACCGTACTATACCTAGGTACCCACCCAAGGTATACAACAGTTACAACTTCATCTGTTTGCCATGCGTGAGATAATTACTCTACAACTCGGCCAACAGAGCAACTACTTGGCCACTCATTTCTGGAATACCCAGGAATCCTACTTCACCTACGGCACCGATGAGGAGTCACCCATCGACCACAATGTTCATTTCAGGCCAGGCCTTGGCGCTGATGGCTCCGACACTTTCACGCCTAGGACAGTCATCTATGATCTAAAGGGGGGGTTTGGCACTCTGAGAAAGATTAATGCGTTGTATGAGATAGGCGATGATGCTGCCTCTAGTAGTTTGTGGCCTGGCCAGATGGTGGTCCACAGACAGCCGCCCATAGAGACAAGTGCATTTCAGGAGAGCCTCGATACTGGCCAGACACCTCCGGAGCTCAACACGAGCACGGTCAGATACTGGTCTGACTTCAATCGCATCTTTTTCCATCCGAGGTCTATCATCCAACTCAGCGAGTATGAGCTCAACTCGACTATCCAGCCCTTTGAGAAATGGCATATGGGTGAAGACCTCTTCGCTTCCCTCGACAAGGAGCACGATCTTCCAGATAGAGATCTTCGCCCTTTCGTCGAGGAGGCAGACCAGATGCAAGGATTTCAGATCATGACCGGCATAGATGATGCCTGGGGCGGGTTTGCAGCTAAGTACATAGAGCGACTCAGGGATGAGTATGGTAAGATTCCTATATGGGTCTTTGGAGTCCAGGAGCCTTCGAGGGGGCTACCAAGGGTATATTATATTTCTCTTCTATAAATCTATCAGGATACTCAGTAGCATATCACGGAATCATCATACACTGACAACAACAAAACAGGAAAAGAGAATGTTGAAGTTAGTAAACAAGGCCCGGACCCTGGCCGAGCTCAATTCACAGGCATCACTAGTTGTTCCTCTCGCTTTACCTGAGAAGCCCCTACCCTCGTCCATACGACTTGATGCTTCATCTCCTTGGCACGTATCCGCCCTCTTTGCTGCTGCTCTAGAAAGCATGACACTATATACCCGACTAAAGACCACTGATCGTATATACTCGAGTAACCTTGGTAACATGGCAGACCTCTTGAACGTGTTTGGAAAACAGACTATCGCGAACCTGGAGATGAGTATATTCGAGACACCGGATTCCCAGCAAAACGGCAGCGCACCCAGAACCTCCAACGGCTTAAATGGCCGAGGAGAAGCGGTGGGTAACGGGAATGGGCATGGGACAAGTATGGAGGACGATTCCGAGTCTGGCTCACAGAAAGGGAGTGTGGCTTTGGACATCGATCTATCGTCCCCTCAAGACCTCAACGTCGATCCAAACCGAAGACGTCGGAAGCGTCACATTTTTAGTCAGGTCCTAGCAGATAGAGGGCTGCAAAACTTAGACGCAGCTCATGCTCGCGACGACCTGGAGATGAGGGAGAGAGGTAGAAATGGCATGCAGCGCCGCTCCAAGGTCCACAAGTGAGTTGGAGGTCGTGACATGCTATTAACTTTTACTCTTGACTGACTGACGCAGCTACCGTTCGCGAATGGCCTTCCCGATCATCGACAGCTATCCCAAGATATTCGCGGACAAATACGGCCATCCCATAAAGGATCACTTGTCCGTTCAGACAGCACTGTCCACGGACTCGACCGTAACAGATAAAGTGAAGGCGCTCCGCACCACTGTCGTCCGCTCGCTCGGTCTAGAAGACCGCGAGACCATAGGCAACGAACTCGCTGAGATTGCGGACAGCTATAAGGAAGGCTGGTCGAGTGACAGCGATGAGGATGATGATGATGATTGAGTGGTGAACAAGGGCTCATACTTAGGTAGGCACTTACTACGTTACCTTACGTTAGTTACCTGTAGGTAATCCATCGGTTGCGAGAATACCTACCAATTCGATCTGGCCTATAACTTGGCATATTGAATTAGGTATACTGCCACCGCAGACTATCTTTTCTTTTGCTAAATATTGATAATTATCTCCGCTTGCCTACCTACATAGGTAGGTAGTAGATCCTTCATCCCTAGCCCTTGCCCGTTCCCGACGGTAACCCTCCCCCTATTTGCCTGCGACTGTGCATGTAGGCACATACATAGCTTGACTCTATCTCTGCCCGGTCTAAACACCTGTGGCCTCGCTCTTCTAGATAGTATATGCCTAATCTTCCCAGCAAATAGGCCGGAGATGATTTCGCATAGCACAGGTCTTGGCTAGAATCAAGTACATACCTACCTAGGTAGGTAACCTAGGCAACTCTACCTACCTCGCGCGGATCTCCCCCCCCCTCCCCAAATCTCAACCCGAGCTCTTTTTCATCTACATAGGTTAGCTCAGTCCACCAGCCAAACAAACGTACCCGTAGTCAATGTATGCATGCCCAGAGTACACTGCCTAATCTCAGTATATTAGGTACCTATTAATACCCTTGATCTACCTGCCTACCTACCTACCTACCTACCTACCTACCTACCTACCTACCTACCATCTGTAGCTATCCGAAGAGGAGTAACCGTTGTGTTCAAAGCACGTAGCCAATCCGCTCCCTTCCCGTACACGTACACGGCTTCCCCCCTTTCCCCCCCAAAGCCAAGCCAGTTAAAACCGGGCCGATGAACGAAGTTCCGTACTACGGCCCGAGCATCGGACCCCCCACACGCAACGTATGATGTATGATAGCGTGGGTATGAGGGGAAAATATATTCTCGGGCGGGTGTGTGTGTAGGCACCCAGGTAGGCAGGTTACGGGAGGGTCGTTGTAGCCAGCCGGTCTTCGTCGTGATTGCTTGGGGGGTTTAGACAGGGTTTTACGTTCGGATAGCTCAAGTAACGTAAGTAGATAGGTAGGTGGTAGGTACCTGGTGTATAGCTGACGAAAAGACTATTATTCGTAGGAAGCATGAATATGTAGGAGAGAAAATCAGATAGTAACAATACCTGATTGGTGTTGTTGTTGTTGTTGTTGTTGTTGTTGTATATAACGTGTATCTCCACATTGCTACATACAATATAGGTATCAACTGTACCTACCTACCTACATATGTACAGTACACCCAACCACATACACACCAGCCAATGAAATGTAACGTGTATGAAGCAGAAAACAAGCCATCGCGTCATTTACCGTGTCCATGGACTCGGGATGAGTTCACTCAATTTTCACTGGTAGAAATCACAAAAAAGAAAAGAAATCAAGTACATATGTAATCGTTATTGCATGAAATTTCCTTTCTCCGATGACCTGTCATTATTGAAAGTAAGATGAAGATTTGCTGCCCTAAAAGAGAAGAGGATGGGAGACGGAGTGGAGATGGTAGCGTTACGATATATCTGCGTCATCGTCCCTCATTTATACCTAAGCAAACCCCTTTACCATTGTAGAAACCGCTCTTTATATCGAGTTATAAAATTCCTTTTTTGCCTTATTTCTCCTGCCTGTTGCCTACCTAGCAGATAGATACCTACTACCTAATCTAGGCTTCTGGCACCAGCCCAGCTCGTCAATTGCCCGCCCCTATCTCCGGCTTGCTGAAGAAGTCATTGACTACAGCGGCAAACGTATCAACTATAGTCTCCACAACCTCCCGAGTGATGTTATACGCAGGCATGATCATGATATGGTCGCCCCTGCTGTGCCCAGCGCACCCCTGGCCATAGTAGACTGCCATGTTGTGAGGGGGGCGCAAGGTCGCCTCGTGGATGCGGCGCGAGAGCTGCAATTCTGGGTCAAATGATTCTTTGGTCTCCTTGTCTCGGACAAACTCGACGCCCCAGAACAAACCTTTGCCCCGGATGTCGCCGACATTGGGATGGCTTCCCAGCCTGTCTCGGAGCAGTTCCTCTAGGTACTGGCCTTGGGCCTGGACATTGGGTAAGAGGTTCTCGCGCTGAACAATTTGCTGCACCCGTAGCGCTACGGCGCAGGTGATGGGATGGTCCATGTACGTGTGCCCGTGCGTGAAGGTTGCGTTCTTTGCTGTCATCGCCTGCTCGATTTTCTTGCTTGCTAGGACGGCAGAGACTGGCTGGTAGCCGCCACCAAGGCCCTTCCCTAGTGTTTGTATATCAGGGATGACGCCTTCTTGCTGCCAAGCATGGAGGGTTCCCGTTCTTCCCATCCCACACATGATCTCGTCTAATATGAACAGGGCTCCGTATTTATCGCACACGGCTTTCATAGCAGGGAAGTAGCCAGGGACAGAGGGCAAGCAGCCGGCAGCAGCCCCAACGACAGGCTCGGCTATGAATGCCGCCACAGTATTGGGCCCAGCCCTAATAAACGCTTGCTCTAGCTCGCCCGCCTTGCGAGAGACAAACTCGTCATCAGATTCTCCTGCATATCTCTGTCTATAAGGGTTGCAAGCTGGTATTCGATAAACATTGGGCATCAGGAGTGGTTCAAACGGGCCCCGTCTACTTAGGTGTCCTCCTATAGATAGTGTTCCCAGGGTGGTCCCATGGTACGACTCCTGTCTGGCGATGTAATTGATGCGCTGGGGCTCACCCGTCCACACAAAATACTCGCGGGCAAGCTTTGTTGCAGCTTCCACCGCTTCAGAACCTAATATCCACGAAGTTGTAGCCAGAGCACCGGATATATAGGGGCCGAGGACTTGACAAACCTGAACACATGATCCACGCTTTGGTGAAGTGCCCCCCAGAACTGTCCGTTAACCATTTGCATAGATCTCGTCGGCTCTGGCTGTCGAAGAAGCCCCAGGGAACGTAGGAGACAGTAGCTGCCTGGGCGACAATAGCGTCGGATACTTCTTGCACGCCGTGACCAATGCACTGTAAGACTTATGTCAATATTCATAGAGATTTTGATACCATTAGAGACAGGGTTACGTCTCGATGGAAGGAAGAATGAAGAAGTATCCGAATAGGATTTTCAGGCCTAGGAAGCGTACTCACTGCTACAGCAGCCCCTCCACAAGCATCAAGTATCTCGCGTCCGTCATCTAAGTGTAGGTAGTTACCTTCGCCTCCCACGACGAGGCGCCTGTCGAAAACAGTCCCAACATCCGTCGCAACGGGAGACGATGGAGCATTAGATGTGGTATCGTCATCGACCAGTTTCACGGAACCAGCCTCTAGTGATGACACGGGGGGGTTTACCTCTTTCCCGTGAGGGATGTCCAAGCTTCCTACTGCCGATTCAATCAACATGACGTTGGTGTCACACATAAATGAGATTATATTTCTAAAGTTGAAAGGCTGTGGTAAGTTTTCTACAATATCTCCAAGAGAGTGAGCTTAGTTTTGGCGGGCGCCCTTTATCTATAGACATTAGATCCCTGCGTCAGCAAGCCCTCCCGGGGAATAAGGAATCACATCTCGGACGCCCTAGACTGTGCATTGTACCGCTACTAGCCTGATAATGTCCAATCGCTGACAGGCTTCCATGCAGTGACTGAAGTGTGACCTGATATGTAGGGACCTACCTAACCTAGTGCATACCTAGGTAGGTAGGCATATCGCACACGATGTAGGGGTTAGTCGGGAAACAAAGACCTGCCACCATTTGGTAAATCAGAACTTCATGCCTCCGCCGGGGACATGGATCCCTGAGAATAATGGTCAGTAGGTATAACATCCCATTATCTAACAATAAGAGTAGGTAGGCAGAGACGTATCCATAAAGAAAAGCTATACTCTGGCTATACTTCGTACTATGCGGACTCTTATCCAAAGAAGTCTTTTTAATTCATAGGACTATCTAATGGCGAAAGCAACACGATAACTGATACAAGGCATTATGCTAGACATGCAATGTCGTGGGGGCTCTGGAAATATGATATGGACATACCACGATATGACCACCGCATAAAGGTGTGTATCTAGCAGGTGATGATATGATAGGTTGGATTTCTAGAACGTTTGAATTCGTTACCGTCGCATTATGTACGCCCTGTGAACTCCCTCTGGATGTATGCGGATTGGGCTGACGCCAGGAACTGGTAATTTCCTGGTTGATAGAGCTAGACTCCCTAGTTTCTTCAGCAACTTTGATACGCGGAGTTGTGATTGCATCACAGCCGAGATCGCGGGTATACGCAGGCCACGCTGTCCGACCTATTGGTCACAACAGTATATATCCACTAAGAATGTCTCTTCGGATAGAAAGAGAAGAGAAGTGTGGCTAATATTCGGGGTTGAATCCAGGGAGGATTGGGACGTGGACGAATCAAGACGAAGAGTTTCACATGAGGAATATTCCCATTGAGACCGGCGTCAAATTGTCAGTATAAGTGCCCACATTCCACATTCCGCATTCCACAAAAATACCGGGCCGGGACTGCGACAGCGTAATACGGGCCGAGAAAGGGCGTGTGGAACTCTGGAACTCTGGAACTCTGGAACTCTGGAACTCTGGATATAGCACCACGGCATTGCTTTAGTGCTGATACTAAAGACGTGCCGGTGACATACTAAATTCTGAATTACCCGGGCCTTTCACATCTCCTGAGCGAATCACATCGCGTTACGGCGGAAGAGTTCGTTCGAAGATTGAAGAAGTGAGTATGGAGGGGCTGTGTCGATGTTACTAGATTAGTGTCTATACATATACCTACCTGCCTACCCAAGGTAGGTTCCTGGTATTCAAGTCTGCAGTAGTCAGCTTTGATAGTAACCATTATGCATCCATGGAAATAATAGTATGTAGGGAGGTAGTGCTCGACGCTCTCTGTGGCGGTGTGTATAGCCCACCAACCAACCGACCTAGCTATTGACCTACTGATGGCCTATGTATGTCCCTAGCCTACATACATACATATGTATATTAGGCCTAATGTATATACCTAGTAGCTAGCAGCCCTGGAGGTATCCTAGTAGGTATGTACCTATGACATGCATGTAGTCACCCGTGACTTGACCTAGATGTAACCTAGTGCCGATATTTTCGCTCGTCGCCTATCTCGTGAATGAGACCTTGGCATGGTATCATTGGTATGAATGCTGGTTATAGGGTATAGGTGGATCTCTGGTGACTGATTGGTCTACCAATCATCGATAACTCGAAGAGATGCAAATAAACCTGTTCGGCCACAACTTTGTATGTACCCAAGGTATGTTGAAAAAAGGATTGAGTTGTGATTATGTAGGCAGAAGAGTTCAACTTGAATGTGATCAAGTACATCATTGATACATCTGACCAGGTACATGTAAATATGGAAGCGGGGGCTTTCGTAATACATACGTCATCTCACTATACATATGTAGGTATGTATGGCTACCTGCTTGGTACTTTATCAAGCTACATGTACTCAATAAACCTTCTTAATACATACCTAGGTTAGACTCCTACCTAGTAGAGTACCTACATACCTACCTAGTACAGTAGTACATAGTATGTTACTCCAAGTCTCCAACTTGAGCGATGTGACAGTTACACCCTAAGGTGGCTTAAACTTCCATGGTCCTTCATGGCAACGACCTCATCGCTTCAGCCTTATCGGGATATATCTTATACCTAGGTAGGCAGTGAAGATATTAGCGGCGCTTCGTTCTCATGCTTCACCGCATTAAGCTTGAGCTTCGAAACATCTCAAGGATGTTGTAATTATAGTATAATTCCGTGAATAGCAAGGTAGGCTGGCTATAACTCTCAAATACAGCGCTACCACGAATTCTCCTTTTCGTCGTTGATGACAGCCGCTGACCAAAGAGGAACATACGTGAAGGCAAAGCAGTTAATACTTACATGTAGGCAGTAATACATGCATTTGTCTTATTCGCGAGTAATTCATGAATATCTTTGATACTCCTGAATAGAGGGTTCAGTCACGAGAAGCCTTACATGGTCGTTGGCGATCAGCAAATTACCGTCAACCCGAAATCAGCATCGGATGCATTGAGAATACCTAACTTACTTCGAATCCGTTTTCGGATGTCTTACTCTTATGGTGGCACGACATATATCGTATAAACTTCTTTGGAGACATTGCTATGGCGGCTAAGCCTACTGATTGGGCTGGCGGAATGCGCCGGGACTAAAATAGGAAGAAGGTCGGATTATATCAGCTTTCAAAAGCCCGGATATCGGGTTTACTATTCTTTGTAGACCATATTCACGTAGTCGAAAACAAAAGGACTCAACCTTAATCATTAAGTGGAAAGGCTGAGGATGTTGATATTTGGTGTTTTTTGTTGAAGGGGTTGATGGATAGAGAACTAAAGCGGTAAGACCCCATTTAAGTCGATCCCCGCGTCTTACCTAGTAAAAAAGTAAATGACTTAAGATTGTATCAGGCATAGTCAATAATACCTCCAGGGCTAGTACTTTGACTAGATCTGGAGCCTGGACTCTGGAGGTAATAGTGATCGAAATACTATATATAATCTACATGTATACTAAAGACATGGATACCTATAAATTCTGTTAACTGCTAGATTCCATTCCACTTTGATATCATGGATTGTTTGCAGAGGTGCGTCATGAAGAGGACATCACTGATAATTACTGATAATCAATGATAAAGGATGTACATGATATCCGCAATGATGTGCAGAGACCGGATTGAACATCAGCCAATGGAGAAGGGGGAAGAGTAAGAAGTCCGAATATAGAGAATTATTTGGAGTGTTTTCGAGTCGTAGGCGATTAGAGGGCGAATCATGATAATAAACACTACATGAAATGCTGTGCTTTGTATTCGTACCTATTTACTACACTATACTTGAAGCTTACCTAGATGATGAAGATAAATATAAGTATAAGGCTGGCTGTGTAGATGTGTATAGTATAATATTAGATATCACTCTGGAGTATGAAGTATGTGTGGAATAACAGAATATGTGCGTAATAAATAGAGTTGTGCATGGCATTGCCCCAGTGGGGATTATGACTTGAGTAAAAAAAGAAGAAGCAGCCTATTGAGCCCTGTTTGAAAAATGAGGAGCCGAGGGTTTATATTCCGAAAGTGTTTTAGGTCCGAGGTTTAAATGTGTACTAGAGTACTTAGGTACCTAGGCTATTATAGTGGTACCTACTAGGTAGTATGAGCGCACTTGTGTGTGACGCGCCTTGGTGGGAGGTGGGAGGTGGGAAAGAAAGTACTAAAAGAAAGTACTAAAAGAAAGTACTAAGTGCGGCGTTCCTGTGGAAGGGAGGCAGGGATGTTTTTAAGTTGCGTAACGAAGGTAGAAGGCGCGACCGATCGACATAGGTAGTGTATACCCAGGTACTTTTTTTTTTTTAAACAAACCACATCACTAAAGTTCAAAAGTCAATATTTAAAAACTCATCGCAATCAAAAATCGCAAATCGCATCGCATTTACACAGTTTTACCTGGTCATCTGCGCGCATCCATTTACTTCTAAAAAACTTGGTTACTAGGGAAACTGGTAATATCCTATCGTACATTAAAAACCTTCTAGTGTTCCCGAATGGTATAAATATCTGTGGGCCATTCTTTCTTTCTCCGTCGCCTATTTAAATTTTTCCAAAACTGGCGCGCTCTATTCTCACTCGCCGCGTCGAATCCCACCATCACCACCATTACAACGAGTCAACCACCACAACTCTTTTGAGGCTCTGCGCATTTAACCCCACCTACCTAATCATTTGCCCAATTCGACAAACAATATTACTTTTACAAGTTTTATTTAAAGCCCCACGATATCCCCTCTGCAATTAATACGCAAACCAAAAAGGGATATCGTATTAACTTCGTCTTTCAATTTGCGCCACGCGCCTCCTCACCACCGACCCCTCTTCCGGCTGCGTAAGTCGTGACAAGCTCGCTTGTTATCTCCTCCGCGCTCTCTCTCACCCCGGACACGCATTGAATATATCGCCAATCGCCTGGTAATGGGCTTTCAGCATGCCTCCATCATCTAAGCGATCACAGAGGACGCGCCGCCCTCGCGATGTTAGCCCCAGCCCCGCTCTATTAGAGCAGTCTTCGCCATCTCGACCGTCTAAGCGCCGTAAGAAGGTAAATCCTCCCTTTCGTTTATTTCCTTACTTTTTTTTTTTTATATAATCAGCAACAACTAATCTTAAGCTAAGGTGGATGAACCGATATCAGACATAGTAGAAGACGAAGGCTCAAGCCTCACTGTTGACAATTCAGCTACCGAAAGCACCAGCGACGATGACCGACTGATTACCCAGGTCACTCAACATTTGCGAAGCATCCAAACCCAAGCTAACAAGGATCATGCCAATGCTATTCACGAGGCCAAAACCGAAGACATAGAGGCTTACGCCAAGATAGCCGCTCAAGACTGGACTTATTTTATCAAGTCTTTATCTATCAATATAGGCAGAACCTCCGAACCTTCGCATTCCCATCCTCCAGTACAAGATCAGGAGGATAAGGATTTCGTTCATATCGACCTCGGCCCTTCTAAAACCTTCTCGCGCCAGACTGCAATCATTTATTACGACTCGGATGCCGGGAGGTGGTTTCTACAGGCGAAAGGGAGAAATGGGCTTAAGGTTGATAATGTTCCCTTCAAGAAGACGGATGATCCACATCCATTGTCTAGCGGCGAAGTCATTGAGACTGGCGGCATTGAGATGATGTTTGTCCTGCCAGCAAGCCTCGGCCCGCTTCGAATACATCCCATGTATCTTGAACAAGCTGGCCTCAAGGCTCCTCGCTCAAGTCCCGTGCGCGAGACTGGCAGGACTGCCTTGCCCACAGCACCCCCCGCGGACCATTCATCCTCGCAGTCTACCGCGAGGCCCTCTTCTTCCCGTAGCCAGATCTTCCCGCAACCAATTGCACCAGCACCTCCGGATTACAGGCGACCCGGGACCCCACCGTCGGCGAAGAGCCGTCCTACCACTTCCCAGGCTAAAACGCCTGCACATGGCTCTTCTGGAACTGTGATAATGAGCCAGAGCGACGTGGACCTAAGCAAAGATGAGAACAAGCATATTAAACCTCACTTCAGCTATGCGCAGATGATCACACAGGCTATAATAAGCACCTCCGAAGAAAAGTTGAATCTGGCTGGCATCTACCAGTACATCATGAACCATTATGCCTACTATAGAAACCAACCCCCCTCCGGCTGGCAGGTAAGTTTTTGGATTTGACATGTGATTGACCTGTCACGCTGACATAGGTTGCAGAACTCGATTAGGCACAACTTGTCCTTGAACAAGTCCTTCATGAAGGCGCCACGGTCGACAGACGAGCCCGGAAAAGGTATGAAGTGGGAAATTGTTCCAGATGCTCACGACGAGATGGTTCGGGTTGCTTACAAGGGTGGACGTGGAGGGCATCGAGGCTCTTCTGCTCCATCTTCCCCTAGTCAGCCCAATCAACTGAGTTATATTACGCATGGGCCTAGGGATGTCTTAGCTCGAGAACCTACCTCGACCCGCAAGCGCAAGGCTTCGCCAATCACATCGCCACCCCCAAGACCAACCATCAACCTATCTCAGGTGACACCAGACCGCAAATATCTCCCAACCGGGCCGGCGAGTTTCCAAGACGGTAGCCCTCTTCCGCGTCGCAAACCCTTAGATGCATCTGGATCCTTTGGCGATGCCCTCCCAAACTCGCCACCGACCCTCTCATCTTCGTATCTCCAGGATGAAAGCGCCTCTTTTGTAACTCCAGCACCACACCGAGTCCACCCTCGACTTGCGCCTCCCAGTACTGCCCAGAGGCCCAGTCAACACATGCCGACCAGTTCGCCTGCCCCCTTCTGGAAGTATGCCGATATCAACAGCACGCCCCTTAAGGCATCGCAGTACGACCTCAGTCCTTTGAAATCTTTGGGCTTGCCCAATAGCAGCAGCCCCCCTCCCGCCGCTGGCGACCGTTCGCCTATAGCTAGCCCTAGTAGATCGACCAAGCCCAGTCGCTCCGAAACTCAAGAGAATGTCACGGAGGCAGAAGAAGAAGAGGAAGGCTCTGGCTTTGATCTTACCAAGTATGTTATTCTTCGATTGAGCATAGTAAAGTTTGACAGGTTTTTGGCTAACCATACATGTAGGGGATTTCAAAGCATTGGCTCCTATCACAGCATGAACAATCGCGTACAACGAGCCAATGGAGGTCGGGCTTAGAGGAGTTCTGAAGAGGTGTTTGTTTAACTGATTTATCTTTGCTTCTTGCCCCCCCTGCTTCATTATAGTATATATAGTCCCTGCATTTTTCTCGGTTCAGGAGGTCCCCCTCTATAGAAGGATCTCCCTCATCCAGTGTTTTACTACTACCATTGGCCGGAGTTTTAGTGGTTGTTTTTGTTTTTGTTCTTGCTTTTTAGGTATCTTATTTTTTTACCCCCCCCCTCAGTGATACACATGTATTATGATATGAAAAAGGGAATTGACGCAAAGACCGGTCCGTGGCGGACAAGGTCAGTTACGCGAGTGATGCGGCACGGCATTAAGGGGTCATGAGAAATCTGGCGTTCATAAGGAGGGGAGAGAGTTAGCTGGCTTCAGGGAACGAGAGAAAAAGAAAATAGCAACTTTCTTAACCCATGCATTCACCACTAAAGCGGGGGGAAGGGGGGGGACTTCATGTAACATCAAGACCAAGGTTAGGTCGACAGGATCAGCTGGGGGATGGCCGGCCGGATGGACGGACGTGAGCGGAGGGGAAGGAACGGAAGGGAACGGGAGGAAATATCTACCCAAAACAATATGGATGACGGAGAAAAGGGGTTTAACCTACCTACCTAAGATACCTCCTAGTTTCATCTTGTGATTCGTCTTGTTACCTTTTCTTTCTTCGTCATGTGCCCTTCAGCGAATGTTGTAATGATATGCAGCGATCAACCCGCTATCATCTAATCCACTACAAGCACTTCGGAAAGTAGAAGCTGGGTGAAAGAGATAATGTAATACTTTTTCAAGATTTTGAAAAAGAAATAATGGATTCAGAACGGAAAACATTGGTGATTTGCTTGCCTGACTTGATTACTGTACATTAGGTACCTAGGTAGGTTCACTTCAGGAGAAACCTGACGTGATGATCATTGACACATTACATTCACCCTTCATGGAGGAACTCAGGAGTTCAGGAATGGAGTATTTTGTTTTTTCCCTCTGTCTTCTGATTTTGGAACATAAGGAACATCACAGAGCTTACTTGCTTGCTACCCATCCCCATTCATCCATCCATCACCGTCGCGGCCGTAGAGCCGTGTAAGAAGAGTAGAAGAATGGTATGTACGTACCCAACCTACCTATCTCCCTACCCAGCTGCCTGCCCATGTGTGTATATATGTACAATGCAAGATCCCCGACTTGCTATTTTCTCCGAAGAATAAGCAAAAGAACAAAGGGAATCATCTACATATGCAACCACTGACCATCCAGTCCCGCTCTCGCAAAGAGAGAGGGGGAGAGAGAAACGTGACGAACCTTTCCTCCCATGCTTAGAAGACGCCTCGAACCCGTGAAAATGCGATGCAGAGGAGAGTCGTTTATTTATTTGTTGGCTTTTTTCATTCTTCATTCATTCTTCTCCCATTCCCCTGTACCCCCGAGTTATGGACCCTATTTGCGTTCACATCGTGTAAAACTCACTTTTCTCGTAATCCTCATTCGAGTTGCCTTGATGCCTCTTACGCCGCAGTGGCACCTACCCGGGTCTTGGGCCCGCTTCGACCAGTGCGCTTCTTGGTACTCTTCTTCTGCGCATTGTTGCCCTCGATGAATTGGATGAGGTCATCTATACTGCGGGCGTCTGGTTTATCAGAAGTAGGCCGGCTCAAGGCCGTGGGTTGTGCTGCGTTACCGCCGCCGAGTGCGATATGGCGAGGTGGGAACCGGATTCCGGCTCGTAGACGTCTCGCCTGAGCGTCCTTGTCTCGCTTAGCTATGGCGACGGCATTCTGTGTCAGCTGCTCTAACCAGGTCTCGGCTTCCTTGGTATTGTTGTTATCGGGGCCGAGCTGATGCAGGAATATGTTGTAGCACTCGCGCATTTTGCCTAGGGCCGCCTTCGATTCGTTGTCTAAGGCAAGCGCTTGAGCAAGTTGGAAGAGGAGGCTGGCGGCGGGAAGAGATTGCTTGCCCATTACGCGCTCGCAAACAGCGAGTGCCTGCTCGAACCAGATACGGGATTCGTGGTAAGCTTGCATATGCTGTAGCATGACTGCCGCATTGTTTAGCGTCGTGATAGAGTCCGGATGATCGGATCCGTAGATGATCTTCCACAAATTAAGCGCATGCTTGACGTACGCAAGAGCTGTCTTGCTGTCGCCCGATCCATGTACATAGAGCCCAAGGTTGAGGTAGTATAGTAACGTCTCCGCAGAGTCGACACCAATGGTTCGCTCTGACACTATGACGGCCTTTCTTGCCAAGTCAACAGCGGCCTCCTTCTCCTCCAGCTGATAATAGATTTGTGCTAGACTTGAATAGGCTCGCGCAACTTCTGGGTGTAGAATTCCGTAGATCTGTTCGTGGAGAGTCAGGCTCTCCAATAATAGCTCCTGGCCGATTTTCCTGTTGTTTTGTATGATGGAATGACGACCACCTTCCAATGCCTCTTCCGAGATAGCACTCTTCGGTGCCGAGTCCTTGATGATGGGAACAATATTCACGACATCATCCGGAGTGAAAGTGCACGGTGTGCCGACAGAAGCAACAGAAGATGGGGATCCATCTCTTGTCTTCTTCTTTTTCTTCTTGTTTTCACCATTGACGTGGCCATTAACTCCATTCGTTGCTGTTGCAGTGCTAGAAGCGGTGGGCTCGCTAGTGAACTGGAAGTTCTTGGCTTGTAATTGGAAACCAAGCTTCAAAGATATCTCGCGAAGGAGTTGCAAGTGCTTCACCTGACTGGACCAATCTGAGCCCAGCGTTACCTTGAATCTACGGACTGCCTCAGCTTCGATCTCTTGCCGAAGAGTTTCTGGTGTGACATTTGCAAAAGCAAGGTCGGCTTCGGGGTACAGAGCCTTCATTGACTCATCAATATCAGCCGTAGGATTTTTGTTGAACTCGGATCCGAGAAGACAGTTGAGAAGGTGGGAAATGCAGGCGGAGGTAAGGGGGATAGGCAAGTATCGCAGGTATTTGCTAGAAACGTGCTTGAATGCCCTCGAAATTGTCTCCTGCAAGCATAAGTCCCGTAGACGCAAAAGTCTAGGTCCTTCGCATAGCGACACAATTGTGCCAAGATATCGCATGTTGATTCCGCGCTTGTGCATCATCTTGGTAAGGGATTGGCCATCCATGGGGAAAGGTAGATCAGAAGCCTTGATGTCGTTGACGAAATCAGGGATTGCCGACTCACGTAGATGTTTGCAGGCATTTCGAACGTCCTCTTCATCAGCTGCCAATTCTTCCTTCTCAGCCTCTGTCTGAGGGACTTGGCCACTGCAAACATCTGGGTTGAGAGAAAACTGGAAATCGGAAGCGTCAATTCGCTCTTCGGCTTCCGCTTCAGCACTCTCTTCGCCGGACTCCTTGGGCTTCTCTACGTCCTCGGTCTTTTCCTCAGTGGCCTTCTCCTCAGTGGCCTCTTCCTCCGTAGCCTCTTCCTTGGTAGCATTTTCCTCCGTTGTCTTCTCCTCAGAAGATGAAGATTCCTCCTTTTTGTCAGTCTTCTCCTCTAAAGATTTGGCGTCAGATTGCTTCTTTAAGCGTGTAAGCTCCTTGTTCACCCATTCAGTCCACTTCTGGTTTCGAATTAACTCCACCAGCTCAGGTCGTAGGACTGTCATACGATGAGGGTAGTCGGCTTCATTTTTCTCCCCCTCGGTCACTTTGTTTTCTTCCAACCATAAAATGTCTAGGGGCGTGATCCGGTAGAGATCAAGTACGTATTTTCGGCCGTCTGTTCCCATCAATCCTTTGGTCTCAACACTGGCTTCCAAATCGTAACGTTTGCCATCCTTGTCCCATACGGGATGCTTCTTGACCTTCAGTGCCTTTGACAGTTTTTCAAAGGTAGCGGCAAAGCGTTCGTCAGCTGCAACGACATCCTTGCCTTCTACTGCACCGTACTCGATCGAATTCTCACCAGGCTCCCTTTGTTTGAAGATGCCAGGTACAACCGTTTGGCCAACAATTCGTTTTCCAAGGTAGTCGACCACCACAGTTGCCGGGCTATATAGTCCGTCGATGTCGAGTTGGTTGACTAAACGTACGCCATTGACATCTTTTCCAGTGGCTACCCTAGCAGCATCATCGCCACCCTCCGAGGTGAAAGTTCCAACACCATCAGCCCCGAATGAGAAAAAGACGTTGTTATAGACGAAGATCTGTGCATCGCGGCCTTCTGTGGGGTTGAGTGGAGTGACTTCCCCGCGGGCAACTAAAATGGCCCCCCTAGCAGCAGCATCAGAGTAGTCAGCGAAGAGCTTCGAAATGAATCGCTCCCGGAAAACGCGGTCTTGGACGGTTTCCTTAGGCAACTCCCGTGCTGATTGAAATTCCTCGTTCCAGTCTCGCAAAGTGTCGGTGTTATCGACACCTGCTATCAGATAGCCCTCCTGAGTTCTCGTGATGTCCGAGGTATGGGCACATAGCGGGGAAGACTGCGAAGGAACCAACCATGGTGCTGCAGGGATGGCGTTGGTCATCTGGAATGTCGCAAGGGGATCCTTTTGGTTGTTATACTGCAATAACTGATCAAAGGATGCAGAGAACGAGGCCGAGATTTGACCTAGAAGAGTCAGTAAAGAGTGCGCGGAGTGACCCTTGGGGGCAGCTCTCGGCAGTGGGTCAAATTTGCTATTTGATGACTTGTTCACATAGAAGCCCCCAACATGAGAGGTGACCTGGTACTGCTCTCCCTCATTCGTGGTGATGAGTAAGTATAGAAGGTGGCCCTTCTGTCTGAGGTGGTAGGGAGGGGGGTTCCATGGCGATAGAGCAATGGATTTAACGGTCTTAGGGGCAGGCTCTTCCTCCTTGGGGATGAGGGTTGATGGCTTTGCAGGAGCATCAAACTCATAGGCGCTAGCTTGGACATTGTCGGCATCATTCGCACTCGCCGTGACAGAGTCGAAAAGGGATATTCCAGGCAAGACCCCTTGCAGAGTATCAGTCCGATCTCCTGCGGCGCCCACCAAGTCACGAATTCGGATGACATGTATTCTAGCCTCCTTTTCGGTATAGGGGTCTTCTACCAAGCGTATCTCGGCTTCTGGGCCAAGTCCCTTTACGTCAGAGATTTGGACAAAGTCATTGATACGTTCACCGGCATGCTCGAGGTGGAAGCAGGAGTATTGAAATGCGGCAGGTATCTCGATTACAGACTGACGCAACTCGTGGACCTGTTCTTGGGGCGAGACCTGCACCGAGGGAGTTAGCTACATTAATAGCTGGGTCTTGGACTGAGAAGAGTATGTGCTAACCATAACATGAATCTTTGTTGGCTCATGAGGAAGATGAATAGTTAGAGGATACAAGGCTGTATGGCAAGAGTTAGCATGATCATTCTTTGGGGGGTTGAGGGTTTACAAGTTAAAAGGTAAAGGGTAAATTTGAAGTTCGTACCATCTTCAACTTCACCAGCATCTTCTTCTTCAGCAGCTTGCTCGGCAGCTTGCTCATTGGACCCAGTTTTAGAAACCTCAGTCTGTTCAGTCTGTTCAGTCTGTTCGATTTGTCCATTTAGGGTCTTGGCTTCCTGGCCGGACTGCTGAGCTGTAACGACACCAATGTTAATTTGTATTCACACCAAGTGATATGCTTAAAGCCGCTTAACATGAGACAGGTTGACGTACCAGTAGACTCGGGTGCCTCCGGCATTATGGGCCAATTGGGGAAGGTAGGGTCAAATAGATGTAGTAGGTTTGTGTCGCGAGTTGGTAAAGTCAATGAATAATACCCTCTCTTTTACTTGTACACACAAAACGACCCACGAGATCCGACGCACAGCTTTGAATCCTGGAGGGGGAAGTGTAGAAAGTTTTGGATGAACAAGTAGGTATTGAGAAGTATTATACAGGTATAATAGGAAAATAATAAAAAAGAATGACAGTGCCAATTGATTTTAAAAAACGTCGTGAAAAGCGATCTACGTTATAATTGAAGTAGATAGTTTATTAAAGAAAAAAAAAATCCCGTCGTCAATAATTTTTTTTTGTTTGGTAGCTCTACATATCAATTTTTTTTTTGGACGGCTTGAAAAAAAAATTTAAAAAAATAAAATACCCCGGCTGTTCCCGGTAAACCGGAGCTGAGGCGCTGTCGGTTAGGCTTGTAGAGGTCATTGGGGGTTCCCTGTCCGCCCTAAGGATGATGATCTTAGCATGTAACACTGCATGATAAAGTTAAAGTGCCACTGTGCTTAATGGCTACGGCGCTTTTGATTGGTGAAAATTTATATAACGGTTTAAGAGACATCCATGGAAAACCCCGCGTTAATCGTTTATTTCTTATCAACTGTGTTTTTTTTTTTTCCTACCTACATCATTGATAGCACTATGCATACATATAGATAGGTACCTAGGCACACGTAGGTATGCAAGTAAGGATATACGTTGTTGATTTAGTTAATGAATAATTTGAAGTGTACATATATCGAAATCCATTATATCAAGTCCTACCAGGCTGGTTTTACTTTGCTATTTACAAACACTGGTAATGGACCATATTTTTACAGTGCTGAGATGTTTTAATAACCGAGATGTTGTGCGGGATGTGGGTGTGGGCATGGGTGTGGGATGCATAATGGACCATTCCTAATCGGGAAGTAAAATAAACAATCACGACCTGACACATGATTTGCTTGGTACCTATTTACTTACACGACTTACTTATATCTCCATCTCCATCTACATCCTAGGAATGCTGTTGGTATCCACCCTTTATGTCGCGTCGCATGGCTTCATGAAGCATCTTTATACACTTTTGGATTTCATCAATTCCTATGGACTTCGTTTTCTTACGACATAATTTGCTATACAGCTTTTGGAGTTTGCAAGTTTGCTCAATGTAAACAAAGCACGGTATACAAACAGCTTATCATTATCCACATCGCCATCCTCATCAACTTTTTGAGCTCATATGCATCCCTAAAATAAACACCCTATTTGCTTTGCTTCATAACAATATACTTAGGTATTCATAAGCTTGCTTCATGTCACCTGACGAACCCCGAACCCCTTATAAGCCGAGGCGTCCACCACCTAGGCCAAAAGGATCGGGAGAAGCACTACAGCCGTGGACTGCGGCGCGTTGTCAACGCTTACTAAGACCGTTAGTTTCGCGAATCGCCTCATTGAGAAAGGATGCGACGGCAGCATTACCTAAAACCACCGAGGACGAGCTTAGGCAGGAAGGGAGTACTGGCTTTGGACAACCCAATACCAGCCACGAGTGGCTAGGCCCCAGGAAAAGGATCCGCCTTACTTACTCTCAGAAGCGACCTTTTCGTCGTCGAGAAGAATCGTCTATCTCTGGAAAGGGCACTCAAGGACTAAATACGACAGACTGTATTCACCGAGGCCAAGGGAGAGCCCAAGTCGCCGGGGAGCTTGTAGCTGCCACACCTATATTAAAACGTGCTCGGGGCTACACTGTCAACTCTTCCCCCTTGTTTAGTGACTCAACTGAAAAAGTCGTACAGCCTAGATCCAGCTGCGGACAAGATCCTCGTTCCAAGGAGTCGTCCAAGCAGAAGGACCTGAGCCAACGACTCGCTAAATTCCGGACTCAGTCAGCTCCAAGCAAACACGGCGATTTGGAGGCAATCTACCGGAGCTTGGAAGCACTCTTAAAAGCAACTCGACCTGACACTAACCAGACCCGAGGGCCACGCTCACTTCTCGACCTATGTCTACGAAATGTACCTCAGTATATCGAGGAGTTAGACGAATGGGAGAGACTGGAGGCCGAGGAAAATGGGACTGTTTCCACACTAGACGCTGACAACGCCTCGGTGTACATATATAACTACCTGGAATCGTTTGGGCCGAACCCTGCCCTTGGCTGGAGGCCTCTACGGGTTGTGGCCCGGGCGGATGGGCTGAAGGCGGTCAAACTGGGGATTTCGGAGGGGTTATTTAGCGACGACTATTCCGAACTGCTTATCGACCTCTGTATCCAAGTAGGCGCATTGCCAGAGGCGAAGGAACTTGTCGAAGTGTTACTTGACCGCGATTACCCCCAGCCAACATCTCCAGATAGCTCCTTTGCTGAACTACCGTCCCTTCGGCCCCTCTTGGTGCTGTGGAATCTCACTGATAAAATCGGGTCCACTGCGTTTCTTCTACGAAAATACTCGCAACTACTATCCAGCGGCACTCTTCCACAAGACTGGCTTGTGACCCATGATTTCGAGCGCGTATGGGCGGCAGCTGCTAAGGGCCTGTCAATAGAGAAGGCAGCTGACGACGCCATAAATTTTATGAACCATTCGATTCTATTGCTTTGTCGTCGAAAACGCGCATCAGGAGGTAGCCCTGAAAAAACGCGAATAGAAAAGGACATGGCTATCGCTAATGGACAGACGCTTATCAGTGCTCTGACAATGTTAGCTGCGATGAGTTCGTTAGGCGAGACCGAGCTTCAATCGGCACATGTTTCTAACGCAGAGGTCTCAAAGATACAGATTATCGGCGATAGGCTTAGACTCATTCTCAAATCGTGCATGGCGGACTTGGAGTCGTCGAAAATGACGCGGTCTAGATTTGGGAACGACTTATTGCATATGGCACTTTTTCTCTCATCCAATAATGCTCGAAGCGATAGTGACTTTGTTTCTCGCCTCAGCAACAGCATCGAGCAGGCATGGCGGCAAAATACGGAATTTGGCGCTGCAAGAAGTCACGCTACCAGACATCATCTTGCCGATATAGCCTCGTTCGTGTCTTCGGTGGCCCGAAGTTGCGGCAGAGGAATGTGTCTAGCGTCCCACGATTGCCTCGATATGCTGTTCGGACAACTAAAAAGCTTGGAACTTGACCAGGAAATTTTGGATAGCATGAAAGCTGTGGCGGCATTTTCATTAGCACAGCAGACGAACAATGTCAAAGATTTCATCTATGCAGAGAGGCTAGCTTGTAGCCAATCTTTGGCTACAGGGGACGACGATTGCCCCCGATCACTGTTCACGGGTTATCGATGGGAGGAAACTATAGGCGAGTGGGTGATGGCTAGCCCTGTCGTTGAAAGGCGACGACGGCCTCAGACAAGGGCAAGGACATCTAGATCGTCGACCAGGTTAGACACGGATCACAGTGAGAGCGACGTGCGCAAAATATCCACCCAGCTCCAGAAAGCCATATACGGCGACGCATCTAGCGTTCGAGGTCTAGAAATAGAGTCGGGGCAGGTAAACAGCGAACCTGAGATCTCTCATGCGCTCAGACCACGGCACGTCAATACAAAGAAGCGTATGCGACCTTATGAAGACAACGAATCCGGCGAGAAGGATGAAGCAACTCTACTGTTAACCAAATCTGGATACCATTCTTCCGATGATGAGCTTGGATCAGAAAAAGAAAATCAAAACCATGTGATGGATAAGAAGTCAAGAAGGAGTATGGGTAGAAGGGCTATTCTTTCTAGGCCAGGTTTGAGTCTGGCAAGTCAAAGAAGTAATAGTAATAGTATGATTGGGGATGAAAGTAGTGATGATGAGCTTTGTATGTGAGCATCGTTGTATATTATAGCTACGATGGAATGTTGTATGCCTAGGTACCTGTGGATACAACTTGAAATAAATGAGGATTCCATAAGAGCCCGTTAGGTTAGAGTGGTGAGATAGGATATGACTTTACGTTGTAGTAATTGAGAGCTCATGAAGAACGTTTCTGTATTTAAGTGATCTTGATATAGGGTAAAGATAAGGAACGACGTTGAAAATATTGAGAACATTGAGATATAAATTAAATAACTTCGTTTTAGCGCTTATCATGGATGTGTACATACCCTGTAGTTTTAGACTTCAATCCGTAGAATCAATGTTATACATGCATGTATCTTAAAAGTAGAGGTACCACGCGCGAATATATATCCACATGCGCACATAAATGTCCATCTACGCAGCGGGGTACATGCAGTATGCATTGTACATGTACGTATGCACATATCAAACAATCACACATATGCATGTATGTCATATGTATGTGCCTAAGTAGGTACTCAGGTACCGATCTATCCACGTCCGAGCTCCTTACCTAGTAGGCTAACCTTAGTACTAGGTACCAGGTACCAAACGCACTGCATTTAACCCAAGATCAAAGATCCGCCAAAGAAAGATCGCGTTTCTTACATATCCATACACATGGCCAATAAATATATGCTGATGCCTCTCAAATTGTCAACGTGCTACGTTCAACGTTCATCCGATCACATCAACTACTTCGCTATTTTCTGTTGATACTTTCTCGCTATGAACCGGATATCAATTCAAGATGGAAGTTTACCAGAACCAAATTCCGACCCCGCCTGAGGTCGTGCAAGTGAGTCGTTCAATGTTGAAATATCAATGATTGATATACGGAGTATAACATATCATGATATATCATGATATATCACACCAAAAATAACACCGAAAATCACCGGAAATCATAAAATGAGATACTAACGCACTCTCTCTTCTTAGTTAATTCATGAGCTATACAGCTCCCACAATACTCCCGAGTATATTTCTCGTACTCAGAAAATACTGCTGGAAGCTCAGATAGCTCCCCAAGGCTGGGGGATTGCATATGAACTGCTCACTATACCTGACAATAATGTCAAGTTCTATGCTGCTTCAACATTTACCATAAAACTGAATGACACCAATAAGGCTTTATCAGACGATGACGCCCTTATTCTGCTTCAGACCCTTATAAACTGTCTCATTGCTTCTCTACGGGATGGCACTGCCAAGTTCGTCATCGTGAAGCTCTGTTCCACCTTGGCCACCTATGCCATTCGCTGCGTACATATATGGCCTCGATGCATACGCCATCTTACGCGCTGCTTACAGAACCGCGCCTATATACCACCAGATCAAGTTGGAGATGCCTATTCTGTCCCGGATGCCATTCCGTCATTGAGCATCGAGGATTTCCTTGCTATAATATATTTCTCTCAATATCTGGCAAGCGACGGGGCAAGAATTAGCACCAAGTCCCACGCCAATATAGCATTCCACAAAGAGGTTGTTGGCAATGAGGAGGATGTGACTAGCTTTTTGACTCGTGGCATCACATCTGTACGGGACCCAACCATCGACAGAACTCTCCCAATAGAGTCGATAAGCTGTGCTCAAGCATGGCTGGTGTACTTTCAGCAGAACGTTACAAAACCCGGTCACAGCTTTTCTTCACCACTCCGAACTATATTTACGCTCGTCATCGATTGCCTTCCCCTCGAAGAAGTATCTGAGCAATCTTTGACCCTCTTTCTTGAGCTTGTGGAGAATTGGGGGGTAATTATCTCCCAAAAGGAATGTGACACCATATACTCTTATATTCTGGAGAGTGAATGGGCGCAAGGAAGGTTTAGAAATCTTCTCGATGGTGACGCTGACGAGATACAATTCGGCTTATTCATTCTGGCTTTCGCAGACAACCAGTCGAGTCAAATGATGAGGGGAGAGAATGAAAGGGCCCAACGCCTACTCGTCTTACTCACCGACCTTTTAAGAGCCGATGGGCACCCGGGCGTTGACGATAAGATATTCCCTAGAGCTATCGAATTTTGGGAGAATTGGACCACTGGACTTATAGACGCCCGCTGGGTTGAATTTGAGTGTAAAAAAATGGATCTAACTCAGCCGCCTTTGCAACAGCTTATGAATGCCGTGTCTCTTAGCTGGGTGAAGTGCCAATATCCTTCGGCCACGGAGTACAATTCCTGGGATTCGTCCGAGAGACTCGACTTTGCGGAGGCGCGAAAAGATATCATCCAATTCCTCCAGATGGTGTACCCATTTATAGGCGGTCCACTTGTCTCGATGTTTGCCCAGAGGATGGTAGAATCCTCAACAGTTTCAAAATGGGCTGAAGTCGAAGCAGCAGCGTTCTGCTTGGGCGGCCTAACCGATTGCATGGCAGAGGAGCTCACAAGTGGAGGCAACAAACCGTTGACCCGGTGGGATGATATCCTAGCAGAGTTGTTCTCCTCACCTCTGTTCGTGCTATTGGGTCAGGGACAAGACGTGATACCGGTTCGAGCGAAACAGACGTGTCTCTCCCTGACAGAACGCTACGCGGAATTCTTCACTCGTCGCACGGAATTCCTGCCGGCTGCGCTGAACCTTCTATTCAGCTCCATGGCCGACAGGTACTTCGCGCTACCCTCTTCTAAGGCGATTCGCGAACTTTGTTTGTCTTGTCGCAGCATCTTGACAACTGAGGTCGATGCATTTCTAGAGCAATATCCAACATTGCGAGCCCAGGGAATTGACTCCTTACCCGAAGAAAAAGTTGTCGGCGCTATAGCAGCTGTTATCCAAGCCATCGATGATGACTCCCAGAAGGCAAATGCGTTCCATAGACTCCTAGCTATAATGGTAACAGATGTAGAGACGAGTCTACAACTGTATGCTGGTGGGCAAGATTGTCTTTTGGCTCCTGACAACCCAGTAAGTTTCCCAAGGCAGTTCAAATCTATTTCGAGTGGAACTAACAAATAACAGATTATGTCTAGAGTCTACGACTTCGGACAAAGACCGGTGGATCCCACACCCGCGCCAGCAGTGGCCCTTCAATTAGCTATACGAGCTCTTCGCTGTCTTCATAGTATTGCTAAGGGACTTCAAGCGCCTTTCGATGTAGATGCTCTTGAGGGTTCAGAGGCAGAAATTGACACTGACAAGTCTCCAGCTATCACACAAATACAACAAGAACTTATGGTAAGTAGACTATCAAAGACCACCTGTTTCCATATAACAAGAGATTCTGATAATCGATTATAGGCAATCTTGGTCCAACTCAAACAGACCTTTTCGAGTGACCGTGATGTTGTGAGCGTCATCTGCAGTATTCTTCGTGCTGGGTTTTCCGAGTCGGAGCCTGGGTTCTTCGTCTTCTCACCGCAGGTGGTGATCGACTTCATCACCAAGGACTGGCAATGTGAAATTGCCAAGGTTGTGGCCATAGCTAGAGCTTTCGTAGCATCCCTGGGCAGTGGAAGCCAAAAGAAGTATCTCCCCGAGGCCATTGGACTCCTTTTACCCTGGGCTGTCGGTCTCCTCTCTCAACTAGCAGGTGAGTCTAGACCCTACACGGTGATTCACTAAACAATTGGCCTTCATATGGGGCCCTATGCATTTCTTTGACGGTTTATCACCTCATTTTCTTTTTGGTTAAGTTTCTAATGAAGATATAGGACCCGAACAAGACCCCGATCTCGCTCAAAATGGCATTGAATTTGTAGAGAATGCCATGATCAGAGCACCTGAGATATTTATGTCCCAGCCCAGAGAGGCGCTTGAGCTTCTCTTCACATTCGCTATCCTGATGCTGAATGGCAACGAACCATTGCCCAAGGGAGCAGCCTGTGGATTTTGGGTCAGTCATTTCTGATTGGTCTTATTGATTTACGTTACTGACTAGAGACTACCAGACCACCTTTCTTACGCTCAGGACGGCTGATCAAAACACGCAAGACATGGTCAACAACGCCATATCGTACATTGGCCCAAAATTAGCGGAATCGTTGATACAGAATATTGGAGGAAAGGGATTGAGAAGTGAACTAGAAACCCTCAGCAAAACACTCAAGAAGTTTGTGGTTTGCAACGCGAAAGCCAACGACTGGTTGGATGCGGCCCTGAAAGATCCGAAGTTCCCGAGTGACAAGGTAGCGGAGAAGGACAAGGACTTGTTTCTTAGAAAGATTATCAAGTTTGTGATACCCTTCTCCTATGTGCTATCTAGCTTTGGATCGTCCTGACTGACTGACTGACTTATTCGACAGGTTACGCGGTACAGCTCCTACTAACCAAGTCGTTCGTGACTTTTGGAAGACGTGCAGGGGATCGGCTTTTGACTATGCGTCTTGATCTAGTTAATGAAATGATTCAGGGACTAATCATATCATGCATGTCGGGTTCTTGGTATGATTGCCCTGGCTCGACGAGCGTTTGAAATCACGGTGGAGGCTTTCCCTGAGAGCACTATTGAATGTGTTAGATAAACACTACAAATGGGCATCCGATCTTATGCTCTGACCGGATGGCGTATGTACCTAAGTTTTGCTACCTTTGGGCCAAAGGTCTTGGTACAGAGCTGAATACCTACCTACTAGGTAGTAGGTATCTGACTACGTACATCGTGCGATGCCAATATAATAGAAACTCAATGAAAAGACAATTGTAATATGCTTTATGCGTCTACCTATGCATTGTGACTGTTATATGCTTTTATGATCTATCAACAACCATCTATCATCTACCCACCCTACCTAGGCTTCGACGACAAACCAACCGCATACCGCACCTGGCGCATCGTGGCCTCCGCATTCGCGCGCGCCACCTCGGCGCCCTCCGCCGCAATCTCATCGAGCCACTTGCCCCCCTTGCGGTGGAGGTAATCATCAAACCGGTCCGCCACGCCGTCCAGCTCGCTACATACCGCGTTCGCGACGTCGTGCTTCAGGTCCTTGAGGGTTTTGCCCACGTACTGCTCCGCCAGCTTCCACGGGAGGATGTAGCGGGGGCCTTTGCTTCCGTCTGCTCCCCCTCCCCCCTCTCCTTCTCCTTCTCCTCTTCCACCATCGCCATCGTCTACCCTTACCCCTTCTGCCCCCTCGTCGATCAACGGCGCATACGACGAAGCCGAAGCCGAATCCGAAGCAGAGGCAGAGTACCCGCCACACTGCGACAGCAGCTCCAGCAGGTTGGCGACTCCCGGGCGGGCTTCGGGGTCGTAGGACACGGTGAACTGGTTGTCGGTTATGGCGCCGACGATGCGGGAGCGGATCTGGGAGGGGGACGCGGTGATGAGGATGCGGGAGCGGTGGTTGGGGGTTGATTTGGACATTTTGTTCCGGGGGTTCGTGAGGGACATTACGCGGGTTGCGAAGGCTGTAGGTTGGTTAGATCGACGGGGCGTCGGGTTGAAAAAAAAAGGGGAGGGGGCTAATAGGGGATATTTTCATAGTTACTAAAGGAGAAAAGGGGGGGCTTACTAGTAGTCATGGTCTCTGGGGGAATCAGAATATCCTTAAAGTTATGGTTGAAATTGGTGGCGCACTCCCGCGCAAACTCGAGATGCTGCCGCTGGTCTTCGCCCACGGGGACGTGAGTCGCCCGGTGCACCAGGATGTCGGCGGCCTGGAGAACGGGATACGAGAATAGGCCTAGCTTGAGCCTGTTCATCGCTTCATCGTTGATTCCAGCTTGCTTGTTCTCCATCGTGAGTTTGCTCTGCGTGCTTGGCGGTTAGACATGATAATGACGATGACGAAGATGTTTAAATAAAAAAAGGGAAGTTCATGAACAAGGGGAAGGAATCAAACTAAACTCACCTTCCACTGAGTCATCCGGCTTAGATACCCCATGGACGCCGTGCAGCTAAGAATCCACATGAGCTCAGTGTGCTGGGGGATGGAGCTCTGGAAGAATATCGTAGACCCCTTCTCTGGGTCCAAGCCAATGGCTAGCAGCACAGCCAGCATCTCGCGGCGACGCAAGCGTAGCACGGGAGCGTCCTGAGGCATGGTGATAGCGTGTAAGTCCACGATGGAGAACAGCAGCTTGTCTCCGGACCCCGAGCTCTGGACATCATCCTGCAGCTTCTTCCATTGCCTTAGTGCGCCTAGGTAGTTCCCTAGATGAGGTATGCCCGTCGGCTGGATTCCCGAGAAGACGATATTTCGCTTCTTCTTGGGTGCTTCTGCCACCGGCTGTTCTTGGCCAAGGCTGACATCACTGCTGGTGGATTCACAGCGGATTTGCCGTTGTGCAGCTGAGCGCAGAACCTGTTTTCGCGTAAGGCCGGCTAGGGGCCTGCAGCGAGAACAAAGTGTTGAGCGCATCTAGCCGCCTACTAGGTGCCTATATCACTCATATTCCGATTAGCTAACCATTTTAAAGCTTTCTGAGACGTACACATATACGTACCAATTTAATCATAAAATATGTAGAATGGTTGAAAAGTGCGCTCTCACATCAAATTAATCAAATGAATCTAAATAATCAAAATAATCTAAATAATGTAATAAATGATATATTGGATATAAGATTGAAGTGCTGGATAACTGAATGAAAATCGTGAATATTCCGATGGAATGTTAGTAAAGCTAGGGCCAATTAGAAAATACGTTAAATTTAGTCTTATTAACTAGTCTTATAACCCTAATAGATGCTTACATCAATGAATGCATGTGTAGACTATTAACACCATGCCTCATATAATACTCATACCCCTTTTCAACACATAAAAGTTAAAGATATAATAATTTCATTTCATGTACGATAGTTATACATCAAAGTGCAGAGTTCATGTTGCATGGGTCAAGTAGGTTTATTTCATTATACACATAGCCATAGCCCAAGACAAGGACAGCTTCTAGTTCGTATGTCTGAATCTCTCACTGGCCAGCAACTCCTTGACCTTCTCTACTGTGCCTAGAGACTCGCGTCTCCCAAAGCTCTTCAGCTTCTCATCAACGATCCCCTTCAACGACTCGGCCTCTGCTTCGGCCTCCTTGCCCGGGTCTTTATCCTGTGTTAGCTGATGTCACTTTCATAACTCCCATCGCTCTACGTATGAACTTACTGAGCCTGTCGAATTCCCATACATTGGCCTTCATACCAATACCATAGTACGCATGTTTCTGGAGATATGCTAGCCAAATCTGAACGGTCTCCGGGTGTCCGTCCCTGATCTGGATCAATCGCCTCCTCGTAACTCTCTCAAAATTCTCTTGCGACTTCTTGTAAATGAAATGACTCCTGGGTACTGTCCAGCGCTCTACAATCTTGGGTAGGGGTACTGGGCCGAAGGCAGGAAGGTGCAGGTAGTATGCGGCTCGTAGCGCAAAGTCGCAAAAGAACTCGAGATTGGGAATGCTGAACGATCGTAGCTGTAGACTGCACGAAGGCACGCCATACTCGGCCTCGCGTCGGAGTGGCTGGAGGTATAGGGCTTGGACAGCTCTAGGTAGTCGGACATCTTCCTCGTCGCGAGGATCTGGGAGTTCGTTTCTGTATATCGCATAAGCTACTGATTTCGTGTGGGCTAAATTTGGTTCATTCTTAATTGTTCAATTCATACACAAGCTGAGGAGGTGCTGATTTGGAATCAGGAGGATTGGTGGGGTTGGCAGAATCGATGCGAGGAGGTTCAGCCCTGAGATTGCTTTAGTTCCATTGGATGCTCTTTGCGCGGTTCAAGGTGGGAATCGCATCATACGCTGATGTCTGTGTGCGTGCGCTCACAAGAGGACCGAAACCTGGCCGTCGTTGGACCTTTACCATGTTAGCTAATTCATTTTGGTATTCTTTGTAGAAGATAGAGAATCGCACCAATGGTCTGGCAAAAGCTTGCCGTATCGGCCTTATTATCTTTGATCTGGTCATTATGCGACAATTGCTACCTCTCCCATCTATGAGAGATGAAGATTGATTGATTGATGAATTGAGTGGATTTAGATTCTTGTCTTGGCGATGAGGCTCGAAATTTGATGTTATCGATATGCAAGAAGATACTATATGCAAGAATTTAGAAAGAGCTTAAGTTAATCTTATCAGGACTCCACCGTAAGCTTCACTTCACCCCACCTTACCCGTTACTTACATACCTCCAGGGCTTACATAGTAGGTACCTGTTGCAGCTCAGCGATTAGCCTACCCTCTTAACCCTTCACATACAACAGCCACAACAAACATCATAAGGCTCATGATAGAAAGCTCTTCAAATAAACTGTCAATATGGATATGGCACTGAAGTCGTGGGGTAAGCATAAATCCTATCACACTTTCAACTTTTAAAAGATAATATATATACTAATAATACCCCACCATCTAGAGCTGGACAACGCCATCCAGCTTGTTGATCCCACGCGAGATGCCCTCTATCAATATACTCCCCCCGAAGAATCATTCGCTGCTCTATCGAAGCCCGGAGCAGACAATCCCAACTACTTCCAGCATGTGCGAATCAGCGCCGTCGCTCTCATCAAGATGGTCATGCATGCCCGTTCTGGCGGTTCTATCGAGGTCATGGGCCTGATGCAAGGTTATACCGACGGCGATACCCTCGTTATTACCGACGCTTTCGGCCTACCTGTCGAGGGAACAGAAACCCGTGTAAACGCCCAAGACGACGCCAACGAGTACATGATCCAGTACCTGCAGCTCTCCAGAGACCAGGGAGCCCGTCAAGAAAACGTTGTGGGTTGGTACCACAGCCACCCCGGCTACGGCTGCTGGCTCAGCGGCATCGACGTCGGCACGCAAAGCATGCAGCAAAAGTTCAACGACCCCTTCGTCGCCGTCGTCATCGACCCGGACCGCACCATCAGCGCCGGCCGCGTCGAGATCGGCGCCTTCCGCACCTACCCCGACAACTACAAGCCCGCCGAGAGCAATACTTCCACATCCTCGGGTCAGTCCGTGCCGCTCGCGAAGGCCGAGGACTTCGGCGCCCACGCGAGCCGCTACTACAGCCTCGAGGTCTCGCACTTCAAGTCGACGCTCGACTCGAAGCTGCTCGAGCTGCTCTGGAGCAAGTACTGGGTCCAGACGCTCTCGCAGACTCCGCTGCTCACCAACCGCGACTACGGCGACAAGCAGATGCTCGACCTCAGCTCCAAGATCCGCGAGGTTAGCACCATGTACCAGCGCCACGCCAGAAGCGGGAACATGGGACAGCCGCAGGGCAGCGGCAAGAGCGTGCTGGATGTTGAGATGGAGAAGTTGGCCCGCACGAGCAATTCGGTGGCTATGAATGAAAAGCAGGGGCTCATGGCTGTGGAGATGAAGGCTAAGCTGTTCAATGATTTGGGCACTGTACCCAAGAAGACATGATTTAAGACATGATTAGTTACTTTACGGTGCCGTCGATGGAAAATAGGTTACCTGGGATCCCTGTTTAAAGGGAAGGGGGGAGGGGGGTTCAAGCATGATCCATCCTATTGTGAAGGCGGACTTACCTGAAGGGGTCCTTTACTTTTATTCATGATGAGATATGAATCATTCCATGGCGTTCGGATTGGGGCAAATGGGAGTTCGTTAGAGATGAGAAAAAACATGATAATACACACTTTCCGTCCAAGAATACTTGGGTACTTCTTTTCTTACATGTGCCTTTGGCAAGTCACCCCTTTTTCTATTTACACAGAATATGGAATATGCCTCCAGTCAGAGTGCATTGATTCATTTTTCGTTTTCTGGTTTTTGTTTTCTTGGCCTTCCTCTTCCCCTTTTTGGCTTTACTTCTTCCACCACCACTTCCTCCTCCTCCTCTTCTTCCTCCTCCTCCTCCTCTTCTTCTTCCTCTTCCTCTTCTTCCTCATCCTCCTTAGCCTTCCTCCTCTTTTCCTCCTCCTCCTCCTCCACCTCGGCCTCCATCTCCATCGCAATCTCATACGCCTTGTTGACCCTCTTCATCGTCTCCGCCCTGCCCAGCACCGCCAAGCTCGGCATCAGCGCGGGGCCAGGAGCCGACGCCGCCACGATCCACCGGAACAGGTGGTAGCCCCAGGGCTCGGGGCTGCCGTCGTCGGCGAGGACGCCGTTGACGAAAGTAGAGGTGGTGCAGGTGACGCGGCGCAGGAAGGGGAGCACCTTCTCGCCGATCGTCTCGGCGGTCCAGTCGGCGGCGGGGATCTCCGACAGGATCCCGCTGAGCGTGTCGACGAGGTCCGAGCGCGTCTGCGGCGTGTCGTCGTCGAGGGTGATGGTCTGCCTGTGCGTGTGCTCGCGCTGCCGCCCCGTGCGCGGGTCCGTGGTCGTGCTGGGCTTGGGCACCTCGGCGAGCGCGCTGCGCTGGTACATGGCCTCGGGCACCTCCCAGATCAGGTAGCGGTTCCGCGAGACGAAGCTGTCGACGTCCTTGTAGTTTTGGGTTTCGAGGTCGAAGACCTGCTTGATGTACGCGCTGGAGAGGGCGGTGTCGGAGCCGGAGCGGGCGCGGGCGAGCGGGACGAGCCGCCCGAGCTCGGAGGCAATGCTGTGCATGGTGGAGGGTTTGGGGGTTGTGGTGGTGGATTCGTCGGTGCTGGGGGGTGGAGAAGAAGAATAAGAAGGAGGAGGAGGAGGAGAGAAATCAAGACGAGGATCAATGTTAGAATAGGAAGGAGATGGTAACGACGATACTAGTGACGATACTGAGGCGGCCTTCCGTTCTTCTTCGTATCTCTCCACGCCGGCTTCTATGATGGGGAGTACGAGTCTGGAGAGCTCGTCTGTGTTGCGGGACTGCACGAGTCGTTTCACGTGCGCTCTTTGTAGGAAATCGTGCTTCTGGTTCACTACGATGTCTCCTTTCGTGAAGTACAGGTTGAACTAATCGTTTGACAAGCAATTATTACAAATCGTGGCTCTAGTTTAAAAGTGTGTGTGTGTGTGGGGGGGGGGGGGTGGCCTGGCAACTCACCTTTTCAACCATTTCCTTCAAGTTCATCACTTCGTCCTGTCCTTTCACACCCCTCCCTAAGCTCCAGCCTAGCAGCATAACGTAGTTGAGTAGCGCAGCAGGCAGGATTCCTCGGTCTCGCCAAGAGGCGATGTCGACATCCCCGTGGCGTTTGCTCAGTTTCTGCCTCTCGCTGTTCACAAGAAGCCCGACATGCGCAAACTGGGGGGTCGGCCAATTGAACGCCTGGTAAAGTGCTACGTGCCTAGGTGTAGACACCAGCCATTCCTGGAGGGTTGATGGTAAGTTCTATGCTTCAAGGTGTATGTCGAGGTGCTTGTCTAGGGGGTGTTACTCACAGCTCCTCGTACCACGTGGGTGATCTCCATCAGATGGTCGTCAACGACATTGGCGAAGTGGTATGTTGGGAATCCGTCCTGTTTTATGATAATAAAGTCGTCCATCGGCTCAGGCCTTATATAATTCCCGTACACTAGATCCTCTACCAGAGGTTGGTCTGGGCTCTTGAAGCGCACAACATGAGGCTCTCCATTCGCTGCCCGGCTAACAGACTCTTCTGGTGAAAGATGTGTGCACGTTCTGTTATAGATCGTTGGGTGACCATTTTCTAGACTAATGGCCCTCATTTGATCTAGTTCTTCGGCGGTACAGAAACACCGGTATGCATGGTCTTCATCAAGAAGTTGTTTTGCATGTTTGGTGTATATCTCTAGTCTTTCCGACTGTGGACAGGGTTAGCACGAATAAAACATGGAGAAAGGGGGAAGAAGTATGATGAGAATACCTGTTTGTATGGACCACAAAGCCCACCCACATCAGGACCTAGATAAAAGGAGAAAGGTGAGCATGAGAAAATTATATAGGATTATATAGGATTATATAGGATTAGTTTAAGCTGAGTTTAGGTATATCAAGACATACCTTCGTCCCAACTTAGACCAGCCCATTGCAGGTCCTCATATAGTCTACTTTCAGCATCTGGTACGATCCTTGCCTAAGTCCTCAAGAAAGAATATTAGCATATTGACAGCATATCTACTGAAACACCATTCATAGATTCATAACTGAGTGAGACTAGAGTTTGACTTTACCTGATCTGTATCTTCAATCCTGAGCAAGAATTGACCACCAGTGGCCTTCGCAAGCAAGTAATTATACAGTGCTGTCCTCAAGGAGCCTATATGCACATAGCCAGTTGGGGATGGGGCAAATCTTGTTCTAGCTGGTCTTTCGGGGAGGTTGTCCCATCTAGGCCTGCTTATTGAACTGGTTCGGCCTGAGAATCTGTATCGCTTGAAGATGTGAGATGTGTGAGATATATAAGGTGGTTGAGGTCGCAAGTGGCGGCAAAGAGAGCCGCGAACGATATGGAAATTGCTCATGACCTATTTGTCCTGTATTTCCTTAGTCATTATAATTTTCTTATAATTTATCTCGTTTTTATGTTGGCATCTTTGTCCCATGTATTTGCACTTGTTCTCTTCAATCTTTTTAGTGAATTTCTTATTTTTTTTTTCCTTCACCAGTGACCAGCCAGTCTTCAATGTTACTAGGTACTAGGTACCTAGTACTAACTAGGTAGTTACATGGTACATGGTCGACAGCTAGAGTGGGCCGCAAAATGCATGCCAAGTGTGGATAACTAGGTATGGTATTATGTAAACATCCCCCCACCACATATCCCACATGCATTTATCAGATCCCACGATCTTCTATACCTTAGATTCTCTGGAACACCATTCTAGTTCATTTCTACTCTTAATATACCATATCCCTAGATGCTACTGACTTGATACGGATTCTGTGATCGTAAGACACAGAGCCCTAAGTCCCAGCATTAGGAACCATAGAAGCACAAATAATTATTTGTTGCCGACAGAACGTCAGTAATCATCAAATCCATTTTCACCCCAGAATCAATTGATAACCTTCCTCTGTGGCCGCTCCGACCTTTCGGTCGTCGGCTCTCGGATCAGAGATGGTTGATTTACGGGCACTGTCGGGAATAGTCTCGGTGGCATCCGGTTGTTGGATCTTTGCTACTCCCGGTGCGGCAGGGGTGGCCTCAGTTATATCCATGCAATAGAACGGGGCTGATCGTCCTTGTAGCTGGGCTGTCGCTGCTGGGTTCCCATAGATATTGGGTTCGATTGACTGATGTGTAATGATTCCCGAGCGTCGTACGGCTTCTTCCACAGCCTGAGCTGTGGTGAGCTTCGGGATGTGATCATCACAATGTCATTGACATTGAATAGTACGTAGCCATAAGTTACATCATGACTTCAATGTTTCCAAGTTATTTTGAAAACTTGGAACACTTGTCAGATATACTGAAATCAACTCCGAGATACCTTCGGTGCCAACTGCGGACCCCGAGGACTCTGGGGGGTCGTCTGTACGGGATTCGCCCAAAGGCCTACCACTGCCTCTGCCCACTATGTATGATGGTACCTGGGAGTGTCTCCATGAGACGGTTAAATCGACCCAACAGTATAGCGATAGGAAACGTCTTGGAACGTCGTTTCTTCCTTCTCCCGTGTTTGTCGTGTAGAAACTAGGTAGTTTCCGATAATCTACAAGAAACTTACGCCAACATTAAGACCAGCCCCAAGAAACACTCGAAAGGCAGAATGGTAATTGACATTCGAGGTATGAAAAGGTAGCTCTAGTGACGCATTCCCTGTGCGCACAGAGGACGAAACCCTCAGAGTGATAACCAATCTCGGGGATGGCGAGGATGGCACAGAGACGAAAAAGAGGTGTGAGAGGGGTCTGAGTAAGCCATACCCAACACGAGTTTGGGTGGGAAGGGCACCACGAGGAATGATAGCCCAATCGATTAGTCTGCCATGGTTCCAAATTTCTTTGACTTTGCCTCGTCTGTCGGCGCCATGACTGAATTGGCAAGTGGTGGGAACTATTGACAAGCAAGCGACATGTTCGTGAAGCTGTGCTGGGTAAAGGAGCTAAATGCCCAAGGAACTCTGGATTTGACAAGTGTTGTCGGTATAGCTTATGTATCGATAGGCACTAAGTAACAAGGTACACTTTAAACGAGCGAGAAGTAGGTAACCAGTGGGAGGCGTCCGGTGCCGATGCCAGAGCCGTCTTCCTCGCCCTGTACAGCCTACCTACATCATTGTGAGGATGCCCACGTACCAGCCATCGAAAATCACGTCAATGTCTCAGGCCTTAGTCATTTGGTTCGTTCGAGAAGAACCCACGATGTTGGCTGGGTGCTTGAGGGTCTCCCTTAGAGGGGGGATATCTGCACGATCGCTAAGAGGAATGCGAGAGGCAGGGGTCCTCTTGCGAGTTCGGCGAGTCGAGGTGCGGCTCCTTGCCGTCTTCAGAGTCTAGAAACGCCCTCTTTGCCTTCTCCCGTTACGCTTTACGGCTATCCACAGCTTGATGCTACTTTTCTCGGGCCTGATTAAAATGGTGGCTAGAACGAGACATCCTATTATTTCTATGTCAATCCCGTTCACGGGTACCTCTAAGGCCGACAGGACTATTCGCGGTTTGGATCCGTACGCGACCTCTTCTGAGGATCCCCGCCAAACCCCCCTACCCGAGATCATTAACGTTGCGTTATAAGATGATTAGCAGTATGTCCCAAGGTTTTGAGGATGTAGCGCAATGGAAACAGGTGTACATCTGGCTTGGTCATTCACCCAGGCCGTCAGTATAGGCGTAGTAGGCGGCGGAGGTTGCCAATAGGTATGATTCCTAATAATGGAATTAGCATCACATCGGCCGGAGAAAGCCTGTGTTTTGGTGATTTGCGCCAGTTAAGTCTGGATAAATAATGCTCTGGGGATCTCGGTCGGCCATCTCCATAGCCCTTCGAAGCCTCTTGATGCCGCCCATTTCCGAAGTTGCGTGCGGACCACCTTAACTGACTGTTCGATCAATCCATTAGACCACGGCGAGTATACTGGACCATGTGCAAACCGTGTACCCACTCGAGGGTTGGCCATTCACTCCTTCAAAGAGAACCTTGAACTTGAAGGGAGTAGTTCTTAAAACCTGCAGACTGCTAACAAGAGCAAGGAGGGCTACATGTACATGTAGCCTCCGTAGCTTCCAGGCTGATGTTATACATCCCTACATAACAATGCTCTTGTTCTGCCTTGTGGCATTGCCTTTGGGCGATATCCCCTTGAATACTTCACCAGGGCCTGGCAAGACCCTGGTCAACGACGGATTGGAGCTGTCAGTCTTGTGGTGTATAGGTGAAGCCTTACAGACTTTGACTTAAGTCATAAGACATGCAAGTGTTAGCCGCTTTACACTTGGCTCGGAGACCATCAATCGATCAGGCTACCTGAGTCAGACAGCCTAATCTTGATTGAAGGTTGTGGAAGGACACGTCGGCTAACTACTAAAAAGGAGCATTAGCATGAATAGTGATGGACCGAAGACATGAGGTAGTATGCTGGAATTATAGCCTGAGACTTAAAGCGAAGGTAAAGGCTTGATATGTAAAGGCACATTGAACGACGAAACGCTTGGGAAAACATACCTAGGCTTGGTAAGTATCTAGTAAAGAATATATCAGTTGAGAGGGAGAAGACCACTTCCTCTCTTTGGTGTGGTATATCTTGACACTAATACCAACAACCGAGACGTCAAACTCTATGAAAAGCTGTCGGGCTGGGGAACAGAAGACCAGCTTGGTGTTTGCCAGTATACTCGACTTAACCTAGTAGAATGCGACATGCTCTTTCTGTGTTTAATGGGTGAATGCGACAATTGTCGCCCATGTTCGTCTTTGTTATTTGGGCATAGTGAAGAGTAGAATGGAAGCATGCGTTCCTAGCCGCGACAAGAAGAGCATCATGATATCCACCCATTTGATTCTATCATTATGTTAGTGTAGTTCCTGACATCTTCGTTGCTGTTGCCAACTCTGTCTTCATAGTTAGAGAAGAGACCGGTGAATATCTCTTCCATGGTTCTGTGCCTTTACGGGTCCAAGAGGCGGCAGTTGACGGCCATATTGGCCGAATGTCGTCGGCTCGAGGTGATCCACGGAGATCACATCGTGGATACTCGCAGTACTAGACGAAGCCTGGGAAATTTGGACCTGGAGGGAGATAATATAGAAGGCATTCTGGGCTCTCTTCTCGCCCTTGTCAATGTGGCAGTGCGCGTACCTGCCCGCCTTCATTCTCTCCTTCCAGGTCCAAATGTCCCCAGCCTCGCCTAGGATCTTTCGCAATACAACCACAAGAAGGAAGTGTGCGAACGGATTGGTTTGCTGGCGGTATTGCTCAACCTCAACGTCCCAGTCCGCTGCCGTCGTTGGGCCATCATCCACCATCATCTGCTCATTTCCACACCGGGTCCGCGTGAGGAGGATCAGCCGCTTGAGGGCCGCCCGGTCTCGAATCACCTTGCGAATCATCGCATTATTGGGACGATGCAGAAGGCGTCTTCGTACCTCTGGCTCATTTTGGCCCCGGTGTAGGGTTAATTAATTTGAGGGGAGTGATAGAGGGGAAGCAGTTCGTAGTATGAATCTTGTGGTTAGGGAGTTGATTGTGGGCGGAGTAAAGAAGGAAGCCAACAGGTAGTGATAAGATGACAGTGAAAAACAAAACAATGAAATGACCAAGATCAAATCAGTTGGAACGATGCAAGGACGGGTTAGGAGGAGTGCCGGGCGGAGTTGGCTGGGCATCTTGTTAGTTGAGGGACTTTTCTATGTGATATTCTGCATGAAGACCTGCTAGTCGGCGCGGTTGAACAAGAATACCGGGAGCTCGGTGTCTGCAAGATCCTGTTATGTGGTATTGCCACCAACGGCTCAATCGAGCGCTTGGAGATGTATTGGGCTGCTGTCGAGGAATGCTGCAGCATCACCCAGCCTCACCATTCCGAAGCGGTTGAAGTCTCTCAGACCGTTCGAGAGACTTCAAGAATGGAGAAGGGGAATTTAGAGCAAGAGTCGTCGGGGGGGATGAGGAAATGAAATTTCCCACGAGTTTAAATGTGGGAAGAAGGAGTTCTGATTCTTGCTGGGGCAAGGGGCCAACATATTGTGATTGACTAACGAAAGGAGAAGATGATTGAGACGATGCGACAGACTTGTTGCCGTCTTCACTGTACTGAGAAACTGAGGACCTCCGCGCCCAGCTCCAGTCTGGAGCTTTGCTCGGAGGTCTGATGTAGACAGATTGGGTATAGAAGTAGGCGTCCGAACCGTTGAAGGGGCATGACAAGCACTGAGAATCGGTGGCAAGATGGCTGAGCCTAGATGAGATTCGGTGTCGCCAAACCTTTACGAAAAATAGGCTATGAGGTGTAAAACTGGCTTTTCTCCGTGTGGGTATGGTTGTAGAAGGGCCGCGCCGACATGCTTTTCCGAGCTGTCGGTTTCCAGGATACTCTGCTTTGGTCAGTCGAACGTACTCAAGACTGGTGTCGTCGTGATTGTGTCTTTCTCCAGGCGTCTTTCACCTGTGGGGCCATTTTGATCTTGCCCTTCGGTCCTTTTGACACATCCATTAGAAAGTATCGAACAACGTACTAAAGCAAAAAGATAGTAGAAAGGGAAAGTAGGAATTTCTTCAAGCAAGACATGTTGGATGATAGGCGGATTGTTGTAGGAGCAGATATGTCAAATTGTAAAAGTCCCAGAATTGATCAAAGCATGAGATTATTGTGAAGCGATTTTTGTAATTGATCAATTCTGGGACTTTTGGTGTAGTAAGGAGTGTGCTAGAATAGAAGAAAGGTGTGGGTAGACGAAGTGGAAGAAGTGGAAGAAGTGGAAAAGGAAGTTCGAGGGCGCACTACATAGGCGTGTGTTGATCAACAACAGGTCATGCTCCCCTTTAGGTTTTTTTCTTACAATTTCGACTTCAAGCTTTTCTCAAGAAAAGAGGGAAATATATCATGTACGTCTCAAGAAATAATGCGTAGGGAAAGTACTATACCTGGGGTTGACGCGAAGGGGTACCTATGCCACCCCCCTTAATTCGGTTGCACCACCAAGTACTTCCACATCAACACATAATTTTTTTCTAGCGGACAGTAACTTCCTGTAAGGTTCTATAGGCATCATCCCCTTGCAGAAATCACATCTCAGTACCTAATAGTGAGCTGGATGTATCTGGAAACATGGTCTAGTAAGGCAGGTACCCCTTAAGCCCCAGCACTACAATGTCAGTTAGGCATATGATACATACATAGTACCTACCAACACCATTTACATATATGAGTCTAGGAAGTCACGCGCTAGTATTTTAGGCTCTAATTTCGATGTAAACCAAACGCCCTTTCCCTTTCGGATTATCGTACTGTGGGATTTGGGAGTTGTGACACTGTTGGGGGCAGTGGACCAAGATGTGCACTTATATCCTCATTTAGCACCTCTTTACGGTTATTGGAGGCTATTCCAGTTTCGCTTAGCTGTATTTAATTCATATAAACCATTGAACTGACTCTAGAGGCTTTCTACTGTTGGCTGTGATGTTGTGTAGCAAATCAACTGGCAGCACTGGTTCGTGAGTTTTCCAGTCTCAAGAAGACACGACAAGCATTTAATACAGTGGAAGTTAATCATGTATGAATCATATACGAGAGAATGCTATCAAAAATCTATATTTCAAGTTTCAGCATCCATATCTGGATGTCTGTAACCTCCCTCGCCCCTTAACATATGCAATGACAGGTTTGTTTCTAGTTTTACCACAAAGATATAGCATGACCACGTACAATGACCTAAAACCGTGGTGTTATACATTGGAGGGCCTTGTTTCACCCCTGTAGAAAGCTCTTGCTAATAGGCGGGACCAATACTGAGTACTGAATATTGGGCGATGGACTCAGCCAGACACGTACCTGCCCACCTCCTCACGTCTACCTGGGGTATCTATGACTCCAGGCAGTTACTACAAACATTTAATGGTAGGAACGCTCATCCATAAAACGCTCTTTCTATCTACATATATAGTGTACCCCCTATATAGGGAGATACCTACCTATGAAGTAGTAACTACATAATGTTGACTTGAAATTTCTCTGTATTTGCCAGAGTTTTCACTTGTTCTAACTACATACCCAGTAGGTATATATATGCTCTTAGAAACCCCCAACTCCATCAGTACTATGTACCATGTAATATTCTTCTTTCTACCTCAGGCAGCTACCTAGTACAGAAGCTCAACAAAAATTCCTACACTCTTTCCCTACTCACCCAAAACGCGTTCGAGTTCTTACCTTCGCCGTTCTTTCCACCTAAGGTTCCCTAATAATAGCAGGTATCGCTTTGTGTCTAAAAACGAGACACCTTATTCTTCCACTTATTCTTCCAAAGATCTCTTTTATTCACATGCCACATACCACATACTAGTTACGTGCCAGATACCAGATACTACATACTTCATACCATATCACATTAACAATAAATCGAAATAATGAGATCAGTTTGGTCTATCTCTCCGTCGCCGTCGCCGCCCCCGGCACCGGCACCTGTCGACGATAGTGCACCTCATCGAGGTGCTTTAACCCAAGGTATGTAAAGAAAAACCATTTTCAAGTGATTCTCTAGCTTTCCCTCATGATCCGAATGCCTTTGATTAGTATCCTCTAAGCCTGTTTTCCTATCTTCACAAATAGTTATGTATTCCAAATGCCGTCTTTTCTGCTCACTGTCCAGTGTTACTCTTTGCTCAACAATTCAAAGCACTTTCATTGAATGAATACCTTAAGCTGATCCATTTAACAGAAGCGCCCGAGGAACAACCTGCGGCTGTTCAGCCTCAAAACGTTGTCCCTTGTGAAGAGTGCGGAAAGGCGTTCGGAAGCCGTGCTCATCATTCCGAGCACAACAGATATATGCATACTGGCACTGCGTGCTACTACCCAGGCTGTTATGCTACCACGCCAGATGAAGCTAGTCTTCATCAACATCTAGCGTTTTGGCACCCATATCGGATAGCCCACAATGGTCGCTACCATTGCGGTTGGCCGTCCTGCACCAAGAGCTTTGTGAATTCTACTGGGGCTGTGCGATGCACTCGGTTCCACCAGTACGATGCCATGAAAGCCAGCGAGTAACGGCAGCTCCAACCGAAGGAGTTGCGTGAAGAAGGCGCCCGACCAATGTATGTTTTAGTGGTTCCCCAGAGGCGTATCGTGTTGGTACTTTGACTAACTCAGACTACAAGGGGCGGGCTAAATTTGGTCGATCATACCCGGCGTCAGTAGCCCTTCGCTGGGAAAGGGGATTGTCTTTTTCTACTTGGAAGTAACTCCATCTTGCTCACAATGTCGGAACAGATAGAAGATGTTATTGGTAGCTTCACACAAATATATCTCTAACTCCATTAATTAATGGCCTAGATCGTAATGCTGTGAAAAGTCCGACTTCACGTTCTCCATCAAAAACTTCAGAGCTAACCCTACATGTATTAAGTATTAAACAGCAATCCACCAACCTAGGTAGGTAGAAGAGACTGCCCATACCAGTAATGTGATCCTTTCGAATCAGCCCTGGGCTTCATATTTTGCAGAGTGTTTAGAAATCCTTTGGACTTCTGATTCTTAGGTGGCCCACCATACCAGCCCTACCTACATGTAACCCCTACATGTAACCATTCTGCCTCTTCTAGAACCCCAGCAGATATACTTATCTACCCCTGAACTATGTAGATACATCCTGGGTTACGTTTTGATCGTGATTTTCAGGGTTGTACAGGGGCCCTGATGAGAATGTAATGAGGCAGAACTAGAAAGCATAGAACAACATCATTGTTGCGCAAGGATCTCTAACATCTCCCCGGAGACTATGGAAGCTATCCAGGTACAACTATATATAGGTATGTAAGCTATCTTTGTTATATCCAGCCCTCAGGACGATGTAGACCACTGACAAAAGGGACCACACATCTCTTGGCCTGCTTGTACTGCGGCACAGCAGCAATCCAATGCAGTGTACCTACCGCCAAGTTGGGTAGCTGGGGATAACCCTCGGTGTTAAACCTGTTTTTTATTTATTTAGGTGAGTTAGGTTACGGCACATGGAAAAAACCAGAATGCTGAATAGGGCAGAAGGGCAAGGGTGCCTGCCTTGATATTCGTCTACCTAACCTAGCACCTATCTATCTAGCACGTAAAACGACATGTGTATTCGCGCTGCGGGGACGCCCCGAAGGGCTGGTACCAATCCTTCTTCCCAGAGCATTGCCACGGCTTCTCTCCTTCCGCTAGGTTATCCCACGACTTGTCTCCGTATTTCAGCTTGATGATGTAATGCTGCCAGTTCGATGGGGAACACCTCCTGCCCAGCCTGCTATTGTCAGAAGGAGGGAATACGGAAGACGAAGAAGAAGAGCTGGCAAACACGTCGGCGTCGGCGAACTCGGTAGTAGTAGTAGTATCCACGCCACGGCACTCCTGCTCGCTGACACCGGGCTCCAGCTGTTTGGGGAAAGAGACAGTGAGGTCCGACTTCAGCTTCGTGTCCTTGGGCTGCAGAGTTACATCGTCGCCCCACACCAATGTCGACCTCTTCGAGAAAAGCGTCGCGCCCCCGTCGTCGCGGACCGTCAGCGACGTCTCGAGCTTGTCCAGCGGGCCGTGGGACTGCTCCCGCACGAACACGTTGCACGTTCCTGTCTTGTACTCGGGCGGCTTTGTGGGCTAGGCCTTCTGAGTGGTAGTGGTGGTGGTCTTGCCTGCGCTTTTACGTGTCGTCCACGACTTCAAGCTGGTTGCGGATTGGGTGGCGAGGCCGAGGCTTGAGAATTTCGCGTCCACTACAGTATCCCGTTAGATTAGAAGTCAGCTATTTCATTCTCTCTTGGCGGAAGCTCCGAGCTCCCCATTAGAGGTGTCTATGCTTGCTTACGCCAATCCCGCAACTTTAGAGGCAGCCCCCCATCGAAGGTAGGCGCCGGGTCGCCATGATAAGTTCCCGTATAAAGTAGGTAGTCCACCTTCGGAACAGAAGTAATCGTTGTGGTAACGGTTTTGATATTGCAGGTCTTGGCTACATCGCTGTTGTGTCACAATCAGATACGATGCTTAGGTAAGGCTGTGCTGGAAAGGGGGGGGAACTCACTTCGGTTTCTTGGTTTCAGTCTTCACGCTCCAGGACCCCCGCGTTCTCTCCATACTATATGATTTTATTACTTTCACCGTTGGGGTTATTGTTTCGGTACACTCGTCATCTGCTGACTTTGACGTTGGGGTTGGAGATGGCTTTGTCTGGGTCGTGGTAGGATTATTGGTTTTGGAAGAGTTGGTAGTTTCGGGTGGGTTGCTAGCCTTGCTCTGGTTGTCAGTCTTGGTCGGGCTGTTAGTCTTGGTAGGTTTCTCGGTACTTGGAGGCTTGTCGTCGTTTGGTGGTTTGTCATCTTTCGGAGGCTTGTCGTCATTTGGATCTTTGTTCTGAGATGGCTTGCCAATCTCTGGCTGCCCCTTATTCCCAGGTCCAGGTATGATAGGCGGAAGATTGATATGAGGAAAGTTTATTGGGAACGGCAGGTTAGTCGGAGCTGGCGGCGCATATGTCCAGAGCCACCCAAAGGGGGCGATAACAACACCATCAGACGTAGTGGTAGTCCTCAAAGAGGTAAATTTCGGATCCACCACAGGAATTAATGTTGCGATAGGTGTTGGGTTTCCTAAACGAATCCATTAGCACATTATAAACTAGGTTGGGTAATAATTTACTTGGAATACTAACCATTAGTCGCAGTCAACACCAGCGTTGGCACTGGTGAAGGCTCTATTGTGGATGGGTTTTCAGTTGCTGAGGTCTGACTTGGAGCTTCACTCTCGCATTCACATTCGCAAGGAGGGCATTCTTCGCCCAACACCAATTGGCCTATGAGGCCTACCAGGAGAAGCGTATTTCTAATCGTCGGCATGATAATATATCAGGTGTTACTTGAATCAAGAACCGAACAAGTAAAATTCCGCAAGCTAAGGTCTTAAGACTTGGGCTGGTAAGGCACATCTTTAAAAGTCATGAAAGGGTAGCAAGGATAAATACGATGTGATCTTTTTTGGGCCCTGTTAACAATACTGCCTAGTACAAGTAGCATACGATAGCATTTACAAAGTAAGTACATGCTACACAGCTCATGTAGTGTACTAAACCCGCGTACTTGACGAATGTGGCTAACCTAATCGGATATATCGTAGGATCGCGTTAAAGTCTTTGACTTAGGCGGCTGATGCGGCTGATGCGGCGTTGAGGTAAGATGCAAGCATCATTGTTGGATGGAATTTTAAGGAACTTAAGCTTAGTACTTGGCTAAATGTCCAGTAGTTATTTTCGTTCTTGATTAGAAATTCTGTGCATGTGAATGCGTGATTTCCAAGAAATGGATGTCGATGCTTGTTGTGCTATATGTCTACCTAGTACTGGGTGCCAGGTACCTACCTACCCAGGTTCTGCAATAAAAGAGAATCATGGCTTAGGTAGGTATCTATTGGCATTTATCTTTTCCTCCTTTCAGTCCTTTCAATGAGCAAGACTTAGCTCAGCGTCCCTCTACTTTTCCTTCTTTCCACCAACCCTCTGAGTACTGGGTACTACATCTCTACCTAGAACACTTACGGCTACACAGACAATGGTTGGCCGTTCATTACTTATAAGCTTGGCCACCTGCTTATCTCTTGTCGTGACAGCCCAAGCTGGAGAGATCACCCAATTCTTCGTTGGGTACTCGCCGGATGGAGGCCCAGAGATAAACGGGTGTAGTGGGCATGGACAAGATCTGGCAAATGCCTGGAGACAACTTGGACCGGTAGCTAAGATATACTCCTAATATTCGTAAGAAAGATGACACTGACCTGTTTCAAAAGCTCGCCAGTGCCGCCCACAAGGCAATACTAGCATTGGAAAAGCCCCAGCCACCTGGCGATGACTTCGACGAGGCTCGATGGAATTGGAACAACAACGCTAGAATGATTCTAGAAACATTGGCAGTAGGGATAGACCCAGCTACGGGAGGACCAGTAGACGAACCCGGGATGGATGAAAGATGGAAGTACGTCAAGCAGATCGTAGAAGACATCACGTTCGCCTGGGACAACAACCATCTACCGGCATTATCGGCGAATCCAGAACAGATACAGATGAACTTCCTCTTTTGCGGAGACAAAGGGTGGCACAAACTGAGACCGACGGCTATTTTTCCCGACACTAATCCTCCTCAAACCTTTGCTGAGTTCAGTGTTGATGGACAAGTCTTGCTCCCTGATGGGTTAGTGACACCTTGAGACCACGATATTCGTTATCATACCCACATATCCGGAAACAAATTCTGACCCCCTATTCTGCAGTGCCTGGTGGTTCAATGGCCTGATGGTTAAAGTCTTCCCCGACCAAAACAAAGACGCGCCTAACATGTGCGATGGCAGAGTGTCAGCGGTCTCAATTTTCTATCTTAACGCCATAGTTATCTGTGACCCAATATGGAATGCGGAGGTTACTATCAGAGAAATGGTACCCGAGTCGGCGATAAAGGAAGACCAATACATATTCGGGGTCGCGCAAAGCGTCACTGGAACCTTGTATCACGAAATGGCTCATTTGGTTGGATTGCGTCGGTATGGGAATCTCTACGACCGTAAGTCATTTCTTCGAATCCAATTTTTCAATTCAGAACGCTCGTTTGGATACTAGCATGAAGCAATATTTGTCGCAAATGCTCAAGATATTTCCGACTTCTTTGATACTCATTGGGAAAGGGAAAGAAGAGAGCTAACCTTCCCATTCTAGAGCCTTTCTATAACGACGACGGCACACCGATGATGGATTCGAATGGCCAGCCGGTTCTCACATATGGGCCTGCCAAGTGTGTGGCGTTGGCGAAAATGAGACCAGATTTGGTCTACAAAAGCGCTGATTGCTACCTTTATTTTGCCGTATCAGCGTGAGTATAGACTTCATTCCCACAATATCTTTTATTGATTAGCTTAGACGGGTTTCTAACAAAGCAACAGGTTTTATTCAAAGTTTGACTGGTCATCGCTACAGGCTAAGAGTAGAAGCCCACCACGGGTTATACCGCCAGGGGTTAGGCCGCCTACGTAGGAAAATAGGACCTCACATGTATCATAGCTGCAAGGCTACCTAGTATTACAAGAAAAACAAAGAATAGAGGTCATACAGAACGGTTCAAGATGGTACAAAGGATAAATGATGAAGGGTGGCAATGCCCCCGATAGGTATTCGTGATACTGTGGCTAGAGATGTGGCTGGTAACAAAGGGGGTGGCTTAGACGTCAACCTATCTTCAACGTCCAATAAATAAATAAAGCATCACGAACCCTTATATATAATAGAGTCAAAATCCAAAAGTTCAGTGTCAAAGTGCGTTGAATACTGACGATGGTATTGGTTATGTTGTATTCGATCTTTATTGAGAGCTGTCACTATACACCTGCCTTTTCCCCAAGGACTTGCGCCCAATCCAACCCAGCGGCGAATGCCAGGAACTACTCCTCCATCGCATTCTCCCGCTAGTCTCTGATGTTAGCGATGATCTCTAGAAGGCTTGATTTTGGCATAGAATATTACTCACCTCCCTCATCGCGGCCTCAAAGGTATGCTTTCGCGCGCACCGTGTCGCGCTGTTGGGCGTAGCGAACGTCTTCTGGCAGGCGCCCACACCGTTCGCGTCTCCCCTCCAGTTGCACTGGAAGCGGCCGTCCTCGCGCTTGGTCCACTTGTGCGCGAGTATAATGTGCTGGCGGAGGCCGACCTCGTTGGCGGCCGCGAAGCCGCAGCCCTGCCAGAAGCAGCGGGTGCCGATGTGCAAGAACGTCACGTGCTCCTTCAGATTGTCTGCGGTATAGCTGTCTTTACCGCATATCTGGCACCTGAATGGGGCGGGGCGGGGGCCAAATACCGGAGCCATGGCAGGTTCCGGGCCAGGGACCTGACCGGTCCCGGCGGCAAAGGGTTGAGCTGCGGGGGCGTCGACAGCAACGACAGCAGAAGCGTTTCCTTGGGCAGTGATGCCGGTGTCAACGGAGCCGCGAACTGGTGCCTCAATAGGGCCATCGACAGGAGCGTCAACGTTGCTAGTGTCGGGCTTCTCTGGTGCTTGGCTCACCATCACTGCTATGAAGTAAATACACGAGTTAGTGAAATGATAAAAGAATATATTGGAGAGTGAATGAAGATTGAATTGATGGGATCCGTCGAAGGAAGCTATTGAAGCGATGTTGAATCGCTTTAAGGTCAAGTTCTTTCTCCCAATTTGTACGTACCTTGGGCAGCTTCTACTTGCGCCTGAAGCTCGGGCGCGTATAGTCCAGGCGCGATTGGAAGAGGGTGACGCCCATTGGGAAGGACTGGGCGAAGGTGACGAGGAGGGAGGCGATGAGCTGGCTTGCTGTTTTCTTGGCCCATCTTGAATGATTGAGATAACTGGTCTTTGAATTGCAATCAATCTTTGTGTTGTGGAATGAGGAATATTTACCGTGAACTTGGTGTTGTCGCGGAATATTCTTTTGCAATTTATTTTTTGGTTGCGGACAGGAAGGAAAACGGTAGCTTTTCAAGGTCGTTAAATACTTATCGTTGGCAGGTTCAGGCTCCACCAGTCCTCGCTGCGACGAGCAGGTTTCTTTGTGTGCGCGAGAAGATTTTGGCCTCAGGAACACATCCGCCGCTCCTATTACAGTGAAAATTTTAACATGCGCCTTAGGCAGCCGGTAGGGAGTTGTATTGCGCGAATACACTTAACATGCTCACCCTGAAAGCAACGGAACCGTTCGGTACCATCTGCTCGGTAACAAACAGGAGGAAATACTCTCACTATCTGGGCAAGGAAAAGTCACATAGAGTCTTAGGGCTAGTTTTATATATATATTGTGTTCGAACATCTCCATCTTCATGTTGGCATCGATAATATACCTACCTACTATGAGTGGTAGCTTGGGGATTCAAAAGTTCTCAAATGGCGCTGCTTTATATGTTTTGGGTAGAGCATTTAGCAACAGTCATCAGAGAGACTGACATGAATCTACGGAGAACGTATTAATGGGCAAACCTTCTGACTCATCAGTGTAGCGGGATTATCTGAAAATGACTACTATGCCAATTTGTAAATAGCATGGCTTCAAACATGGTCACATATTCTTAGAGTCAGCTTTGGTTTTTTATTTTTTTTATTCACTATATAGATGACTGGTCACGAGTGGCACTCGCGCGAGCGGCGGCCTCCTTTGCGTCGTATGTATGGAATCTAGCACAACGCAACGGACCACTCTGCTTGGTAAACACCTTCAAGCAAGGTGCGCCCCCGTGTCCATCCCCTGGCCAGTTACATACGTACTGGCCCTCAACTAGGGTGTAGCTATGGGCCGAAGAGAGGTGGTGGCGCAGGCCTCGTTCAGTCTCCATAGTGGTGTTACAGCCTTGCCAGTAGCACACGGTTCCGATGTGCATGTACTTTCTGTGCTGTTCGGCATTCGCTCGTGTCGTAGATTCTTTCTGGCACAGATCGCAAATGTATAGAGCCTGTTGATCCGGTTGCTGATCTTCCCGTTCATCAGGCCCAGTGCCTACTATACGTGTCAAGTTAGTATAGAGCGTTCCTTCGGGGAGAAATCAATGAGAGGTTCAAGGAGTTTTCGAGCAGAAACTCGAGCACTTCTTGACTACTTTGATTATCTCATGAATACATACCGGAGACGCTGCGAATTGGAAGGGGACCCATGGTCATTCCACCCAAGGTGGTGCCACTTGGAAGGGACCTCAAAGAAGGGTAGACCCCGCGGCCTATCGGTAGCGGGTGGCGGCCGTTAGGTAGAGTAGGTCGAAGTGATGGATCAAGACGACGGGGAATGGGAACTTGAGTTTCTTGACTCATGTTGATAGCGTCCGACATGTTGTAATAGTATTTGTGAATTAAGTATTGAAGAAATTGTTATGTAGTTGTATGTAAGACTGGTGTTTGGGGTGATCTGTCGTGACGACCAAGAAGGGTTGATGAAATTCACAGAGTTGAGAAGAAAAGATAGTTTTGTGTCGCATTTAATTGTATTTATTTAATTGCAAAGTAGGTAGGAACAAGTGCGACGGCTGGCTTATATACTTCTGCTGAAATTGGATGCCTGAGGAATCTATGGGCGTAGTCCACGAAAATAACTGCTCGCGCTAGCATCTCTTCCTCGGTGTGTTTTTAAACAGTGTGCTGCACTTATGGTACCAAAGTGACAATGAAATTGCACACCGTGATGGTGTATCTAGGTACATACAATAGGAGAGACTCCCATGAGCAAGAATGAGCAATGAGGCATATCAAGCAAGAACGGGAATTTATATAAAGTAGGCTAATCTAGCAGAAATCCATATTTATTTCTGAATATACTTGTTACTTTATAAACCAGCAGAGAGTCGAAGATCAATCCAATTGTGATGGTCTAAACAGGTTTGATCAAGTTGAAGTATAATGGCATTGGAGATGATATATAACGTGGCCTTCTCGTAGGCCAATTTCAAACAACTTCTACGACAATATAACAATCGTTTGATTCCAACAATGGAAATATTCTCAGTGGTGTCAGTAGACATACTCTTTGAACGCGATCCAACCTCTTGCCCCTTTTCCCCGCTATTCACCCCTGAGCCCCACCACGCCAACATAGACTCTAGCAAAACATGTATTATCTGTACCCAAACTGACCAAGTGTGGCCATGAGAGTATTTACTGTTGACTAAAGTAGAATTTATACAATGAGATATAACAATTGTTCGTTAAGATGTGTCATTTCACCCCAGAGTATGAGTCGTTATTGGCTCCTCGACAAACACCTCTACGATCCCTGCCTTCATCCCCACGGGGCAAAATACACAGGTATCACAAATGAAAGATACGTCAATAGTTACGATACTTCAGTGTTTTGGTATGTTTATATTTTTTTTAAAAAAAAAAAAACATGCCTAGTGCCAAAACATACATAGCAAATCTCTCTCTGCGTGCTTGTGCCGATTTCTCCTGTCATACACGCCCACACCCTGACCCAAGGGATACCCATATCCTAGCGATTGCTCGCAGTTACTCTAACTGTTCATATCCAAGCCCCTAAGAAATTTTAACATTGGTAGAGAGGGTGCTCATTCTCATTATACATATGATATCTACCTGAGCATCGCAATTCCGGAAGGAATAGGGGGATCAAGCTTGATGGACGCAAGGTCGATCATAGTACAGCTCCAACATTGTTGGGACCAAACAACATCATTTTGTCATGATTGTAGAAGAAATACTTCTTCTCTCTTGTTACTCTGCGGTCTTTTTTGACTTTTCATACTATAGGTAAAGGGAGTGTTCGTGAGCTTAGGGAGAAATCGAAATAACCCAGTTCCTAGTCTCGCCCCCCTTTCCATCACCATTCATGTTCTGTTGAGAATGTATAGAACAGATTAATGAAGACAAAGAATGTGTTGATATTCTCCTTTTTATTTCGGTTTTCTTGTTTTTTCTTGTTTTCTTTTTCTTTTTGTAAAAAAGATTATTTGTATGGCCATGGATTAGGCCATGAATGAGTGTTGAACCCGTCATCCTTTACTTAAGGACGCTCTCGTAGCTCTGGGAATGGCGAAACCGTGTTCTCATTATGGTAGTCTCTTTCACTTCTTCTTGTATTGATAGCCGCTTTAACGCCGAGTATTGCTCTGCCGCCAACTTTCCACGATGTCCTGGGCACGAGTAGTGTTCGGATAAGGTCGGCGTCCAGACTTGATCCACGATGAAACATCATACTCTCTCTTTCGTTGCTTTGCACGCGATGCGTCATCGTTTACGTCGAGGTCGCGGTGCTGGCGTTTCTGTCCTGGCCTCGTTTGTGGCTTGGTGTCCTGAGAGGTTGGTCTGAATCCGCGACCAACTGCCATGTCCTTTGGAGGAATTATCGCTGGTGGGTCCTCACCATGGTCATTGCGTTCATTGTTCGCGACTTTCTTGTTGCGCGCAGCCTTTTTCTTCCGAGCAATCTCTTTCTCGTGCAATATGGGGAACTCTTCCTCTATCACATCATCGATATGGTCAAAATCGTCGTCTTCAGCTTCGTGGTGACTGGAGGGCGGGGTTGCAATCTGAATACGCCTACTATCGCTCTCGTCATCCTTGATCGATACTATATCTCCGATAGACTCTGTGTATTCTGATATCACATCAAAATCGGTGTCCGAGAGTGCTGTCACATTAGGATCGCTTTCCGAGACTGACTTCACAGAGGCACCCTTATAGCCGCCCATTTTAACGAAGTCAACCCAAGCCTCTAGCATCCAATTGAACACTCGTACTGACGTGGGATCATCCGACATAGTCTGACGCCGCCCGTTGTACGTTGAACGAACATAATAATGCTCTGACAGATCCTCCCATTCATCATCGTATTGAAAAGCATCATATCCCAAAGAGCTAGTCCACGTGAGCGTACGTGGGTACGCGAGTAATTGAAAAGGATACGACTTTTCGACAACCTGGTACAGACAGAGCCACCGGAATAAGCAGTCGTTGCAAGGCTTCCACGTAGTCCAGTCACTTGCTATGCTTTTCAAAGTACGATGAGTAGGGGGGTCGCATGGGGTGGTCGGGAGTCGATCCTTGTCGCAATAGCATACCCAGTTGCACTTCCTGTTAGTGCATTGCGATCCAGCAACTTGAAGGGCTCGGTCCTTGTAAACAAGATAAATCCCATCCTCTGGGAAGTCAACGATATGTCGACTACCCTTGCCAATGCCTAAGAGCACTTTAGATCGAGGTTCACCCCTGCCGTCATAGGTAGAAGCTATAACCGTCATGGGTTGAGAGGGAATAGCCGAACAGGCGACGCAGTTATGTTCTGCGACCATCTTAAACTAGAAAAAGGAAGAGTAAATGTCTGAATTAGACCTTGCGTCTATCTCGAGTTGAAAGATGATCTCGGAGTTGAAAGGATGGGTCTAGACAATCTAGAAGTGGGAGATGACGGTTAAAGAAAGGTAAAGGTGTATCCTGGCTGACAGTTGAAGATGAGTTATGGGAGTTGTGGTAAGTAGGTAGGAATGAAAGTTGTATATTAATGATACTGTATATTGACTTCCGATGGAAAATTAATTGCAGGTTGGGAATTAAGGAGATCTGAATGCTAGAAACGCTGTAGAGCCTTAGGCAACAAGGGGTAAAGTACCTAGGTAGGTAACTTCCAATGTTATCAATAAAGATGATGAAGCTATCTCAACATGTTATGTTTATCCTATACAATCATATATAGGCATCCAAACAATATTGTTCCATAAAACAATAAGGTAAGGTATGATACTCTTTATCGAAGTCTGGAACAGCGATGGCTATATTAGCACCTCTTGTTTGTCTTCATTTCTGGATAAAAACCCTCACGGAACGAGGTAGGTGAGGCAGATCCGAGATGTATGTTCAGCCGTCTTTGTATAAGTTTGAAATCTGAACCCCTTCACGGTTTAGGCGTTTAGGAAAAGTATTGAATTAGGAACCTAGGAGAACATACCGTCTTCACTTACTACCTAGTAGATAGACAACCTATGATCCTTACCAAGCCACGCCAACCGGTCGGATTATGAAAATAAAGCAACAGGCAGCTCTGTAAGACGTAGGTATTCTGTATGTGTTGTGTGCTGTATAATCCACCCTAGTCTGCCGAATGCTCCAAAAGAAGTACCTAAGGTGGTGTCGATGCGCCGTTTGATGTCTCGAGTATCGACCAAACTTATCTCAAATAAGTATATAGGATGACGAATCCGAAGAGATTAGACTTGAATTCAATAAGGATCTACCTAGGTAGGTAGGCATTTACCATCGCGATAGTAGATCAAAATCGAGGAGTGGTCGTAATATTAGTGCGTGGAGAGATGCTGTATTATAGCGTTTACGAGCCGACCCGATTTGCAAATCTCACACCGTTCGATCACCTGAGTTCAGGCTTTAATGGCCTGGAGCTCATCCCGAAACGTAGCCTGAATTGCAAGTTCCTATACCTTTTTACCTCGAATTCGTTAGGTCGCGCCACGCTCGTTCATTCGCGTACAGCCTCATCCGTCTTAGATCTACACGTGTCACAGCCCAACTCGCGCCTTACCGCGCCGTGTGGCATTATGATTGGAGGAGCAGTCTCACATCACGAGTGAACGTATATCGCCGAAAAGGGCACTGATTAGTAGTAAGAGTCATAATACGTGTCATCGTAGAAGGCGTATTGTATTTCCCTAGCACGAAAATTACATGCTAGCTCGAATTCCGTCCGTAGACCATAGAGCGTAAAACCCTTCCCATGCATGCAAAGTAGTTGGTGAAAACGAGAAACCGGACACCCCCAAATCCATTGTCGCCACCGTCCTCAATAGCCGGTACCATCTTAAATTTCCGTGGTAACCTTGGCCTTGGGGTTGGTGACCTTGACACCCAATTGCTTTGCTCGGGCAATGATGTCGATACGCTTTCTCGACGAGACGCTGTGGGCGATCCTATAACCCCCATTAGTTAATTTGGTCATCACCAAGGCTTTAGGGTGATTTGATTCGACATACTCGGCAGCGTAGGTACGGTTGTGCATCAAAAGTAGCTCGACATCCTTTGTGTTGTTGACGAGGAAGGCCTTGTGGCCGGAGGGCATCATGTGACGAGTCTTCTTGTTAGAGCCGAAACCAATCTAATTACCACATCCGTATTAGCAAAACAATATTTCCGGATCCTTTGATTGTAACTTTATAGTGAATAATGGTTTAACGTACCGAGGGCATAGTCATGCTACCTCTGAATCGTCGTCGGACTCTGTTGTCGATACCCTTCGGCTTGCGCCAGCTGCGGTCGAGACATTTGAAGCGATCGCTCTGGTGGCGGTTGAAGGTCTTGGTTCCTATACAAAATCATTCCGTCAATATTTCATCCTGTTGGGTTTTCTTTCTTCTTTTTTTGAAATTCTTTCTGTCCATCTTCACTTCAGGGCGTGTCGTGTGAATCGAGCAATGGGTAACGGGTCGAACATACGCTTCTTGACGATCGGGACATGTTTCTTTGCGGCAACCATCTTGAATTGAAATTGTTAGTATGATAAAATTGAGGTATATTAGATAGTAGGCAGTTCAAATAGTTTACCTTGACTGATTTCCTGGTCGATGTCTTGATGGAGGTGGGTGGTGATTTGTTCGGTCTCTAATCGCGAAAATTCAATGAGGTATGGGTGCAATTGAGAGCCACCAAAACTTTCCAATTGCGCGCACAACAGCCTAATTTTCCGCTAAGGGTTTTTATTAGGGCTGGTAGGAATTTTGGTCACGTGGAGAAAATTGAAACTTTGAACATTTACAGTTTGTGAGTGGGTACAGAAATACAAAGGTGGAGACTGCCAGGACACTGTGTGTGCTCAGCCACTTGTGGCTAACTATAACTATTCTAACCTACAAGGGTCAATGAACATTGAACTTGAAGCCTACAATGCTGAGGTTCACTGTGCAACATTCAATGTTCAAGTTGACATCGGAACATAGGTACTTAAATGTATTAACCTCCTATCATCTTTGGCAGAGTGCTACCCGATCCAGGAATGTGCCAATCATTCATCACAACAACCATAGTAGTAAGAGAAATACGATTGGTATATTACCGAGTCTCCTGTAGAATAATTGCTAGGTAGCAATATCTCGGCGACATGCAGTTCTGTAAGAGTTCCAGTATTGGACTCAGTCTAATAACGTAAAAATGGAGATGTAATTCCTCTCTCTGATCCCTCCCGTCGAGGGAAATCCCTATCCGCGATTTCTATAGCCATTGACTCTCCTTCGTCACTGCCATGGGATATTCGTGGTAAAGCCGAACCTGGTTTTGGTGAACTGCCCGTGGTTCATAATAAACCGAGATCCTCATCCGAGATATCCAGACTCTGCCAAACCAAAAGATCGTAACTCATAACTCATTACTGCTGTGCACATTGTGGTCCAGCCTCCTCGTCATCATCTTCCCATCCTTCCCCAAAGCGTGGGTCACCCGAATTTGCACCCATCTAATTAAATGTTAGTTATGATTAATTTGAGGACAGCAGCTGTATATAAAACATACCTCATCAATGTCAGCGTCATCGTCATAAGCCACTTCGTCAGACTCATCAACTTTGATCTCTGGTGGAGGGCCAGGCAAGAGTTTCTGAAGAGACTCATACGCCGCATCGTCCTTGAGCCAACCGTCCTCGGGGAATTCAATCTTTACCATAAGATAAAGATTTCCTTTGGATTCTCCTCGCTTCAATGGCATACCCTCACCCTCTACCTTGAGCACCTGTCCTGGGTGGAGCACCTTGCCTCGTGGACGGTCAATGTGAATACCTCGACCGTCGAGATGCTGAATAACAACACGGGAGAAGCCACAAAGAGCCTCCGCAACGGTGATATCAAGGTCGGCTGAGAGGTCATCTCCGATGCGGTTGAAAACCTCGTGAGGCTCCTCGTCAAGAACAAAGACCAGATTGCCGGGTGTTTGATCGGGGTGTTGGTCTGCTTCGCCTTCAAGGACGATTCGCTCGCCCTGACGCGAGCCACGGGGGATGTAGATCTCGAGCGGCTTGGTCTCTAGGACGGTGCGCTTACCCTTGCACTTCTTACATCGGTCCTTTTCCTTAAAGTAGTTACCGGAACCCTGGCACCTATCGCACACAGCCGCTTCGCGCGTGATGAGGCCGGGCCCAACTTGTCGAAAGGCTTCCACGTGGCCGTGTCCCTTGCAGCGATCGCATGTTTGGGGCTTGACCTTCTCTTTGCCGCCGGTGCCTTTGCAAGTTCCACATATGACATTCTTGTTGGCAGCGAATTTGACAGTTTTGCCCTTGTAGAGGTCCTCTAAGCTGACGGTATACTTGGACTCCTCATCAGGACCACGTCTCGGTCTTCGAGGTCCAGCTCCGGGACCGCCGCCCATGCCACCACCTCCCACGCCCATGCCAAACATCTGTGCCAAGATATCGTTGATATCAACCTCTTCGCCCATACCTCCACCTCTGGAAGGGTCGAAGGCAGCCATGCCATGTTTGTCGTACATGGCACGCTTCTCCTCATCTCGAAGAATTTCGTAGGCTTGAGTTACAGACTTGAACTTGACTTCGGATTCTGCTCGCTGATCTTCGGGGACTTTGTCGGGATGGTGTTGTAGTGCAAGCTAACAGATTTCAGCCTCGTCAGCAAATGTTCCGGTAACATTATCATATTGCAATATTGTCAAGAATATTCATAACAAGAGAACATATATATCTCACCTTTCTGTATGCCTTCTTGATATCATTCTGGCTTGCGTCTTTGCTAACCCCGAGAAGTTCTGAAGGCGTTTCGTTTAGTCAGCGATGCATAAGACTGGGAGGAATTGCGGTGGATGGTAAGGTCCAGGCAATCAAAAGATTCACTTACCATACAATTCGACATCGTCGCCCTCGGCACCCGGACCAGGTGACGACATGATGAATTAAAATAGGGTATGGTGATGTGAAGTGAAAAAGGTGATATATCTTGAAGAAGATTATGCCGTGTAGGTGCTAAGTAAGTAAGTAGGCGGGTCTCTGTCTCTAGTCGTATAGTGGGCTGCGAAGCAGAAAATATTTGGCGGGGCAGTCCTATGTAATAATGTGCACGTTGGTCTTGGTCCCTGTACTCCTTGACTTTTTGAGTCCAGGTTGTAGCGGACTAGCAGAGAAAAACAAGCCCTTGTAGACTGTAGTGCAAGTTGCAGTTTCTAACTAGGTGCATGTATGTCCCGTTATCGCCGTCGCTACACTTAGCAGACGCTAAGCAATTTCTCAATCAAAGTGACGCGCTTTCTCAAAGTTTATTTCTATCGGAACAACTAGAAGGCAGAGATTTGTAAGGCTGACCACTGGCAATTGCTGCCTACTATGTACTACATACCTACATGCATCATTGATGTTGTGATTGGGCAATCATGTAGTCCTAGTACATATGCAGTACCTAGTAGCTTTTCAGGGTCACTGCTTCTTACAGGCCTTATACTGCCTACCTAGGTACCTATAACCCCTATATATATCCTCGACTTTCAATTCTTCAGGGTTGAATTTTAACTACAAAGGTATATGCTAAGTATCCAGTACTACTAGTTAGTACCTACCCTTTCAATAAATGAACTGCTAAAACCCCCACCTACTACTAAGATAAGGCTACCTAGGTAACGAATCAAAAAATTATGTTGTCGATAAAGCCATTCCCCTGAACCCTTCTTGTGCAATAATATTGACTCTGGACTACCCTAGGTATACACGATTACATCATACCAACCTAGTTATGTATGTACCTGGATTATAAGTATATTAGCCAATCGCATTATACACTTTATTCTTTGCTGAGACAATTCCGCTGATGATTCTTGAAAAGAATAAAGAAAAAATAATAATGGAGTGATTGCTATTTCCGACATATACTCTAATTCTCTATCTCTATGTTAGGTGCCTCTATTCTAATAGCCTGACCATAATAACATGACGAAGTTATGTACACTTGCGCTATCGTACATTACATTCTACATTCTATATTTGACATCCCATACCCTCAGCCCCATCGTGAGAGTACTACATCAAAGTCAAAACCTCGATATATCCCTCCCAAATATCCAGGACAAGGCCCAGTAAAACGGAACGGTAACCTTGTTGCGTATGCTCATGCTACGCGTGAGGTAGGCGGTGCGCCACAGGACCCAGGCCATCCACCCCTTCAGCTCGTCGGCACTGCTCTGGTGGATGGCCGTCCAGTTACCCAGGTATGTCATTGTTCCCAGGTTACGGAAGCGAAACGGCTTCTGAGCCACGTCACCTTTATTCAGTCGCTTTGCCAAGTGTGCTGCCTGCTGGCTCGCCACTTGTGCTGTCGCTGGTAGACTCGTCTCCGAGATCACTGTGCAGTCCCCGATGCCGTACACGTCCGGCAAAAGCGACGTTTTTTGCCCATTGTTTGGCACTGGCTCCCCTGTGGTCGTGCTAGGGATCATATGTACGCGAAGATTGGCATCTGTGACGATGCCACCTGTTTTAGCATCCTTTTGTAGCTTCATCTCTGAACCCGAAGAAGATAACTTGAAGGCCTTTTCCTCCAGCTTCTGGATTAAGGGGTTCTGCATCAACCCGGTGCTCCACACCACGATACCCGCGCCAACCTCTTCATCACCGTACTCCTGGATTTTCAACTTAAAGCACCCTTCGCAGTCCTCGTCAGGCCGGAGCCGGGTAAGATGGTGTTCCGTCTTAACGTTGATACACTCGCGCTTGAACCGATCCATGGCGTAATCAGCCAGCTTCTTGTCGAACATGGGTAGTACCTTGGGCGCTACATCGTACACAGTAATGCTTACGAATTTCATCAAGCTCGGATACGTTTTTGTAAGGTCGTCTCGAATTAGATCGTGCAGCTCAGCGGCGTATTCGATGCCGGTAGGTCCACCACCCACAATGGCGAAATGCAACAACTTTTTACGCTCCTCATCTTTTGTGATGGGAAGTGCAGCCTTCTCGAAGTTTTGCAGCACTTTCATGCGGATTTTACGAGCATCCCCAACATCGCGCAGAAAGTTTGCGTGCTCACGCACGCCTTCCACGCCAAAGGTCTGTGAGTAGGAGCCGATTGCGATAACAAGCTTGTCGTATTCGACATCGAACATAGAACCTTTCCCCTTTTTACCATCGGGATGGTGGGTTAATGCCAGCCGCGTTCTCGATGCCAGGTCGTCGGAAGTATTCGCTTCCACGCGAATAGTCTTGTGTGCGAAATCAATATCATCGGCCCACCCTTGATGAAATTGGTCAAGGGAGAGTCTCCTAACTGGTTCAACGACAGCTCGAAATTCCAGCGTGCCCACCGCTGTACCAGCAAGTAAAGGGGTGAAAACAAAATAGGACCGAGGTGAGATCATGATACGCTCATATTTATCTGGGTCAAGGCTACGCGCGAACCCGTACCCAGCCCACCCTGATCCCAGAATAACCACACGTTCCCTTTTGCGCCCATCGCTGGTAGCTGTGCTAGCTAGTCGCAGCCCGCGAGAGGCATATGGTAGGTGGCCGAGGCCAAGAGCGTTGAGGGATGCGGCTGACCTTTGTGTCAGCAAATGATAGCTTGCCCTAGCAGTACTACTTAGTTGTAGTGTTGATGTTGCCATAACCTATAACGGATAAACATGCGCGATGAAGAAGAAACAGGCTAAGGTTCGGTCCTGATGTAGTTGTATGAGGTTCTCGTACATATATGAGAAAAGTTACTTACCAGGTGAGTATTCTTCTTAAATTCCAATAAATATAAAAACGAAAAAAAAAACCCAATATCGAGATAACGAAAATAATACGGCTTGTGGTGTTCCACTTTATCTTCCTTCTAAGCTCTAAGCTCACGAGCGGATGAGTGAGAATGGGTGAGACTGAGGCTAAAGAAGGCTGGTAGGCTGTCTCACGACGCTTTCAGCTAAGGTCCGAGGACTAGCCCAGTTATCCAATTGATTAATAATGGATCCCTTCATTACCGATGAATCCGGTCGCACTAACTGGCCAATTCCCGCAGTCTTTCGGGATCCCGAAATCTAAAGGGGCCCGCTCTATTCCGGCGGTCTGGATACCTACATGCCAGGGTTATTTATTTGTAGGTAGGTATAGAGTCATTTCGCGTGTCAGAAGATCAATGGATCACCAGGGACTTTTTTTCTTTTTTTTCCTTTTTTTTCTTTTTTTCTTTTTTTCTTTTTTCTTCTTTCTTGCTTTTCCTTTTCCCCCTTTCCGCCTTCGCTACCAGGCTCTTGCATGTAGTCGCTTAATTTATATCTCCGTACTCGGAGTAAGCAATAATTATGTTATGCGTTTTACTCATGAGCTCAATTTTGTCATATTCCCCTATTTTCTATTTTCCTCGGTGGCTAAATTGAAGGGTCAGTTGGCTCTTGGCGACCGATCCTTCTCACATGAACTATGCACCTGAGCTCAACTCAACTTTTCTTATGCGAATGCGAGGCCACAAGCAAGAGAGAAGGACGAGAAAGGAGTCATAATGAATCTCTAGATATCATCACCCCCATATAAATATACCTAGTACATACATGTACATACACCTATTGAGACCGGCGCATTTGTAAGGCGAATTCGGCCAATTAAAAGCGAGTCGACGACCGGTGCCTATTATCAATATTTATCAGGATAACAAGAATCCCGCTTTGCGCGCTGCACGCTTCGCATGCTTGCTTTAGCCAAGAAGCACACTCCCTCCTATGCCGCTTACCTACGTTGAAGAAGCAAACAGTATACCCTCTGCACTTCCCTCCCGGACTTATTACTAGATGCCGCATCTACATATAGACTTGCATATGCAAGTTTCGGGCCTGTGGGAGCCGGTGTCCGAGACATTTTGACATACAGGTATAGCGCAACTGTCATGGCTTTAAAACGGTTACAAGGTCGTTCATTATCTCTTTACGCGTATGTGTCCGCCCTCTCAGCCCGGACGCGGATGGGCTAGAGAGTGCTCATAAATAAATCCTTGGAGTATTAACGCCCAGCATGGGGTTGGAAGCAGGGCGTGTGAAGAGTGAGAAAGGGGGGGGAGGGGGAAGGCACTCTCTCCTCAACACTATTTGTCTACCCAGGTAGGTACCTACCGAACGGTTAGGTTAGTATCATAGCAAGTAGGTAGGTAGATGGCGAACTAACATAGTAACATAATTACATACCTCACAGCCATCCCCTTACTAGGTCTCCGTCGACTCGGTCTGGAAATTATCGACAGATAGATACCAGACCAACCAGCTTCTGATTATAATGCGCGTCCTCGAAGAACTTCACCCCACCCTTCTCTCTTCGCGACAGGGGTATTTTTTTTTTACGTGGAGATGTTTGATGAGCATGGCGTAGATGAGGCACGTACGTAGATGCTAGTAGTAATGCAACCGGATATTACACCCCTAGATTGTTAGGTATGTATGTAGGTGGTACTCAGCTTGTTGCTTCCATCTTCTTAGAAGCATGATCGTGGGGAAGGGGGGGGGGGGGGGGGGGGTTCACAATAATGTATATTACCCGAGTAAAACAATCACATGCATATATCCAAGAGAGTCAAAAGATCAAATCATAACTTTTAATTGTATCACGTATCTACCTACGTACATGTATATCCGTTCTAAGAAACCCCTATGAACTAGGTAGCAAAGCACCTCCTGGTACCTACTAAACACACCAATAGGTACCAACGCCAAACTCACCACCAAAATACAACAACAAAAGAAGTGCCCATTTTCACGAAAAAAAGAAAAATCAAGAATTCACCTCCGCAAACCAGGTCCTCAGCAACCCCGCCAGCGCCCCCGGCAGATCCTCGAGGTTGTGCACTATAAGGTAATACTGGAACGGGAACGAGTCGAGGTAGTACTCGGTCGTGATCTCGTCATTGCCCAAGAACTTTACTTTCTTCAAGTTAACGACGCTCTGCTTGTGTTTATCCGCAGCACTGCCACTCCCGGTATCGTCCATGATGATAAACACAATCATGATGCGCTCCTCCATCGCCTCGCGAAGCAGCAATCGTATCTGCTCGTGGGCGGCGGACGGCGTGAGGCCGTCGGACAGGATGAGCGCGAGCTGCCAGAGGTCCTCGGCGCCGCGGGTGGTGCTGTTGAGGCGGGCGAGGCGGAACCTGTCGATGGTCTGCTTGATGAGGAGCTCGATGTCGGTGTGGTCCTGCTGGAAGGCGAACCTCTGCAGGACCTTGGCGCCGGCGTCGTGGGAGGCGAAGGGCTCGGTGAACTCGTGGGCCATGAAGACGTTGGCGCCGAAGCCGAGGATGCCGATCTGCCCGACCTCGAGCATGGTGAGGGCGCGGGAGACCATGACGAGGGACTCGAGGGCGAGCTCGCCGGAGCTCGATTCGCCCATGCTCTTGCTGTCGTCGACGCAGAGCAGGATCTGGTAGGATCGCTTCGTCGGGATGGCTCGGCGCATCCATATCTTGTCCCTCTTATAACTGGAGGCGATGTAGGGGATGATGCGCTTGATGTTGAGACGCTTACCTGTTCGGTAGGATCCCGAGAGTTTGGTCGACTGAGATGGAGTTAGGATCAGACGTAGCTGCGAAGTCAAAGCTAATGAAAGTGGGTGAGTTTTGCTTTGGAATGAGGTCCATTGGTGCATAGCCTCTTCGAACTCCCGCAACTCTTGACTTGGGTCTGACAGGTGGGTTGACGATAGCTGCGTAGATGTCTCCTGAATATCTTCCTCCGCCTCTTCTGGGGCCGGCGACCCATTGGTTGGCGGTGGAGTGTCACGATTGTAAGCACCTTGCCGAGTTGAAACCCCAGCGGGCTTCTCCTCCTTTTCTGTATCTTGTTGCTCTAGATTATCGAGTGGTTCTGAAGTGTCCATATTGTCGGCTTCATTATCTTCTAACTCATTTTCATCTTCTGGTACGATTCGATTGTCTACCGGTTGATCCTCTTCGTCGATCGCCATCGACTCATCAATGTTCTGCTTTTGCTCTTCATTTGACGTGCCCATTGCTTGAGCGTCCGGAGCAGACTCATCATTTTGGATATGTTGGAATTCCTTGATAGCCGACTCCTGTTCCGAATTATTATTTTGGTCTTTGGAGTCTTGCTCCTGAGCCTCTTTGATCTCTCGTTGTTGTCTATGCCATTTCTCTAGGGCATCTCCAAGGGCTTTGAAGGGTTGATGAGTAGACGAATCTTTAGCGTCATCGTCGATTTCTGTCTGTGGAGGCTGCTCCTGAGCCTTTGACACACTACCTTTCTTCCCAGCCGAGGTTTCTTGATCTGCTGCATTCTCACCCATCCCCCCTTCTTCACGCTGAGCGGCATTGTTCTGGTCATTGTTCGCCTCTTCGGTCTGGTTAGGATCCTGATCTTGCCCACCACTCCTCACATCACTCGGCGCAGTGTTCTCATCAGCCGCCTTAACTTCATCAGATGGCAACTCAGCCATCTCACGGTCTTCCGCTGATTCCTCTGGTGCCTCATCCGCCTCTTCGTCTTCCTTGATCGTAGGATCTTCGTCCTTTTCTTCACCTTCTTCCTGCTCTTCCTCGTCACCATTGTCGTTATTAGCAGGCGCAGTCTCCATTTCGGCATCTTCGCCATTCTCACCCTCCGCGTCACTCATCTGTTTTTCTGCTCGTTCCTCTTGGCCCACGTCGGAGAGTTTATCTATCTCATCGTCGCTAATAGAGGACATGGAATCATCATCATTCCCATCGATATCCATATCGTCCGGTAGTTCCAAGGTATCCTGTTCTTGGACGTTCTGATCTTGCTTGTTTGCTTCCTCTGGGTCTTGTTGTCGTACGTCCTCTTCTTCTGCGGCAGGATCATCGTCGGCATTGTCGTCATCCTGATCGTCTTCTCCTTGTTCGATGTTTTGAGCGTCAGGTTGCGCGTCAGCAGCTGTCGGTTCGTCGTCCTTTTTCTGTCCTTTCGTATCCTCTCCCTGCTGGTCCTTCTCTGCATCCTTTTCGTCCTCCCCGTCCCACATCTTCTCGTCAACAGCGGAAGGATCCAAATCATCAACGTCTCCTGTTTCTTCATCCATCTCGTCATCATCTTCCTCTTCGTCACCAGACTTCGCATCTTCCTCTTTATCATCGCCGCCCTCTACGCTTTCGAGATCGCCTTCCATCTCCTGGTCAGCCATATCAACAGCGTCTTTCTCATCTTCCATTTCTTGGTTGGACTCTTTATTTTGCTCTTGCGCAAGCTCGGACAGGTCTTCGTCAGGCTGAATATCCTTGCTTATATCCTCAGCACCCTCTCCGTCCCCAAGACCTGTCCCACTTTCAAGTTCCCCGGCGTCGCCCGAGGTTTCTTCAGACTTTTCTTGTGGAGTACAGAAGCCCTGAGAAGCTAGTTGAGTGAAGCTCTTGCTCAATTTGTAGCCGAGTTTGCAAGTGCTTCTGTGAACGCGCGAAAAGGCATGAATTGTCCCGTCACAAATAGTCTCGTACTGACTTATGATTGGGGTGACGACAGAAAGCAAGGCTATTGATATCTTGTTGATAGAAGGATCGGTGAGATCGACTTTAGCGAAAAGGTTCATAGTCTCTGTAATACTCTTCTCGACCTTGTCCATGCGTAAAGCTCGCATGGAAGCCGCCATAGCTTCACCGTATTTAATTAACCATCCCGGCTCTTCTTGAGAAGCAGGCAGTTTCGCCATTGCCTTGTTAAATTGCTCAATAGTAACGAGAATACTGTCGCAAAGGTCTTTTACAACATGGAGGAGGCTGTCGGCTTTCTCGGTCGTTAGAGTCGAATCAGATATGGATTGCTCGTCAACAACAGTCCAAAGCTGGATTTGTTCAAGCAGGAATGCCAGGCTTGGCCAATCTCGACACGCAGCATCTAGCTCGCCCCTAAATTCATCGAGGGATGAACTAATAGAAGCTTGCAACTGCCTCTTCTGGAGTGAGTCAACTTCGTGGGGCAAGGTCGGCAACAAGCTCCAGTTAGCTGATAGGGCATTCATCTTTTCCAGCCAGGTATGTAGGAGGCCAAGGACCCCCTTGTTATCAATATGGCCAAGTTTACCATGAAGCTCAACGAGGTGTATACCGACTTTGATGATCTGGACAAGCCAAGTAGAAGCTCTTTCATGATTACCCGACAATGTCTTTCGTTTGATCTCTTCACCAGGGCTAGAAGCACCAACTGAGCGCAAATGGCTTGAGCAAGCTGACAATGCACTGTGGTTCTTGATTACAGTTGCTAATTCGTGTCTCTGGCCCAATGTGACATAGATTATGCCCTCGAGTAATCCGATGCTTCTGTCGACTTCCGCGGCGGTCAAGTCATCTGAATGGTCCTGGTAGGCATTCCTGACCCGAGGTGCAAGATCTAGCATCTTATGGAAATAGTAATTGGTACTATCGAGCCCCTTTAGTGACTCTGACGCGAGTGCTTGTGACGTGGCAAGCACCGTAGATAGCGCATCTTGTCTAGATAAAACGTCGGTGCCGAGATTGTACTGGATACCCATCTGCCTAGCTTCTTTTAGAGTCTCGGCAAAGAGTTTCCGTTTTCGCGATTTCAGATGCTTCACCAAAGCCTTGTTCTCCTCATTCAAGACCCCGGGCGTCTCTTTGCGTAGCTCCAGAGCTGATGACTCAAGCTGAGAGAGGAACAGGTCAATAGCTTCACCGGCATCGATGATAGAATCTGGAATCCGGCCGAGTTTGCTCATAATTTCGGTTGTCTTGTCAATGTTGGCAAGTCTCCTGTACGTATTCGTCCAGCCAGGGACATGTTCGGAACACAACTCGAGAGCAGATCTGTCAACGACCTTGGCCTTTGTTAGAGCCTCAGTTGCTCCAGAATCAACGTGTACCTCATCTGGGAGTCCACCTTCTATGATAGGCTTCATGGGCTTGCCCAGGACTTCTCTAAACTTGCGTACAATCCTGAAAAGTTTGTGATGAGACTTGCGAGCGCTTTCTCTAAGCGCAACGATATTTGTGTCCTTCCAGCTAGCCAATAGCAGAACGTCCTTCATTTTCTTTTCAAGGGGAGTTCTCCCGATACGAATCAAATCATCAACGGCCTTCGTGTATCGAGAATAGAAGCTGATGAAGTTATGGAGGCCATCACGAACTATAGAAATTGAGGGGTAGTCCGTTGTGAGGGCCTGTAGTTGCTCGAGTAGTTGCTTCAGGAGACCGAGCCGGCTAACGAACTGTCCAACAGGGGCCGATGAAAAGTATGTATCCAACTCACTCAGCAAGTTTGAGACATGTTGCGAAAGATCATTTCCAGCTTGAACCATAGTCAGCGGCACGGCGATGATAGCTTGGTAGGCAATGAACCACCAAGAACTAGCATCCTCCTCGATCTTCTTAACTTCCATATCAAAGAGCTTTCCCCATGTGGAGAGTTCTAATCGTCGCCATCGAACAAGCATATCCGTCAGCTGGTTGTATAACGGCAACGCGCTGTAGGTTTTGCTTGCCCAGCCGCCGAACTGCCATTCGTAGACAAAGGCATGCAACTGTTCTACCTTCGATATCGTACTTGCGAGGGGATCAGAGTGTCCAAGTGCGAATATTTTATCGCACCACAGCACCACATCAACCAGTGGCTGCAAGTGCCCTATTTCATCAATCTGTTGAAGTTGTCGGAAGTGGATGCGGATATCGTTCACCAGGCTAACAAGCTTCCGTGCCTCGGGGAGGTTACTATCTGTATAGAAGTTGTAGTCGGCAGGACAAGTAGTAGAACCAATGTCCTTCAACGTTTCGTCTAGGGTCAAAAACGTAGCTGGAAGCATACTACGGTCCGTGACTGTAGAGGCGGCATCTTCTGATATTTTTTGAGCAAAAGCTCTGTTAAGATTCAATATGCTTTCAGATGCGTCTCGCGGTCTGAGGAAGATTTCCCTATGTGCCCGAGCCAACCTGATTGCCAGAGCTCGAGCATCATTGACCTTGGGTTTCTCTGCGCGAGGAATTTTGTCATCCTCGTCGAAGCTCGGAAATAGTTCATCAAACTCCTCCTGCTCTGCTGCCTCTTCTTCATTCAGTCCGCCACGGTAGCGATACCAACTGTTCTTAGTCTCTTCAGCTTTCTGATCCGCTTCAAGCTTCTGGGTCCACTGATCGTATACCGAATGGACCGCCTGGAAAGCACTCTGCTTGACTGCTTTTAGTCCATCGGAACCTTCGATAGAGACTACCATTCCAGCATATTGGAGCACCTCAAAGCTATGAGACTCGGCTAATCGTATAGCCGGAACATTAAGTTTTCCTCCAAGGAAAGGTGCTAGGTCGGGTAGTGTATTCGACGAATGTTTGCGATCTACGGCTCGTGAGCTACCGGCTTCTCGTCCTAGGTATAGACCAAGTTCCAGACAATGGGTCATATTGATGACTGGTAAGACGATATCCTCGTACGCGCGGTATCCTCGCTTCAGGCCTTGCTTCAGGCGGAATCCGACCATCGACACATTTTCGTGGATGACACGTAGCTGTTGCGTGGCTGTCTCTGAGCCTGAGCAATGCTGGACTAGTATCGAACTGATATCAGAGTTAAGGATTTGAAGCAGGCTATTAAAATCTGTCTGGACCTGTGGAAGTTGAGAAACCGCAGGACGATAGACAGTTTGAACTGCGCCAGGGGAAGGTCCAAGATCATTGATATCTTTTTCCAGCAGTTGACATCTCAGATTTGTAGACTGGCCGGTGTGAAACTCTTCAAAGTCCTGTAACATCTGGACTTGCTCTTGTAAGTCAGCCAAGAGCTTGCTATAGCTGTCTAACTCGAGTTTGGGCCTCAGCTGTGGGTCAAATGCCTTGTCGGGAACGAAAAGCTCGATTAAAGCAGCGGACAATTTTACCCAAGCGTTTGCTAAGTAAGCACGCTGTTTGGTAGAAGAGCACCGATACCCAACCCAAGACATAAGAGCAGGAATTAGGTGATCAGCTGCAATTTTAGAGATGTCACTAAGATGTGCTTTCGTGCCGGGGAAAATCCTCTCTATGTCGAATATCAAATCGTCTGTATTGAACAATTTGATAACGGACTTATCCGGTACCGCGGAAATGTTCTGGGCTGTGACGAACAGTGTAACCAAAGACGGCTCACAGCGAGATACCACATCCATCATGAGGCACCAGAGCACGTCGCTAAGCTTCCCAAGTCGGTCAGCCGCGATGGATTCCGTGTTTGAGCAAATCTGTCGTGCTAGTATGGGTAATTCTGCATCAAGTGAAGCTAAAGAGCCAAGGCTCGCTGAATTGATAGCGCCGAGTTTTGATAGAATCTTAGCAGATAAGTTTTCGTCCCAGTTATGCCGTTGGTTTTCATCGCTAGATACGGTTTCCATTGACAGTAGAAGCTTTGATGTATCGGAAGCACTGCTGACAGACATCTGGACACTAAGCGGGATATCAGACAACAAGATTATCTCGTTTGCTGTTCGTGGCAACTCGGTCTGTCGTGATATGCAATCGAGTGCAATAATCTGTCTCATTATGTCGAATTCGTTAGCCATAAAAGGGGTAGCTGAAGTATCATTCTCGGGTAGCTTCTTGAGCAACTGTTCGATTTCCGTTGTCAATACTGTCAGAAGATTATCCACATCTGGTCCATTCAGTCGAACAAGTCGGTATGCATGCACGAACGAGTTCATGATCTTGGCAAGATCTGAGGGAGTAGCCGTAGACTTCCATTTGACCAAGTCAAACTGCGAGGCCAACTGTTCCATGAGAGAAACACGATTGAAAAGTGGCTCATCTCCGATTAAGATAGGCCTCAAGACCACCCAGAGTTTCTCCATGCTCAGGCCTGTGCATAGCCTGTATCCAGTGGTAAAGCATTCCTCTAATCCTTTTAGAATTTGATGTGCTAGCTTTTGTGTTTGCATATCTTGAACCCGGGATATATAGCTGGATAGCATATTTGATACGGTGCCCAGATGAACTCGGAACAACGCCTCATCAAAATCGTTCATGATAAGGTACGCAAATGTCCTTTGCCAATGATGAAGAATATCTCGACAGAGACGGCTTCGGTCCTAATATTATCGTTAGCAGTTGCAAGACTTATTTATACCTCAGCGAGTGAAACTCACTCTCCATGAAGTAGGGTCGTGAATGTTGACGTGCAAGAATGAGCCAAGCTCTTCTAGGACGCCAGTGAGGAATTTAGCCGCCTCTACAGTAGAGTCTTTCGACACAGCAGCAACGCTGCCAGCGAGACGCGAGCGTTGGAACCGATTCAACTGTGATACTTGTTTGCCGGTGCGTCTTCGGTCGTGCGCTTCCATCTGTTTCCAGGAACTAGTAATCTTCACTTGAAGTTCATAGCATCTTCCTAACCAAAATGGAAGCTCATAAGACTGCCACTGGAAACAAGGAACAAGAACCGAGTTTTGCAAAGGGTGGATGGGCTAGGTGGTTGTTAGCATGCAATCAAAGTGATAAAGGGGAAGGGGTAAACTGACCTGTATGTCGTAAAGGCTACGCGCAAATTCTGTAGGTAAACCTTCATAAATCTGGCGAATGGAATTATGGACCGATTCAATCAAGGGCAACTTGTGAATTGAGCTGAGTTGATTCAGATTATCTTGAAGAATCTGGGGCCCATCGGTTGAACCGAGCTGAAGTAATAGCGGCGTCCTCCATGACCACCCCTGAAACTCAAAGAACTTTTCGAGAAGGATTGAATCATCGAACGATACGCAAGATGTAGCTACGGGACCCACGTGTTTTCCATGGAGAGCTTCAAGTTTTATCGCTGAAGAGACTAATTCAATCCTCTGTAAGCTTGATTCTATGTCAGTAACTCGACCTCGCCAAGACACAAGAGCTGACTCGCGAGGTTCGATGTAGATCTCGATAGCTCGGTTCCTCATCGCTCGCGAGAGTTCGCCATAACGGGGATCAACAGTTAAGAAGACCCTGAAATCAGGATGCGGTTTGATAATTCGAGGCTCTCCATTCGGACCGCAGTTTTCATTGATGATCAAGTAGCCACCCGGTTCAAGTAAAGAATTCAACCGGTCAAGAACGGAAGCGTTACAAAGGTTTGCATTGTCAAGCACTAGCCAATGCCCCTTCTGGAGAGCTTGAACAATAATGCCGTCCAACCACTCAAATCTAGGATTGGAGACGCCGACGGATTGTTGAAGGAGTATGCGCACATCAGAGAGTGCAATCGCCAGCTCTGATTCTCCAGGGATCTGACTTTGAAGCTTCTCTATATGGCTTAGAAGACCTTGACGCTCATCTGCTTCGTCTTTTATAGAATTGAGTGCGTTCAGTAGATTGACTGCGGAGTCAGGGACGCCTTCGACTAATAAGTTTATGATGGAGAATTGCAGGACCTCTTGCAATTTCCTCAGCGCGGTATTGATCTCGCGTAAGGGGTCAGATTGTTCAAATCCTCCAACGAGATCCATAGTGTCTATATCAGCGTTCATTGGAAATGTGACAAGCGATTTACCACACGATGCAGCAGTATGTCTTAGAAGCATTGATTTCCCACTACCTGAAGGGCCCACGAGGATACATGGGATATTCTGTTTGACGCAGATCAAAAGGGACTCCATCTCTGAGAGTCGAGGAACCACATCCATGCCAGGAAACTGTGATGGCTGTATAAGTCGGTTCCGATCCATTAACGCGAGTCCAACTTGGAGTGATGAGGAACACATGCTGTGGTATAATTGGTGAGATTTCGGTGGTGACCCAAATACCTCTGCAAAAAGCTTGTCAACTTCAAGTCTGTCATTCTCCGTTCGAAAACGTTGCCGTATCGTGATGCTCAAGAAATCGTCAACTTGAGCAGTGCTAAGCAAAGGATCTGGTGACGTGAGTAGACTCAGCCAGCGGAGTGTATCGCGAAGATTGAATTCCCACGGACTGCCTTGGGACCCAAATACTCTTTCAACAACGATCCGAGCATCAAGGCCAGAGATGAAACTGATCAATTGTCGAATTGTTTCGGTGGGTACTCCGGGGAAGTTATGCTGAGCGATTAGCATGAGATCCTCCTCACTGAATACATCAGCATATACGACGATGAAGCGATTGACAAAGGAGCTAGGCAATCCTTTTCGCCCTCCACCTTGGTGATGTGGGTTTTGCGCTGAAAACAGGCAGAAGTCGGGATGTCTTTTGAAAACTTGATCTAATTCGGAGACATAAACTTCTCCTCGATGATCGAGACATGCATTTAAGCCTTCAAGAACAGACTGAGAGGCCAAGTTCATCTCATCCAGGAGGACCCATTCTCCGTTTTGCATAGCACGAAGGAAAGGGGCATCTCTCCAGGCAAAGTGGCCAGCTTCGGCTCCTTCAATGGGCACATCCGTCCCAAAGAGATCCATAAGATCAGTTTGGTCAGATAGATTGATTCTCGTCAAAGGCCGTCCGCATGCTCGAGCCAGGGCGCTGACAAGCGTGGTTTTTCCTACGCCTGGGCTACCTTCTAGCAGAATTGGCTTTTGTAGGTTAAGAGCACGAATTATTCTCATCGCGTTGAGTTTGGTAGTGGGAGCATGTAAGGCAAATCCCGTCTCGAAGTCATCATTGGCGGTGCGTTCGATGGAAAAGTCGCCAATTTGCAGTTCGTCAGCTTTGATAATCAGTTGCAGTGGTGCTCGGTATATCGCAGTGGCATCACAGTTAAGAAGCTCACTCAACTTATCTAGACATGTTTGTCGTTGCGTGTCCATGCTCTTAGGGTCAATCGCAATCAATGCAGAAGGGTTCGCACCTAGAGTATCGATGAATACAGTGGCGGCTCCATGGACTACCGATGATACTGCTTCTCGGCCAGCGCTCTCGTTGACAAATTTAACCCAAACAAGAATATCTCGAATGGAGAAGGCCGTCGAGGCCGTGGATCGGAAATTATGCCCAAACCAATATGAGAAATGAACAATAACGTTGGAGAACGCTTGGAACTCGGGCTTGAGCTTGGAGGAGACAATATTCAATACATCTTCGTTTTCGGACAGAGGAGGCACCCAGATCTCAGTAAATCGATTCCTCAGCGCGGGGGATAGTTCCTTCTTGCCAAAGTCGCCGCCGGGGTTCATGGTCGCGAGGAATTGGAAGCCATCGGAGCCTTTAATAAACGAATCATCCACCCCCTTTTCCGCGAGGAGTAAGGAGCGCTGGGGTTCTAGAACAGAGTTGAGTCTTTCCAAGACAGAATCATCCGCGAGTGATATCTCATCAAGAAGGAAAAATTGGCCATCTCGCATAGCATGGACTAAACTTCCGTCCGCCCACTCAAAGAGAGCCTTGCTCTTGATTTCATTGACCGAGATTTTCCGTTGTAGTTCCATAGGCACGTTCGATAAAATTGACGGGTCTAGAGCATGATATTGTTCTAGCATGATTTCCACATTTCCTTCCACGGTCTGTCCAAGCTGTTGTAGGACTCCAGCAACATCTTGAGCCAACACATCCAGAACAGCACCTCGATTCCTGATTGGTCTCTGAGAACCGATGAGATCGCCTGTTTCGGTATTTTGGTGGGCATTGACGATGTGCAGTTCTTTACCAAGAGACTCGGCAAGGAGTTGGCAGACGGTCGTCTTACCGCAACCAGTTTCTCCCACGAGGAGAACCGGCTCATTGTGACGAAGGGCACTAGCAACTAGAACGTACAAACGGCGCATGGCGTGAGTCCAGACAACATCCTGCTCGTTTTTATGAGGTTGCGTTTTCAGATAGGGTGAGCGGTCAATGTCGTAGAGCTCATGCTGGTCAATCTTGACCTTGAAAACCGTCTCAATTACCTTCTTCACGGCCAGCCTTTCCTCTTCATTGCGAACACGTTCAGCTAGGAGCATGAACCCATTAGCCGCAATTTCCTCTCGAGTTTCTGCCCCTCTCAAGGCCCATCTGAAAAGATCTCTTAGCGTTGCGAAACTATCCTTATTCTCGAATAGTCGACTTGTTTGTCGTAACCTAGAAAGTTCTTTATACACGTTGACGATTCTCTTGCAGTCTGAAGGAGCAGTATGTAAGCTGCGCTTCTGCAGAATAATCTCGAGCTCATCTTCTGGAATGTCGTCAAAATGCAGTTCGAGGAATCGGTTGCGGAAAGCACGCGAGAGTACTTTGCGACCCCCATACAGACCAGCAGGGTTTTGCGTCGCAAATAACATGAAGTTTTCATGTGGACGTACAATCTCCTGCGTCTCGGGAATAAGTAATTCGCGGTTATCATCAAGAAGACGATTTAACGCTTCTAAGACGTCAGTAGGGGCCAGGTTGAGCTCGTCGAGCACGATCCAATGTCCTTGCCGAAGTGCCTGTACTAACAACCCTTCTTGAAATCGCAGTTTCCCACCAGCATCAGAAATGTAAGTTCCGAGGTATTCTTGGAGATCCGTATGCTCGTGATTATTGATTCGCACGAACTTGTTACCGCTGAAATTCGCAAGATACTCGATCATGCTCGTCTTGCCTGCTGATGTAGGCCCCTGAATGAGAATAGGAAAGCGCCTAGTCGAAGTAGCCCTGACCAGATTCAAAAGGTTGCGTTCGATATAAGGCGTGATTATGTAATCCGTTCGTTCAATAGGGGTTTCCTCTCCTCGGAGTAACCAGTAGTGGCGATCCCTGTTTTTGTTGACGAATTTGACGTATTGCTTTCCATCATTAGGGTGTCTTGGTGGCTGTGAAAGTAATGATCTAGCATTTCCATGTCTGTCGAGAAGATGGTGGTAAATTAATGGGACCAGCGTCTCTTCAGATGCTCGGTCCAACAATGTAAGAAACCCCATAGAGAAGCCCTCGAACAAAGCTCGTCGAAGGCCATAATATGGAGAGACGTCATTTACGTAGCTCAAAACACGCGTCAATGTTCGCAGACTGAAATGAGGTACTTCGTTGGCGCCATCCACCAAACGTTTCTCTTCAGCTCGCGTCTTGGTGTTCAAATATAGTCTGGCAATGTCATCGGCTGCCTGTTCGTCCTTGGCACTCTTTCCGCTGAGGTAAACCTTGATAATGGTGAGAAGATCCTTCAAGTCCTTGTCTGGACTACCAACGTAGAACTCAGTGAAGCGCGATCGAAGCCCAAGCGGGAGATCTCGTTTACCAATATCCGTGGCAGGGTTCATGGCTCCGAATATTCGGAAGTCAGGATGCGCTTTGACACGTTCGATTTCACCAGTCTCTGACAATAATAGTGACGGCTCATCATTGACGCCGGAAGCAAGTAGATCAGCTATACTCTCCAGTGTATCAGGTGATGCCAAGTTTATCTCATCCAGTAAGACCCAGTCTCCATTGCGCGCAGCTTTGACGATATTTCCCTCGACGAAGGCAAACGCAAAATTGCCTGAGCCTCCTGAAATCTGGACATTAAATTGCTCTAGATTCCTTGCAAATGCTTCCCAGCGCGGTTGTAGTTCAAGCAAGGATTGTAGCTTCGATTCTGTCTTTCGCCTTTTTGCAGCCGGTCTCCCATTAGGATCGCCACCATCATTATTGACTTCGGGCTGATTCTGAAGCTGGGCCACTATCTTGTTGAACATCGCCGGAGCTTCGTTCCAAAGCTTCGATACCCTCATCCATTGGCCTTTCGCGGTGCATTTTCCTATTTGCTCAAGATACTTCTGGTTCCTGGACGCGGAAATTCCCGTTGAAGCGAACAGATCTTCAAACTCTTCTTTCAGGGGAACGGCGAGGCTTCGAGCATTGACGGGCTTGAACCCCCCTAGAAGATCACCGACTTCACTTTGTTGCGATAAGTTCACAGCCACCAGCTTGTGGCCTAGGGATTCGGCTAGTTGCTGAATGACTGTCGTCTTGCCAATACCAGTCTCGCCTACGAGAAGCACAGGTTCACGTAGTTTGACTGACATTGATATCTGTTCAAGTAGCCTCTTGGAGTGACTAGTACTTGCGAATGGCTTTTTTGATTTTACCACTCTATTAGCATGCTTTCTTCTAGTCAACATAACCCTCCCAATCTTCAAACTATTAGGACTATCTTCCATATGCGGCACATGAGCGTTGAGGTAATGCTCCATGAGCTGTTTGGAGAGATGCATCTCTTCCGCTATGCAGCTGACAAGAGTGGCCCTCGTGTCTGGCCTAGAAATACTACCGCAGAAGCAATCGACCGAGTCCATAAACATCCAGTCTCTCGTAGTCTCACTGATAGGTTCGTCGCCGGTCTTGCAGCCTGAAGCTAACAAGGTTTCTTGGAGTCGACGGCACCATTTTAAGAGATCTCTAGGTGTGATCGGACGGTCAACTGTGCTTCGTCCCGCACCAGTCACAGATGGAACACTGGATAGATTGCAAAGTCTCCTGTAAACCGACATAATCGTCGGAGTATATTTGACTAAGAGGGGATAACTTCCTATGATGATTTGTTCCAGCTCGACTGGCGGAGGAATCTTCACACTCGTCAAGTGCCAGAATCGCTGGCCCAGCATACTGGGGAGATTCTCATGCCCATGCAGTCCTCGGGTAGTTCTAACCGTGGCAAACAGTCGAAAGCTGCTCGAAGCCTCCACAGTCTCCCCACGACTAGGAATCAATAGCTTGCCATGCTCTACGAGTGGTAGTAAGGTACTCATCACTTCGTTCGGGGCTCTATCCAGGTCCTCAATTAAGACCCATCGTCCTTCGCGAACAGCCGTAGTTAAAACACCCGGTCTCCATTCGAAGGAGCCCGGTTTGGAACCTGTAGAGTACAGACCGATGAGCATCTTGGCGTCAGTCTGTTCGTTGAGGTGTAACGTGACCAAACTCGACTCCATGCCCAGCTCACGGGCCAGCTCATGCACGATCGAGGTCTTTCCAGATCCAGGTAAGCCGTGTAGAAGAATTGGGCCCGGTTTTTGAAGACTCTGCGCGAGATTCTCAAGATTAGTTAAGGTAGTTGAAGTGTGCACCAAACTAGAGGATAGGCGTGGATCGCCATTTGGTCTAGGAATAATCGTGGTATTGTACTGAATAACTAGCTCGGTGAGTTGCTGATGGGGAAAAGACTCTCCTGTAAATTGGACGATCTTTGCGTGAGATTCTCGTTGAGATATATCCAAGTCTTCTACTCGTTGACGTTCAAAGAGAGATAGAAACATGTAAGGAACCTGCTCTCCATCAACATCGATAAGTACATCGTTTCCTTCTCCAATGTGTGCGCGGATAAGGCACTCCAACTTATAGTCTGAAGCCTTGAGCTGAATGCAAAGAATCCTGATGGCAAGATATCTGACTGACTTATCGTCATGCTTGCACAGAGCCTGGGTTACTGAAGGCGGTACTAGTTCATTGAATGTCTTTTTCTCAAAATTGAGAAGCCTCCAGAAAGCGAGTAAAACCGGTACTAATTTCGATCCAGAAGCGGTTTGGATATGCGGTTGATTCAAGGAGTTGATCCGGAGAGATCGTGATCCGGGATGTTGTGTAAGTGAGGTTTCCCTAAGATATTGTTCTAGGAAAACGGAGAGGTGAGGGGCGAGTGGAAGGATTCTAGCAAAAGATGTGATGATAGAATCATTTTGATATCCATTCCGGGTCTCTAACAACCATCTGGCGCATATATCGGCGAATATGGACTCAAAGTAGGCAAATATGGATTTGGTAATGTGAGGTATTCGTGCCGCTGTAGAAACGGCATCGAGAAAGTTACCAGGGGTGTGACCAAGTATTATGTCGATCAAATCCGATGGTAAATGTGCTAATAAATCCTTGTTGTCCAAGAGAAGCTTTCTCTGTGGGCTCACGTCAATTTTGGCCATGACTTGGGTGAAAATGTGAATGTTGTGATGAGAAAGTGTGAATTACTGTTCTCATTTTTGGTTGAGTAGTACTAGGTACAGCTACTAATAAAGATCAGATCACCAGTAAAACTTCAACGTTCAAGGTGTAAGTATGTACTAAGTAAAGGTACCATTGTAACTTTTTTCTGCCGTCTCTAAAATTTCCAAATTCTTTAAAAATTTAGGCGGTCAAAGGTGCCGGTACTATCGATAACAAGTTCAATTGGAATTAGCGGCTTCAAGTTCAAGATCATATCTAGATTTGACGCTATGCCTTATTCAACATAGCGTAGTAAGGAAAGGAACGAAGCCGGCTAAGCTTCGTCAATTCGTGCCATCTCCAAAAACTAAAAACTTCAAGAGACACACCCAATTATACGTACAGTCGCATATCTCGAACCTCTCTTGCCTCTCGACTCTGACTCTGACTCTGACTCTGACTCTGACTCTGACTCTGACTCTCTCGACTTGGCCGGACAGGATACAGCAAATATGTCAGCACCGTGCAGATACGCAGTTCGATCCTGCGCCCGATCAATCCACTCCGGTACTTCTGTCCGCGCATCTACCACTTCCTTTCTTCGGAGCACAACTCCTTCGATACAGCGACGGCATGACTCTACAGCTGCCGCCACCAACCCCAAAATCAGCGGCATCGTCGACCAAATTAGTCACTTGACCCTTCTCGAAACCGCCGACCTCGTATCTAGCTTAAAGGTTGGTTTACCCCACCCATCCACTGAGGTTCACTTTTTGTTTGAGCGTCACTGTTTAAATAAGCCCCTCCGAATTTAATAATTAATCGTCAAAAAACAAATTGTAGTCGCGACTAAATATCCCCGACTTACCCGTTGGAGGCTTTGCCGCCGCCCCCGCCGCCCCCGTGGCCGCAGCGGAAGACAACGAGCCGGCGCCCGCTGCTCAAGAGAAGACCCTGTTCAACATCAAGCTGACAGCATTCGACGCTGCGGCCAAGGCCAAGGTTATCAAGGAGGTCAAGAGCTTGTTGGGGCTCAGCTTGGTGGACAGCAAAAAGTTCGTGGAGAGCGCGCCCAAGATGATGAAGGAGTCGGTGCCCAAGGACGAGGCCGAGAAGATCATAGCCACGATGAAGGGGCTCGGTGCCACCGTGACCATGGAATAAGCGCATCTAGATCCCAAGGGGAGCCTACATTACTGTGTATATCCTGTATAACAATACAAGACCCCGGACAACAAATCTGTCCAGTGGCCTAAAGAATCAGCTCAGGGAGTTCAAGTGATGGCTTCACCAGTAGAAGAAATCAGTGCTGGTTAAAACAGACTGAAGCCAACTGTGAATTTCCCAAAGGAAGCATCAAATGCTCTTGCTCTTAAATGGCACTTTCTATCATTTAACATGTAATTGTGACCAGCCTCCACAGCGTGTAGTCTATACATAGTAACTTAGAATACTCCCCCCTGAGCCAACCCGATTTTAACCCCTATACCCCCTCATCCCCACCCCCTAACTCATCTCCTTCCCACGAGACAAACTCTCACTAAGCCCATTAGCAAGAAGATGCACCGTCCTCAGCATCGGCACCGGCACCCCCTTCTTCCCGGCCAACCTAACCGCATTGCCCACAATCGCATCAACCTCCAACCTGCGCCCCGCCAGCGCATCCGCCTGCATCGACGGCTGTATGCCGGGCAAGCCCCTTGCCGCAGCGCGGCGGAGCTGGAACAGCACGAGCTCCTCGCCGACGTCCGCGTACCCGTGCGCGCGCGCCACGGATGCGATCTCCAGCATCACGTCGCGGATGAACCGGAAACCGTCGCCGCCTTCCTCTTGCTGCTCCGGGCCTAGCCGCAGCCGCTCGCTCGCAGTCAGGAACTCCCGGTCCCGCAGCCTCGTAAGCGCGCACACGGGGTTCCACGCCGCGTTCACCAGCAGCTTGACCCACCGCTCCCTCTGCACGTCCGCGTGCACCTGCGCCGTCGCCCCGCCCTGCGCCAGCAGCGCTGCGAATGCGTTCGCCGCTCGCCTTCCCTCTCCCTCTCCCTCTCCTCCCGTTGCGGGATACGCCCCGACGTGCAGCAGCTCGACCTCCGTGTGCCGCACAACCCCCGGCCGGACCTGGGTGGCGGGTAAGTAGGCGACGGTGCTGAGCAGCGGGTTGGCGGGGAACGCGCGGGCGTACTCGTCCTCGATGCCGATGCCGTTCTGGATGAGCACGACCGTAGTCTGGCCCGGTGTCACGGCGGGGGCGATGAGGGAGGCGGTGGAGGGGACGGTGGGGAGGGCTTTGGAGGCCACGAGGACGTAGTCGAACAATCCGTCGTTATCATCTGACTGTTGTTGATGTTGTTGTAGTTGTAGCACAGCCTCCTCAACCGACCTCGCGACGCGCGGGCGGAACCGCAGGTTCTCCCCCCACAGCCCGGAGTGGATGGTGAACCCGTCCCGCGCCACGGCGTCGTAGTTGGAGCGGCATATGGCGGTGACGTTGTGCTCGCCGACGGCGTTGGCGAGAACCCAGGCGTAGCAGGCGCCGAGGCTGCCGGTGCCGAATATTAGGATCTTTGGCATTGAGGTTTGGGTTTATGGGAAATTGTCTCGTCTATATATGTGCTATCTATGTATAGGTATATGTAATGAGCACCTAGGTAAGACGTGAGATGTTATCCGCGCATATCATACGTAAAGGTAAGCACCTACTAACTTAGTAAGTAAGTACTACCTAGGGTATGTAGTGGAACTTACCTATCTCTATTATTGTTGTCGTTGTTGTTATCCTTTTTCTTTGTACATACATACATACATACATACATACATACATACATACATACATACATACCTAGTGGAAGAGTTCAAAAGTTCACCATGACGCTTTAGAATCACTAGAGTATGCGAAGCTACCCAACGTACATATATAGCTACCTACCTCGGGGTATATAAGCCGATCTCAGCCTACCCTACATAGGTAAGTAAAGGAAGCACCAAAATAATGTTTAGGCTTATGTACAATCTTATGTACAATACGTTATTTAGTATATCACCTGCTCTTGATTTACGTCAAACTACAAATGATCTCGAAGTTAATAAAATTACCAACACCGAGTTTCTTCTGGAAACGAGAACAAGAACAAAGAGTTGTCACAGCATACGAGTCTTACTAAATGATGTTATACTGTTGTAATTCAGGGTATCATTAAGATAGTCTATCTGACTACCTACACAGGGTACGGTACAGATGCAGGGTATTAAAGTACCTAGCCATGAGAGTCTGCAAAAATTTACCCCTAAATGCCATTATAGCGGCAAAGTAAAACAGCCTCTCCAATATTAACGCCAGCCTCTCATAGAAAGCAGAAACCAGATTCATTACCTATCTTGATTTTCCTAACCCTAAAACGCCGCGCAATGCATCACAGGCCATGTTCTCTTTCCTGATCTTATCCTTCCTCTTCCATTGACTCTTCGGATGGCTTTTCCACCGGGCCTTTCATCGGGTCCTCCATTGGCTCTACCATTGAGTCAAACCATCTGGAGATAGCCAAGTCCCGCTCACGAGCTTGACTTAGTTCTAAATATCGTCTCATTTTTGTACGCGATTTCAGAGTTCGCAGCGAGTATACTAGCGAGGGCGGCGACGAAGGTGGCGACGGAAGTGGCGCATCCTAATGCAACGAGGTTCCGTTTGTAGCAGCAGCTCTACCTCGTGAGTGGTGGCATTTATCCATGTCCATCTCATCGAGGAACTGCTCACGTTCTTCAATACCAAGGATGTGATCATCCTCACCTAGCTCGCTAGTCTCCTCGTACAGCTTTGCCGCCTCTTCTTCTATGGAGGGTGGGACAGCCCACATGCTCTCGCGCATACGCTTGTGGCGTTCGCGGTCTTCTTCGATGCGTTGTTCAATCTGGCGCTTATCGAGGCGGTTGGAGCTGTTCACGCTGTTGCCATTATGCGAGCTGGGGCCATTGTCACCGTTGGCAGGAGAAGAAAAACCGGTGTCGGCGGAGGTGTCGCGTTCTTTGAGACAGGCTTCGATCTCTGTTACGTGCTGCTCAAGTAAGATGGACTTGTTCATGAGGCCTTGAAGGACCTATGATTCCATGCTGTTAGCTTGATCATGATAGCTTCAATCTAGCCTTGTATATTTCAATCTAGAGTGAGAGAGCCTCACCTTTCGGACAACCTTGACATTGGCAGCGCCTGATCCATCCTCAGGACAAACAGCGTCGACAACTCGAATGAGGTCACGCTGCATCATACGAACATATTCGTTTTGGCGATCTTTAGAGGACATCTCAAGTAGATGTTCGACGAAATACATGATATTGGCGCGTGTGTTCATGCTGGTCTACACTTCACGGTTAGATACTATCAATTCCAAAAGAATGCCAGCAAAAGAGCTTACCTTCTCCAGCTGCTCTAGGATACATGAATGAAGATCCTCATCCATGTCTTTGTACTTGAGAGCATACTGCGCGGCTTTCTGGGCTGACGTTGTGCTAGCATTCATATGTTGCAGTTGAGAACTGAAGCGCATGCGCACTTCGAAAGGGTCTGCGGTCGCCATTGTGACATCACAGCTAGCAAGCGAATGTCGTCGTCTTGGTATAATGAAGAAGATAAGATACTGCAATGGTGGTGGTAGTGTTGTGGCGGTGCTTTGCTTCACAACACACAAAGAGCATGCATGGATTGAAAGTTCGAGGTTGGAAAGATTAAAGATTGAAGCTCCAGCTCAGCGCTGTAACTTTTTGGAACAAGCTCAGGCCCAGGGCTACATGTACATCGGTACTTGAAATGGTAAATGTGGGTACATCTATATACCTAGTATGTAAATAATGCACCATAGCGCGGGGTTCCAAGGTTCTCGGTGACAGTGACACTACTACTAACTAACTAGTACTAGTTATGTAGCACGATAAGATTAAGGTGAGCTAGTACAAATAAGGTGGGCGGTGAAAGCAATTTAGCAGCAGAGAAGTACAAGATAAATTCGGTGCGACTTCGGCTAACTGTTCTAGAAGCACTTAAGTTAGGCACTTATGTAGTTACAGAGTCGGGATTCTTATTAGTCGGGAACAATTTGCTTTTCTTATTGAAGCGGTTCTTCTTCGTTTGGGCTTCCTATTGGGGACCAAGACACCGGAGATCAGAAACCTAACAAGTGTTCCCTAGGAAAATGTGGTGGAACATAATTTAATAGGTACTTTGGGTGATTCGTTAGCTGTCTTTTTTCTTTTCCATGTTTTTTTCTTCAGGCAAAAAATCCCTAAAAATAAAAAAGATCTAGGATTAGAAAAGGGGGTTGTTCCCGTGCGTTTTTCTCGTGCGTTTTTCTATTAGTAGTCTAGTAGTTCCAGTTTCCGCTCTGTTCTTGTTTGCTTGCTCAGGTTTCTCTCTTTCTGCAGCACCAACAACAACAATTAACAATCTCATACATATACTATAACAATATAACAATATAACAATACCAAGACAAACATCCATACCCGTTGCCTCAACGGTTACATACATATCACCATGCCTCAGTCAGGAACGTTCGACAAGATGCTGGCAATCACGCATCATGAGCACAATGCGCCGGAACTGACCTTGGCAGTTCTTGGCTGCGGTATGTCTTGAATTCCCCATAGTACATAACTATAGCGTGCCTTGCAGATCCGATAAGCTAATTTGACGATGATGATCAGGTACCATGGGCGTTGCCATCCTCTCCGGAATCCTAAGCTCCTTGCAAGAGATGTCCGCTCCTCGTCCCTTGCAAACCCCATCCGGACGGTCCACTCCCGCCGACGAGGTCCCATCCCGACTCCCCTCCCGCTTCATCGCCTGCGTGCGCCGTCCAGAGTCTGCTAAACGGGTCAAGCAAGCCCTGTGGGAACACAGCTCTTCGCTCAAGGTCGTCCAGAAGGAGAATGTCGCCGCGGTGATGAAGTCGGACGTGATCATCCTGGCCTGCAAGCCCTGGATGATAGAGGAGCTCCTGAACGAGCCCGGCCTGTCCAAGGCCCTCCACGGGAAACTCCTCATCAGCATATGCGCCGGAGTCACCGTCCCCCAGATCGAGAAGATCCTCCACGGAGCCGTGCCCGAGAAGGATCCAGAGGTTGATGGCCGCTGCAGGATCGTACGGGCGGTGCCCAACACGGCTAGCATAGTTAGACAAGGTGTAACTGTCATTGCGAACAGCGAACCACCTCTGCCACCCCAGACCTCGAGCCTCGTGACGTGGATATTCAAGCGCATTGGCGACGTCATCTACCTTCCTGCCAGGAACATGGACGTATCCACAGCTCTCGCCGGATCTGGCCCAGCATTCTTTTCGCTCATGCTCGAAGCCGCCGTAGACGGTGCCGTGTCTCTAGGACTTCCCCGGGCCGAAGCCCTGCGGATGGCCGCGCAATCCATGAAGGGCGCTGCCGACCTAGTCCTCCACGGCGACCACCCCGCTCTCCTTCGAGACAGGATCAGCACGCCCGGCGGCTGCACCATTCAGGGAATTCTGGTGCTCGAGGACGGCCGGGTACGCGCCACCGTTGCCAAAGCCGTACGAGAAGCCGCCGTCACCGCCAGCCAACTTGGTAAAGGTACTTAGAGTAAAAAGTAGACATAAAGATGAGGAGTGATTATATAGACGTCCACATGGGAAGGAGTTCAAGGCGTTTTCTTTTTACCATAGACTACCTAAGTAAAAACCTAAGTAACACGTCAATGAGATAGCTAGACTAACGAAGCCATTTACTGCTTTGATCCAAGAACTTCGTGATTTTTGCTTCTTTGGTATACGACATGGTATCCGCAATGTGCAGCTCAACGTGCAAGCTTGACATCCTAGTCAAGATGGTGACCAAATGCCCCCTCTCCCCCCCCAATTCATTATCTACTTCCCCTGGAACATAAAACTTCAAAGCCCACCCGGAATGCGAATTGTACAGCGCAGGTATCATGAGAACCACCAGAACTCCTTATCCCCTCAAAAACCAGATATGAAAAATGTTCGATCCAGCCGAGATGACCAAGAACGATCTAGTTACTTGAGATCCTCAACCCGAGCCTTTTTACTGGAAGAGCCCGTTGCTTCAAGGTCGTCATCCAACGTCCTCTTGCCATTAGCAACAGGTGGTTTCGACGCAAACCGCTCAAGAATTATAGCGTACTCCCATTCGACGTTGTCCACGGTCTCATTCAACTTGATGATACGCTCGGTAATCTCAAATTCGCCTAGGACAGAAGCATTGCGGCGGTACAGACGCTGCTTGAGCAGTAGACGCCAAAGCATGTAGGCATGTTTATCTGCCTTTGGCGCAGCCGATCTGCTCTTCTTAGTCTCAATGGCTTCTGGTCGCACAGAATCAGGTAGCTTTGACATGAGATGCATTTCGACAAGTCGCCAGAATTGTCGTGGTGCAATCTTGTTCTGAACTCGGATCTCCTCAAGCTTGACAATGTCAACAATACCGTCGCTGGATTCATTCCCTCGCGAAGATATCTTGGTGTTGTGATGTAATATGCCAGCCTTCGTGGGAACATGAATATCCGTGTTGACCTCGAGCTCAGCGAATTCGGGGACGTTCTTTAGTAAATACTTCAGGTCGCATAAATCTCGCAGTAAATCAAAGTCCTCGTTGGGATCTTCCACTGTCACTTCTTTCGTGGTAGCTGTCTTCAGCCCAAGCTCGAAGATAGTATTGTAGAGAAAAGCGCCAATTCCTTTGCCTTGAAAAGGGGGGAGGATTATAAACTGTGAGATTCTCTTGCGATGAATAGCTTGATCAATAGTGAAGCTATCGTTGGATAGGTCCCATAAATCAGTCTCCTTCTCTGAACTTGGAGATGCCGGTGGGGTAGGCTGTTGGTACATCCAAAAGGTGTAGACTGTCGCATAACCTTGAAAGGTATATTGAGTTTTGCCCGCAGCTTCAGAGTCGACTCCCTTTTTGTAGGCAAAGAACACTGTCCATCTTGCCAAGGAGTGTTCCGGTTCATCATTGCCGTCAGCGTCCTCGCCTATGTAGGATCCACCTTCGATAAAGAACAAAGCCATGAGTTGGACGCGCTTGATTATTTGCAAGATAGCTGGGTCAGCTAAAGTGCCGTACCAAATCTCGTAGACCTCTCCGTTCTTCTCCAAAGTTTTCAGTAGACTTCCGGGGGGCGTCCATGTATCGGGGAGCATTCTCAAAGCCTGGCCAAATTCTTTCTTAGATTGGAAGGCAACTTGACAGTATTAGCAAGTACTGTCAAGAGTTTGTGCGGTATTGGAACGAACCTGCAGGTAAATATTCCTTCATCGTTTCCTTCACATCAAGAGCCTCGACATCACCAACCGTGGAGAATTTCTTATCCGAGGTGATTGTTAGGTTCGGTCGCAAGTCTCTTGCATCATATTCAATGTTGATTCTCAGGCCTTTGTAGCCGAATATGCGCTCATCTTTGCCAAAAATAGGATAAGTGAAACTCGGTTTGAAGGCTGCGATCTTCTCGGTTCCTTTTGGCGAGGGTCGCGCAAGCGAGATAGTAGTCGCCTCAGTAGCGTCGACCGTCCCTAAAGATGAAATTAGTTGATGGTTTTGAATAACAATCACTCAGGTCACATACATTCATCCTCCATCTTGTCAGACGAGTTCACGATGTCAGTCTTATGTACCCAGAGGGAGGGTGTAATATGCAATTTGGCGAAGGAATACGACTTGGGGTTACAATTGAGACTTGGAATGAAAATTAGCGATGTTGGATGATGTTGCCTTTTCGATAGAGAAGTTGAGTTGTAAAAAAGTGTAGGGAGATAACTAGTAAGTTGTAAAAAAGTGTAGGTAGATAGTAAGTTGGTAGAGGAAAAGTTGCGAGATCGTCGCACTTAACGCGCTCAACGAGATCTAAGTACGTCGCGTTATAGATGATGGGAAACCGCGACGCTTATTCAGTCTTACGGATGGAGCACACTTTGAGCACAGATCACTTTACCCTTGTAGACCCTTATAGCCCCTTGAGTCTAAGCCGTTTCAGTACTAGCTCTTAATATAACACTTGATAAGGTACCGCTCAAGATGGAAATTCGGCAGTGACGTGCACATTGGTCCCGCCTAAAAGCAAGTTGCGACAGGGGATAGATGTTCTGAATTTTTAGCGGCCGTTGGTTAGAGGTTACATCCAGCCAACCTAGGTGCCTACGGCAGAACTGTTTCTGAACATTTTATTTTGAGGCTACTGTACCGTCGCAAAAAAAGAAAAAAGCCCTGTAGAAAAAAAGAAAAGAAAAGAAACCATGTCCAACTTTCAACCTAGGATTATCATATTCTCCATTTCTTAGCCTTGAAGCACCACTCTTTTTTTTTTCTCCTTCTTCAATTGTTGCATTATCTGACGTATTAAGGTCCGGGTGGTCTAAGTACTTTAGATAATTGCCTACTCTCCTTTCTTGTAGTAAGAAATTATATTGTTGTCATTGCTTTTGATATTGTCATTGCCATTACGAAGTATCTTCAACCCGATGTGGACTCGACATTAGCAAAGCATCTCTCCTCCAATGAATCGGTAACAGGAACCAGATTCCATTCAGGTTCCTAAAGCGAAATCACTAATCATGGCTGGAACTGGGTTATTCATTCTTCTTGCCTTGACGGTATGTTGTCGACCTTTTCTTGGCCCCTTCCTGATTGTGATTCCCTCCCTTTGTTATATTCGTGAAGGACTAACATATTGTATCCAAGGTTGTGATGGCATTGGCGTAAGTCTTGGGAAAAGGCTACCTCTCATGACAAAATATTAATAAAAACAGCTCCTTCCTAGCCGGCGCATTACCATTATCCATGACCCTATCGCAATCGCAGCTTCGTTTTATATCGAGTATCGGCATAGGCATACTAGTCGGTACGTCTCTAATAGTTATTATACCCGAGGGAATCGAGGCTATAACCGAAGCCTCAACAACCCATACGCAGTCTTCAAACTCAAGAAATATACACATTCCCAGGCAGGCATCTGGGGTCAGTTGGGCAGCAGGATCATCTTTCCCGCGGAGTGATATCGATTGGTCTGTTATATCTAGAAGAGAAGACAGTTTGGATGGTGTTCACAATGCACAGCTTCGTTCAGAAGTCTCTAGCAATGAAGAGCCTACCAACCCTACTCCGCGTATCAGAGCAGCAGAGGATGACCCAGAGATAACGCCAGGAGATGAGGCGAGCCCCGGTTCAGGGTCTCAGCACAGTGGAACAGAAGTTCCCACTTTCTACATTGGCCTTTCTTTGATACTTGGCTTCATACTCATGTTTCTGATTGACCGACTACCTCGCCATGCATCCGAGAACTTCCAACCGCCGCCGCCACCACGACATATCAGCTTGAGTAACTTGGGCGCTTCGTCTCTCTCCCGTGATGAGGAAGAAACCGAGGGTTTCCTAGGCTCCTTAACACCAACACCGAAACAAACGAGAAGCCTAGCAACAACGACAGGACTAGTCATACATGCCGTTGCGGATGGCATCGCAATGGGTGCCTCGGCTACTGCGCCAGACACCAAATTAGGCTTCATTGTGTTCATTGCCATTATGGTACACAAGGCCCCTGCCGCTTTTGGGCTCACTTCGGTGTTACTAAAGCAGGGTCTCTCCAAGCGCGCTGCCCGAGGTCACTTAATCGTGTTTAGCTTGGCTTCTCCCTTTGGGGCCTGGGCAACCTTTATACTTGTCAGTTTCCTCGGTGGAGGTGGGGATAGCGAATCGCATCAATGGTGGACCGGAATGCTGTTGTTATTTTCGGCTGGAACCTTCCTGTAAGTCTGGCTCTAGTGTGCACGTTATACCTATAGGTAATCTTTCTAATCCATGCTTTCAGATACGTCGCGATGCATGCTATGCAAGAAGGTGACTCCCCCTCAGGCCACGACAGTAGCTCGGCAGGCAATGGCTACGCAGACAGTGCTCAACGAAAGCATGCCCACCCGCAGATGCGAGAGACATTAGCGACAGTTGCTGGCATGTTCTTGCCTCTTCTCACACAGTTCGGCCATCATCATTGAGCGGATTCACTAGTTGTCATATCTTCTCAAGGCTAATGTCGACAAAAAGACCATATAAGGAGTTAGGATCTTGGAACTGGATCACTGGCTTATTAACTAAAAATTTAAGAAACGAAATGGGTCTCTGAGTGCACCATCTTTCAACCTACCGAAATAGGTTGGAAATTTGTACCACATACACCAATGTTACATGATCTCCACGAGTTCGAACGTCGGGTCCTTGCTGGTCCATTATAGAATATACCCTCGGTGGCAATGTAAATACCATAACGGAAAGTAATGTCTGGTTAGAAGTGGAAAAGCAGGGTTTTTATTATTATTATCATCATTCATACATATAGGCACGAGCGTGAGATTAGGGCAATGTAGTACTACGTCTACTCATTATCTAGTATATAGTAGCTATATAAAGAGCGACTCGTTACTGTCCCTGACTGCTAGGCAAAGAAGACTAACAAATAGGATAGGAACATATCACTGTCTCTGGAATTCCAAAGACACACTTTAGGTCGAGTAACGCCTCTTCGCGTAGCAGCCCTCGGTGGTCTATTCTGGTACATCAGATTCGGGGAATGAATGTATTCGGCTGCACTGCTTTCCGACGATCGCCTTGGACTCGGTAGCTACTAAGGTTAGGTATCCATACACGTACCAAAAAGTTCCTAGATGGGTAGCAACTTATATCGAGTGATGATTCAGTTATGTTCTTCTCAGTCAAATGGATCTTACACTTATTCCATCCATATTATCGATTCAAGCTGTAACGTGGGTCATCAGGACGTATTATACACAATAGGAAGTTACCTAGTTACCTACCTACTAGGTAAGGTATATATGAATGTCGTTCACAGCGATGAGGATATTGGCCGAGATATATTACCTGTGATCTGGCTTCATGATCTAGACGAAATGCAACATTACCAGCGTCGCATGACATAGCGCCGTGCGAATCAGAAAATACGGCTTTCTCATTCAGCGGCCATTTAGGGTTGAAGCTCGTAATCGCCCCTGCGCAAAGAGACTTGTCTGGGATTCTGTTGCATTACTCCCTACCTTCGGGTAGATAGATATGTACGATACTTATAGCATTTTCTGAGTCAGCATATGCAACTTCTCATCCTCTCCCCAATCCCGACTTGCCATTGAAACATCTGGGGAAGAAAGGACCCTTTCTAATTAAGATCCCCGATGTCATCCCGCAGGCGCTCCGAGACTAGATTTGCTGCTAACTGGGTGGATGGGCCGAGTCGCAGCGATTTTCCTTCATGCTAACCTAACCTACGGACCTAGGCACATATCATAGGAGTGGTTACATAGTTTAGGATGTCGATATCTTGGGCCGAAAAGACATCTGCTTAGCATATACTACACTAAGGTTAGTAATTACTTAGTAGTTGAGTAGTTGACTTGCCACGGCAGGACCGGCAATGTGCTGGCAAGCTCTGATAAGCCGGAGATTGGGATATTAAACAATAGTAGACAATGCAATGCGCATAACGGTCGAACATAGGTACATACATAATACGTATTGAACAGATTTGGGCTTATCCTGGTTGTCCGAGTAGAACCCCCCTGACGGGAGGCACAAGTGGGAATTATTCAGCTACCTTACATGTCTACCTACATGTCTACCTACATGTCTACCTACATATCTAGGTTACATACCTACCTACATAGCACATACATAGCTTAGTGCATAGCGTAGGTAAGGTTAGATGATAGCAGTGGAAATAGCTTGTGGGCTGGGTCTTTGTGGCATGCTTAGGAATGAGGGGATTGTAACATTGTCAGATCATCCGTCCCCCGTTGACAACTCCGAGCCCATTAACGGTCCTCCAAGCGCGGTACCCTAAGTGGGGACTGCGGAAACGGCCTGGAGAGAGGAGAGAAGTGTCGGGAGGATGAATACCTAGTACCTACATCCCATCTTAAGGGGCGGCGGCCAATAGGGGCTAGGTGTAGTTACTATGTAGACTGCGTACAATGTGAAGAAGTATCGATACGAATGCGATGCCATGTGCCAAGTGCGTTCGAGGTAAGAACTATATTAGCATATTTGTAGTAGTACATTTCATACATGTGAATGTATGTAGACTGCGATGTGCACATGTGACTTCAAGTAATTGAGTGTAAGATGTAAATTGCATACCTACATACCTGCATCTTCAAGCAAGATAGACAGCCACGCGGATATGTATTAATTTCATTATTTTACCATTTTACCAGTTTACCATTTCTCGCATAAAATGGCAACTTCATTCGTAGAAAGAAATAATAAGTTACACGCCCAATTCGAATTGCCTAGGCATGTAGGTATGTATGTATGTATGTACATATGTAGTTATGTATGTATGGAAAATGGTTAGTGTCTAGATTAGGGAGATCGATAGACCCTAGCGAGACGAAACGTTTTAGATTCCGAGATGACTTTAAATAAAATGTACCTACACAGCCTACAGGTTTAGTGTTGAATTATGCAAACACTGTGTAATAATATGTAAAGAGAGCCTAAGCCCCTACTACTAGGTACCTAGTAGTTAAGCAGCGGCGTCGCCGTCGAGAACATCATCTATGGATATGTAAAAATGGCATGTTTCTAGCACAAATATATACAAACATATATAACTATATATATTTAGTGGCAATTAGTATTCCGCTTTGTCTTTTATACTACCTGGCCTAGTTAGTTAATACTCGACCGAGTCCGAAGTAATGCTATGAAAAATAGCAAAGGTTGAAAGATTCACTGTAACAGATTGTTGCAATAGCAGATAGCGGCATCAGCTCCAGGCCCTTTTAGACGTTCAATGTTGGCCGTAGAGGTATTAATACAGTGCATGCACAGTAACTAGACGCTAATTAATGTGGCATGCCCCTAACCTTACCCCCGGCCGGAGAGACTTCAAATCAATCATTGATCATTGATGCTCAAGTACCTATGTACTTCGTACAAGTACATGCAGTGCCTGTGTCAACGGTACAATACAATACTACCTAAGTAGTAGTAGGTACCTAAGGTTCAATAGGTATTAGGACTTCAGGAGGGTAAGTACAATACATACAGTTGGGTACAGGCTGCTGCTTATGTGCTTATGGGGGAGGCACGTTCCTGCTCATCTCTTGTGGTCCCGCTAGGCCTTGCTTGGGCCCATTCCATTTTCGACACTTTCGAGATTCACATCTTGCCATTCTCAACCGAACTAAGCTATCTTCTCGCCTTACCTTACCTACCTTATTTCCATTACAACCATCCCTCCTCTTAATTTTGACCTCCATTTCACTTCTGACATCGACTACAAATTCGAGCAATAAAGAAAGAAAGAAGAACAAAAAAATAAGAATAACATTTGAAGGGAGTTTAGGACACTCAATCAGCCCTTATCCCTCCTGTTCAATCCAATATATTGTGGTTGATCCTGTACTCTATAAACCCCCTAAGAGGAACTATTACCGCTCTGCCGCTTCTCAAATTCCATCCGAACCACATAGCCCGCCCTTGCAGACGAAACGCTCAATCGACACACAGTACCAATGCCCCGTTAAACCAACCTTGGATTCCTCTTGCATAGGTATAGCATATTCTCTACTCATCATTCATCTCCCATTCTCTCGAGTCTCTCGTCGCCTTTCTCGGCCTTCCTTCATCGTAGCCGCGTCCGCCGATCAGGACGGTTCTTAGCTTGCTCCCACCCTTGCAAACCTTAGCGTTAGATGCTACCGCAAGTCGTTTGACCTACCAATTGTGTCTTGGGGGGGGGACGCTTGTCTCATTGATCCGAAGGTACACAGATCCATCCTTGTGCCCCTTCTCCAATATTCGCGCCACTGTGATGGCCAGTACGAACATTACCTATTTCATACTACAAGCATACTACTAGTTATTCACTAGCTTTCGCTCCTTGATCATCATCACTTACCTGTCCCATTTGTTCCTATATCAAACATTACACTCCCATGATCTGGTCTTGTATGTTGTGGCGCAAATATTCCTTTATTGCCTTGTCTTCTAATTCCGCCCTAAGTTGCGAACATTTGCTTCTTATACACATTACAATAGCTAATCTCAATCCTCGTTAGGTCGAATTGTCAAAGACGCTCTGCCTTACTAGGTACCTAACAATTTACTTCCTCCACCGTGATCGACGCCCCGAGTCGGTGAAAACGCGATCATAATATATAAACTACGTCAGATGGCGGGCTATGACCCCCCACTGAGTCTTGCGGGAAGGAGAGCAAGCCTTTTAAACGGCGGCGAGGACTTGACCTTGGACACGAAGAACGGCGGTCCGGTGATTATAAATCAGAGGATGGACAAAATGATTCAGCAGCCCAGACCAAGGGGACCGCCTACGCCCAGCATGAGCACTCCTGCCCCTGATTTCGACCAGCAACTTACCGGATCTCCTCCACCACCCCCTACACCTGCGGCATCTCCAGGGCCGACCGATGCGCAACCCGATTGGAGTGATGCTGCCGATGATGAGGACTTCTTCCTTGCCCATGTGCGCCAGCACTTTAAGAATTGCTCGGGGCCGCAGCGGAATCGCATTCTCGCCGATCTATTAAACATGTGTACGACCCAGCAGCTCAGTTTCGTACATCAATTCGTGAGCCCATTACTTAAAAAGGATCCCTTCACCAGCCTGCCAGACGAATTATGCTTGCGGATATTATCTTTCATAGATGACCCACAAGTACTTGCGCGAGCATCACAGGTATCAAGACGGTGGAGGGATCTTTTGAGTGACGACGTGACGTGGAAGAATCTCTGTGTTAAACATGATTATGGTCGTCGGATGTCTGAAGTTTCCTACGGAATACCGACTCCCGCACAGAGTAGGCCTGGTGTTCTACCTCTGTCCGATCCCGAATATACTCACAGTTTCCCTGGCGCTATTCCAGGCCCATCCACGCTCCACGCAGCGTCACGCAGCTTCGACAGCTTTTCAGAAAGTGCCTCAGCTGTTGGTCGACCCAAACTTCGATCCTATAAATCTCACTTCAAGCAACGATACCTGGTTGAATCCGCGTGGAGGACCGGGGGACGCCATACTACAAGAACTATTGTCCAGGATGGTAGGGTTGTTACTAGTCTACATTTGACCCCAAAGTATATCGTTGTTGCTCTCGACAATGCGAGAATACACATATTCGATCGGGAAGGCAATGCCCTCCGCACTCTGCAAGGTCATATCATGGGTGTTTGGGCTATGGTCCCATGGGAAGATATCTTGGTTAGCGGTGGATGCGACCGCGACGTACGAGTCTGGGACATGACTTCTGGGTATGATTAATCCACCTTCGGGCATCATCTTGGTTCGCGCTGACTAGTTTTGACAGGAGGTGCCTATTTACTCTACGCGGCCATACATCGACTGTACGCTGCCTCAAGATGTCAGACGCAAACACAGCAATTTCCGGCTCGCGCGATACGACGTTGAGAGTTTGGGATATCAGGCAAGGTGTTTGCCGAAATGTGCTTGTTGGACATCAAGCAAGTGTACGATGTCTGGAGATAAAAGGCGATATTGTGGTGTCTGGGAGCTACGACGCGACGGCCAAGATATGGAGTATATCTGAAGGCAGATGTTTGCACACCCTCTCTGGCCACTTCAGTCAGATATATGCCATCGCATTCGATGGTCACAGGGTTGTTACCGGGAGCCTTGATACTAGCGTACGAGTTTGGGACGCTCATACCGGGTAAGTTGCTCTACGTGGGCTGTCTTTGCAAACATTCTATTAACACTTATAAAAGGGAGGCGATTGCCGTTCTTCAGGGCCACACTTCCCTAGTGGGCCAATTACAACTACGTGGAAACACGCTCGTCACAGGAGGTTCGGATGGATCTGTCAGGGTCTGGTCACTAGAAAAGATGTGTCCGATCCACCGGCTAGCGGCGCATGACAACAGCGTCACCAGCCTTCAGTTCGACGATACCCGTGTCGTGAGTGGTGGTAGCGATGGTAGGGTAAAGGTCTGGGACGTCAAGACCGGCCATCTTGTACGAGAATTAATCACGGCGGAGTCGGTCTGGAGAGTGGTCTTTGAGGACGAGAAATGCGTTGCTGTTGCGAATAGGGGAAGCAGAGTTATGATGGAGGTAAGATTATTTCTTTTGAGTTAAAATTGTCTGCACCCTACTCACATAAATTCCAGGTATGGTCATTCTCGCCCCCCGAGGACGCATTCTGCGAAAGACCCCTTTCCATGCCACAGAAGCTGGCCGAGCCAACACCAAATCGACCTCTAACTGGCGATTTTCGGCGCTCAGCTCTAGCTCTACCTGGCTCAGACGAAGATCCTAGTGGTGGAGATGTCGATATGAGCGACGCTGGACCATCTACCGCGCCTCTGGTTGGAAATACGACATTCTTCCACGATGACTAGAAAGGTTCATCTCAACTCCCAGGGAGATCCGTCCATACCCGACGCCAAATCTTATCCGCGTGGCGTCCCTCCACCCCTCCCTCTCTCCCTCCCCCCTGTGTTGCTTTTATACATGATTTGGTTTGTCGAAGTTCAGTGTTATTGAAACACTCTGACGCATTGCATCGTCTTGGGCGTTGACGCATTGGTGGCATTTGTATGTAAGCATTGGGTACACCGTTCTGGAAGACGGGGTGATGGGGGGTATACGCAAGAACGGGGTCAGTTGGCGAGTTATACGAGTTTTTTCGTACCCGCAGTTTTGAATCCAATATCAGGAAGGCTGGCTATATTAGCTCCCTACTTTTGGGGAGAAGAAGTCTTAGGAAAAGAATCGAAAGCGAGAAGAAAGGTTGTGGAGAGAGAGCGCATCAAGTTTGAGTATTTTCGGCTTGGTTAGTTGAGCCAGGGGGCAGAGGGTATAGATGAAATGAAGCTAGGATGGAAACGAACTGAGGAGCGAGGAAGAGACAAGGGACGGGGTAGGAAATAAGGATTGTTCGAGATAGCGGTAAGGATAATCAGCATCTTAGCATCGGATTGCGTCTGTAATACGATTCGTAGGGAAAGGTTATCGATTCTGTATTAAATTGCATCTGAGTGTGCTCGTTGAATAGGGGGTTAGGCTCAGCTTTGGCATAGAACGTGACTGAATAGATGTAACCTACTAGCGATAGGTACATAAGTAGCATTGCATCGCCCCTTTTCCCAATTGTTTTCGGTATTGTGGTTTAATTAATACCCAGGTTTAATGGAGTTGTTTATATACCAAAGCTAAGGCTGGAACTACCCCTACCTAGGTATGCTGCAAATGTGTGTGAGCTTATGGTGCCCACGTGACCACCACCACCCCCTATTCCATGTAGTAAAGCCCTTGGTAAAGGTAACACTTTCAAACGAGACAAGACAGATTATTTATTTCATACCGCGGCCTCGTCCCCAGCGATGCCCGCCCACTCGTCGGCAATAACCCTCATCTGCTCCTCGCTCCACCCCTCCTCCACGACCCCCTCCACCACCTTCCGCCGCGCCACCCGCGCCAGCTCCACCGCGGCTGCCTCGACGCCGCCCACGACCGCGCCTTCCAGCAGTGCGGCGCGTTCCGGGTTGTCGTCCGGCGAAAGGGTCAGCGCGTACTGGTGCCCGATCTCGGCGGCGTCGACGCGGTCGTCGTGGATGGAGCGCCGCAGGAGCTCGGCGGCGAGGGCGTGCGAGCCGCGCCTGACGAGGATCGCGTGCTCTTGCATGATGGCGCGGGTGCGCCACTGCCAGGATTTTATCTGCGGTTCTGGATCTTTGGGCGGGGAGGGGAAGGGGGGAGGGAGAGAAGTGGGAGAGGAGGAGGAGGAGGGAGGGAGGGTACGGAAAGATTTGGCGGCTAGTTTTAATAGCTCGAGGGCGCGGGCGTCGTCGTGGCGGGACGCGTGGCGCAGGGCGGCGAGGGTGAAGATGTCGGGGTGGTAGAACGGGTTGACGGGTTGAGCTGCCGGCCCCCCCTTTGGCTTCGGGCGCTGGGGGGAAGGGGAGATGGCGGAGACGAGGCGGTCGAGCGCGTCCCTCGCGTCCGCGAAGCGCGGGTCGTCGAGGAGCTTGGTCTTGAAGCCGAGCATCCCCAGCGCGAGCACCGAGGGCGGGTACCCCAGGACCGTCCCGCTGTGCAGGATGTGCGTCCCGATGGCGAGGGTGCGCGCGCGCTGCGTCAGCAGCAGGTTGCCCGCGTACTGCAGCGTGTACAGCGGGATCTTGCTGCCCTCCTCCTGCTGCGGTGCGGTGGAGAGGGGGAGGGAGAGGGTGCGCTGCCGCCAGCCCGACTGGTTCTGGCTGGCGATGGTGACGTAGTGCTCGCAGGCGTCGTAGCACTCCGCAGGTGTTACCTCGTTGTTGGGGACGAAGGGGGTGACGAGGCGCCGCTCCCAGAAGGAGTACGGCGGGATGTCGGCGGTGGTGAAGCGGATCTTGGCGAAGGTGTTCCGGTTGGGGGGTTCCCGGACTTTGGCTTTGATCTGGAGGGGGGTGGTGGTGGTGATGGGCCGGATGTGTGTTTTATTGCTACGGCGCAGGCCATTTAGTTGGATTTGGCTTTGGCGGCATGATGGTCTGATTAAGCGGGCGAGGTGTTGTTGGGGAGTGGTGGTAGACATGGCTGCAGTTTCACAGGTTTATCATAACCTATAGGGCCAGCCATTGACCCCTGACTCTCTCTTGGTCGTCCGCCTGCCTGTCTCTCTATCTGTCTTATAGAAGAGAAGAGATGAGTGAGCCCAGGAAGATGTGCTTCACATCAACGGCATATTCAACAACCCATGATTTCTTACTATATATTTTTATAATTGAACATTCATTCAACTTGGAAGTGAGATGAGTGAGGAAGAATGAGGATGAGTGATGAGTATATGTATGTACCTATGTACTACTAGTAGTAGGTATCCTCAAAAAGCCGACGATTTCCCGTCGCATTGTAGGTTACAACTTACAATTTTTATTATGAGCCTATCGGGGCTCTTGTTTTATCTTATCAACAAACAAACAAAAAGTATTTGGGAAGTTCTGCGACGGGCATCCTACCATACTACCGTACCATACAACTTACACAACAACTTACACAACAACATACACCATACACAGTTACACTTGATTGTTTATAATCATGGCCCCCCTCACCAGAAGTAGGGCCAATAGCCGAGCAAAAAAATCTCAAGAAAATGCAGAGACTGAAGCAAGCAATGCTTTGCTTGAAGGAGATGTAGAAGTGGAAGGAGAAGGAAAAGAAGAAACACTCAAAGACACTACCACCACTTTAAATCCAGAGCCAGAAGCCGATTCGGAAACTCCCAAGCGACAGAGACTCGCAGTTCGAACGCGCGAAGACGAAAGCACCGGCCACGGGCGGAAAACCCACATCGAAGTCGAAATATCCAACACCTCCACCTCCAAGCCCCAGACGTCTCGCAGGAGCTCTGTGCGCAACCTGCAAGACATAGAAGGAGTATCCGAATTCGAACCCATGAGCGCCTCGAAGCAGCTAGAGGACGAGGCAGACCATAGGTTATCTTCACAGCCGGCAATCCCTGAGGCGACAACCCCCATGCCAAAACCCGTTGCCAAAGGAAAGCACCTTGTCTTTGGCGACGATGCCGATGTAGAGAAGTTTGTCGCGGCAGCAGCTACAATAGAACCAAAAAAGAACATAAACGATAAGGGTGACGAAGCGGATAGCAACAGCGACGACGATGACGATGCGCCTGAAGCCGTGTCCACCCAGGCCGCCGCGAAACAAGTACTACAGGCCACTCAGGCAGCTACAGAGGCAGCCGACAAGTAAGCATCTCACTTCAAACCCACCTAAAATAATCTCTAGCAGCCCTCCCTAATCTTCTCTCTCCAGACAAGCGGCATCTCTCAAGCGCAAGCGCCAGGAAAAAGACAGCCTCTACAAGCAACAAGCCGAGCGCCGGAAGCGCGCCCGCGCAACCGTAGAGCTCCACCAGCGGAAGCGTACCAGTACCAAGAGAACCGGCACCGGCTCCGGCAACGAGGATGACGGCGTAGCCGAGGTCGAGGAGGCCGTCACCACCGGCCGCCGCCGCGCGCAAAAGTTCCACCTCCCCACCGCCCTCCCCGCCGAATTCCTCGCCGACTCCTCCAGCGACGAAGACGAGGACGCAGAATCCGCGCTCAAGAAGCAGCAGAAGAAAGCCGCGGCCCTCGTCAGCAAGCCGCAGAAGATCAACTTCGAGGCGCTGGCCAGTGGTGGCAGCAGCAAGAACCCACGCGACAAGACCGTGGGCGCGACGCGGTACAGGGTCCTGGCGGAGCAGGGGGACCCGCTGGTGTTGGCGCCGAGGTCCCATAGGGATGCAAGGGTGTCGAAGGAGAGTCTGTTGAAGAGGAGGAGGGTTACTGCTGCGGCGGCGGGGGTGGTGGCGGGGAAGAGGACGGGTGGTGGGGGGAGGTTTTTTGTTAGGAAATAGAAAGAGAGAGAGAGAGAGAGAGAGAGAGAGAGAGGAAGGGAGGTTACGAATATACCTTGTACATCCATGTGTCTTTATTTGCGTGTGTATGTGTGTATGTATGTGTGTATGTGTGTATGTGTGTGTAAAATGAGGGTTGAGGTAGAAGATGAGAGGGACGGGAGGTCTCTTGTTCCTACATAAATCGCTCCCCTCTTTCCCCCGTGAATGAGGCAAGCAAAAGCAAAGCAAGTTTTTGCCAGAGACGATCAATCGGGATACACGAAAGAAGCACGATGGAGGAACAGTAAATTAATTATATACCTAGTTACTTAGCTGCCTTAGTTACATATCGCAGTGGATATATCTCTCCGTCTGTGCTTGGGAGTCCTTAGTATGCTCATAGGTAGGTAGGTAGCTAGTACTACGATACCTAATCACTCACTATCACAAGCACCACACACACGTAAAGCATACAATCACATAAAGGGCACATGTACGTAGGTAAGTAAACATAGATCAACACTAGGTACTAAACAAACATACTGGAGATACATACATACAAGGGTCGTTAATTGTGCATAGATAGGTAGGTGTTACTGTACAACGCTTTGCCTGCCATCGCTTTTCAAGGAATCAGATATATCAAGCCAGGGAAGAAAAGGAGAGAGAGACAGGTAGGTAGGTAAAAGCAGTTACTACCTAGTTATATAAGACGCAAGAGAAAAAAAAGAAGTCAAAAAGGGGGGTGGGTAAGTTAGATGTTACTCCGAAGAACTCCTCTCCTTTCCTCCCCCTTAAATTTCATCCATCCATTCCATTCCTGGTTTGTTAGCAAATAGCGATGATAATACAGAAATTTGTCAATCACCAACCCACCAGTCCTTTGACCTCCGCGGCCCATTCTCCCTCCCTTTCCTTTCCCATCGAGTACACTCAACGTACAATTGGTATTCCATTCTTGGAAAAAAAAAATTCAACCATCAAAAATAACAACAACGAACCAATCCTAAGTTATGCTTTTTTCTTTTCTTCTCTTCTCTTTCTTCCGATAACCAACAAAAACCTAGTCTGAGTAGGTAGCCAAAGCATTTGCAGACGTCGATGGCTATTCGACCGCTACTCGATGTATAGCATGAACGCTGGACGAGAAATAGGCAGATGGGATGAGTGAGTGAGTTGGTTGCTTGCTTTGTGCGTGGGCATTTGCATTTGCGTAGGGAGATAGGCAGGTAACGTAACAGAAACATAAAGAATAAAATTCCGAAGTGGTATCTTTAGATCATAAAAGTTGGAATCTCCAAGTCAAAAAAAGGGTTCCAGTGATGCGACTAGAAACCAACAAGAGGGTGACGTTTCCAAAAAAAAAAAGGAGGCAAAAGTAGAAATAGATGTAATATATAGGTATAGATAGTCCAGGAGGTAAGTCTCCCCGAGATAAAACAGAAAAATTATTCGTTCAAAACATGGTCCCGTAGAGATCGTTGGTCTATTTGGATATCAAGATGCCCAGGATATATATGGGTTTTTTTTTTCGAGGTTTTGTTTAGATATGAAGATGAGCAGGAGGGAGAGTTACGTCCTTCATGCCTCTTCAATGATCCCTTCCCCGCTTCCCTCTTCTCTCCATTCACGGCTCTTGTCTGTCAACTTCTTCACACCGCTTACACGACCCGCCCATAAGCTTTCGACTGCTGTTCGGAATGTAAAGGCTCGCTGGCTGCTGATGACACCGATAGCTTGCAGGACAGCCTTGCGACTGTCGCGTCCAAACACCGCCGGATGGCTGATCCACTCCAAGCTGGCTTCTAGTTCAGCATCAAGAGCGGCAACGGTGCCAACGTCGACACCGGCCGAGTTGCCCAGCGTTAACCCATCGGTTGATCGGGTTCGTGGGAGCGGTGGTGGGAAACCGTTGGCGCCCGAGTGTGCCGAGGCAGTCGGAGATGGCGTACGCTTTCGATCCGGGGTCGCCGAAATGGGAGAAGCATCCGATCCCGGTTGTGGGGTAGAAGGGCTCGATTTGCTACCAGGGATTGGTGGAAGAGGGATAAGAGGGACAGGTGGGAGGCCGCCTTTGCCTAGACCCTTCAAGATGGATCGAGTTTCGTTGAGGAGGGTGTGCGCGCGATCATGTTGACCTCGCGAGACTAATGTCAATGCTCGGGTGAGCATGTCGGAGGTGAGAAGCTCCATTCGTCGTTGGACAATATGTGGGTGGGGAGGAATAGGGGGGTTATTCTGCCATGAAAGCTTCTTGGAACTGCCTGGTGCAGGTAGCATTGTGATGGCAAGTAATGATGGCCTAGGAAGATGCATCATGGTGCCATCTCGCAGTATGTCGCCCCAAACTAGGTCTGCTTGGATCAGCGGCAACTCTTCGACCGAAAGAGTCCTCTGGTCGTCGTGTTCCACAGATCCTCCTAATGCTTCCAATCCAGATACGATTGTCTCCCACGGGTCTTGCGGTAGTTGCTCTTGGGATGTTGTGTCAGGGGCAATAACAAGCTGGACTAGGATATCTCGTTTATCGCCAAATCTAAGATCGCCTAGCGAAGCTTCAGCGTCACGGCCGGTGGCCCGCTTGGTGATCTGCAACGCTCCGCTGATCTTGTGGAATCTTGCAGGAGAGCCTTCTGGTAGTCTAAGCTTCAGTTTGACGTTTTGATGAGACAAAGACTGGACCGATCCTAGACACCCAGCTAAACACTCGCGCAGCATCATCCAGTCCTTTACGTACGTGTACGATGCCTTCGTACGCGAAGATAATTCAATCATAGTGTCTGGCTTGTGAGTCATTCCAAGGCCGAATGAGTGAATTGTAATTCTACAATTCATTAGTATATCAATGATGATGATAGGAGAGAGCAATGGTGGCAAGGAAATAACTTACTTGGCGGCTTCCGCTCGCGAAACAACAAAATCGACACTATCAGCATCGGATGTCGAAGCGTCGCTAATGAGCATGATGGTAGCGATCGGATTGTTATACTTGCGCTGCATGAGCAGATCCATGGCAACGTTTGCGCCCTCAACAACATCCGCGCGGTGGCTCTTCTGTCCTACGGGTTTGATGGAGGCTAGCACGTTGTTCCATCCGTGCCACGACTTAGTAGTCATGCCTACGATGGGAACACCACCTCCTCCCGAACCGAAGGTGACGAGACCCATACGATCACGTTCGCCCAAAGTTTGAACCATGAACTTCAAGGCATCCCTCACAAGGTTGATCTTGACACCCTGCATCGAAGAAGAGATGGGCACAACAACGACAACATCGATCGGTACGTGGACAGAGGAAAGAAGCGGGCTCTTAGTGAAAGTGGTGTACTCGGTAGCGGCTGTTGTCGCAGATTTGGGCCCAGCATACGAAGAGGCTACAGAAGAGACTCGCTGTGGTCGACCTCCTCTCCCCCATTCATCTTCTTCGTTCTCCGAGATCTCGTGTCGGTCATAATCTGGGCCTCTGACCGGAGACCCCTCAACAGCATTGAGATCAAGAAGAGCCTGCTGCCAAAGTTTCAGCTGGTTTCTGTTGTCGAAACGTAGATGAAATTGTGGCAGTTCGGCAACAGAGAGGCTGAGAGTGAGTATATTCTCATCGACTGCGGGCGAAAACGAATTAGTTAGTTTTTGTAAACACATAAGACTCGGCCACTTACCCATACCAGTTTCTGTCACCTCGTTAAGATGTTTCTTGATAAGAATAGAGCCCTTTAAAGTGCACCGTGTCGCTTTGCGTAGCATGCCATTTTCATCCCATTGTTGTTGTTGCGCCGCCTGCGCATTCTTCTTCTCTTTTACGCAAATGAGCATTTCCGCAAAGAGATAGCATTCGAGTTCCTGCCATGAGATTCTATCCTTGCCAACCTTCAAAGTGCCGTAGAGTCGAAGCTTTCCAAATCTATATCACACTGGTCAGATACTTGCGATAAATAGTAACGAACAGAAATACGCACCTGTTGAAATCAAGTCCATGCCAATTATCGACCCGGTTTCGCAGATTCTCAGTCATCTCCTCTAAGACCTCTGGTGGTTCGTATGGATAGAAGCGCGGCCGAGAACTCCTCGCAGGAGATGGTGGTCTTTGGGTGAAAGCCTCCTCCACGCGCGCCTGCGGTGTCTGGCTCACGACGCCTAGATCCTCAGGATCTGGTCTCCATTTGTTGTCGGCGACTTCCACAGTGACAAGGCACGTTAAAGTCTGCTGCTGTCGAGATCGCGTAATCGTCGGGAATTCAGACCGAACCACAACGGATGGTGGTGGAATTGGGTTACGGGCCATAGCTCGTGGGCTACCTGGTGTTGTCTCCATAGCTTGGACATCGTAGTCATGTCGGCGCGGGGGACCACTCTGTGCTGTTTCGGGATAGCCTGTTGATGAGGCGACACCGGTCGCTTCGCTATCGCTACGACCATGTCTATGCGCTGCTACGTACCGATCCGTATTGGGTTGTTCTCGACTATCTCGGCTATCTCTGAGACTCCCACGGGCCACGCTCTCACGACCACTATTACTCGGAGCATGACTCCTAGCATTAGACTCGCCGCTAGGCGGTCGACCACCCTGATTATCCCAAGCATTACTTGTCTGTGTCGGTGTAGTAATTGATCTACTATCACCGGAAGATGCTGATCGCACTATGTTCGTTATTTTCTCTGCGTGGGAAGTCATATTAGCATACTTATCCTCAGCTGTTTTTTTATTTCATTGAGGCCTTACCAATATCTAGAACGTTACCTCCACGAGTGGTGTCCAGATGTAATGGCGCATTGCATGATGGGCAGTACTGTGACTCGAATTCACGTATAAACTCGTAGAAGCATGCTTCGTGGGAGACGTGTTGACACGAAAACTGTAAAATCCTCTCGCCGCGTAACGTATGTTCCAATGGCTCTTCACAGACGGCACATTCACTCCCCACAAAGGTTCTCTCCCTCCGCGTACGATTCCTCTCTGAATTCATCGTGCCTGTCAAGTCGTTTTGGCGTATGGTATCTCTAGAAGCGGAAGAGCTTACGGAAGCGCCGGAGCGATGCGATGGCGCACGCTGCGGCTGCGACAGTGGTGACGAGCGGTGGCTTGCAGCGCTGATGGAATGATCTAATAGTAATGTAGAGTTAGCCAACGATTTCGCCCGAGGGTGGCGCGTCGTGTAGTCTAGTGTAGCGGTTGACGGAGTAGGAATACACCAGGCGACCAAGACTTACTCTTCTCGGGGTAAGATGGAGCGCTGCGCAAACTACGCCAGTCGCTTTCCTCGTCGTCGTCTTTCCTCCGGAGTGAACGCAATGAACGCAAATCAGCTCCGGGTCTTAGTGGACCTCGTTCAAACAAATTCGATATCTGACGGTCGCGAAACCTGCGTTCTTTTGAACCGCTTGCGCTAGAAATACCGTGTGATTTGGACGATGATCGACTAAACATGAGCGACGTAGAGTTGCGTGAATCTGTAGGTGGCTAGATAAATACCTACTACGTAGGTATGTATTATGTGAAGTAAACGTCGTCAAGGCTTAGTATTGCTTAGTATAGGCTAGCATGTACAGCCTAGTACATATGTAGCTGACAAGACGGAAGGGCAGTGCTATGTAGCTAGTGAAAGGCAAATGTAAGGCCAATGTAAGGCAAATGCGAGCAAGTTGCGAAGTCCGGTGAATGGATGTGGATGGATTGCGGATGGATGCAGAAGGATGCGTCGGCAAGTCTTCCGTTTTAGAGTTCAACGGTTCCTGTTTATGGCTGACTGTGACGAATTTGTACTGATGGACTGTTTCAAGTTGGTGGTATAAATTATGCTTATGCTTGCGACGGGAAGGAGGTAGGCTGAATAACGATATGAATAAGGGCTCCTGAAACTGAAACTACCTAAGTTGGTAAAGTTGGTAGACGGGTCGGGTCGTAGAAGTTTAATGTGGTATGGTGTGTCAACGGTATTCGGTATTGTCTCCAAGTATTATGAAGTATATGATCCTGATCAATCAAGTAACCCGAATTTTGTCAATCGTTTCCTAGATCTCTCTCTCTCTATCTCTCTTGTCTCTCTTGTCTCTCTTCTTTCTCTTTACAACCTAGGTTTAGGTATAGGTATAATAGCAGCAACGATTCTCGTATGGCGTATATCGTAAGTGGATGTGGGTATAGTTAATCGAAGAAAAGACTAATTGGATTGCCTCGTTAAGTTGCCTTGTTGAGTAGAAGATAACCTTGAAAGTTAAGCAAGGAATTAGGCAATATAGGAGAAAAGAAGAAAATGAGAGAAAAAGGACCAAGCCAGTAGGTATTGAAAGACGATCTTCGGTAGGAAGTAATAGACGAGAGATAATAATCTCCAAAATCGTGTCGCTGGGACCCCCAATAATAAAATGGCAGTTAATGGTCCAACTTTTGGTGCCCAATGGCAAAACCGCTTCCTAGGCAAATCCCCTTCCCTGTCCTGTAATTGACGAAAGGGGCACCGTCGATAATAGTTCCAAGCCTGCTACTGTTATTTTTAACAGGCAGCCTTGTCTAGTCCGTCAAATAGACGAAACAGTAGCAGAGAAAAAGCAAGTGAAAGTATTGAAAAAGAAGGGTTCCCGTTTCAAAAGTTGAACTTCAATTCTTCAATTCTTCTCTTTACTCTTCTCTTCTCTTTACTTTTAATTTTATTTTCTTCTTCTTTTCCAAAAAAAACCCTTCCCTTCCCCAGGCTTAGCCAAGGAAATGAAGCCCTTAGCTCGGAGCGCAGAATAGATAGATCTTATCTGCTTGCTCCAGGCTGTATTCGATTCCCGCTTAAAGTGACGATCAGTTTTTTATAGGTACCGTTCGCATTTAAAAATAATGAGAACGATTGTTGACGGCTCTGATGAAAAAAGGGAATGACGTGGCCATCATTGGGGGGAAAGGTCGTCAAGCTGTCCAAGTTCGATACTATGAAGCCAAAGTCGGAGATTACTTTTTTTTTTAAATAAAATAAAAAAAGCTTCAGAAAAGGACGGCACGGATGGTGAATGGGAAAAGGGAAAAAAGACAAAAGGTACTACTAGGTAGGTAACCAGACAGAGAGTAAGGGTAGTTGAGATGGGGGCCATAAGGGATCAAGTACATACCTACCTACATCCATGCAATCATGGATGGTCAATTATGTATTATCATAAACGAGATGATATTACCACGGTACTGTAATACTACTATGTACATATGCAGTGCTCGTTGGAGATCCCCCTCCTCGGGGCAAGGTAATACATACAATACATACCTCCAGTGCTAATGCCTAGCCCTCTTGTCATGTACCTCACAGTTCCTTACGAAGACGGGGAAGAGGGACTAGCTGCGTACTCCGCGTGTAGTTGACATGTACACAACCTACATTGCATGTACATGCAATCTAAAAGATGAGGTGGATCCGTACCTACTATTCCTACTAGCTATTCCTACTAGGTACCTAATATTATATTGAGGTACGCAGGTGGATACAGACCTATTGGTATAGATACAATACTAGGTAATAAGTACATAATGTAATATCTTCAGCGCTACATTATGAACATAATTCTCAGTGACTGACTGGATTATGGATATCTGAAGCTGGTTCCGGACACTCCAGACACATTTGGTAGATTGGCAATGGTTCGTACATAGTTCCATCCCGCACGATGCAAGAACCACAATGCCGGATACGATTTTTAAAGAATGAGGTCCATTTTCCCCTCGCCTATCAAACCGGCCTCGTGGTATGGGGTTCATAATAAGACCGCTTGGAAATCTGGATGAGGGTCCGAGTTGAGGGACTAAAGTGGGCGACGAACTATTACGGTATTACCAGCTGGAGACTTGAGTACCCTATCTAGAGATATGTAGGACCATTGTAGGTATGTTAGGTACATAACTACACTAGGTACATGCTATGTAGTATTATACAAGCTCAAATGTTGCAAGTTGCAGTGCTTCATGCGATAGGAGTTTTCTTCATCCTTGTCGACAGGGGAACACTCACTTATGTACGGAGTAGATCCTTGTTTCCAACCATTTTGCAGTCCGTGTCCATGGATGCAAGAAGTTAACTCTCCGCCATGTTACCATAGTAGTACTAACTACGTAAGGAGATATTCAAGGGTTTCCTTGCTTCAATTGGTAACTACATACCAACTGCTATGTATGTAACTACTAACTAGTTTTTAGTTACTGCATAGTTAGGTATTACAACTTGAACAATTCGAGCTTATGTATAATATCTCTAGGCTTCCACGCATTAAAGCACTGAACTTTCACGATAGTTACTTACTATACATTGTAGGTCTAATAAATAATATATTACCTACCCACTTCGCATCTCCTACTTATGTAGATATTTAACTAGCTGTTTGAATCTGTCGTCAAACTAAACCTATAATTAAGATGAGAAAGCCGTTCACCAATCTCTGCTCAACCATTTCTTCCGGCCGTTAGCTTTTGTATACTAACCTACATGTAGGTAGCTAGTAGGCTGCAGGCATCTGCCAAATGCCCAGCAATAACTAGAATCCGCTCTAAAAAGGGCGCTAGCACTAGTAGCTCCCCCAGTCGTTCAAAGAGCTTCAATTGATGTGCCAAGGCTTCGGAATAGCATCAATTGACGTGAGCTAAACCACTAGGTTGGAAAGCTTCTTTATCGTCGACTTATCATAGATTCGTAGCTTCAAATAGTAGTTTCAGGTTAAGATGTCCCGTAATAAAAAAAAAATTCGAGGAATGTCAAAGCGGTATTAATAAGAGGCCAACGGTTGACCTTTAAGGCTCTAACAAGTAGCCAGTAACACTCGCCACAATCGTATGAATTACACAATAATTAGGGCTTCGCCTACATATACTCCATTATCATCACCTTACATACATAAATCATTAAGTTGCCTTACTACATACTACTAGTATCTATACCTAGTACCTGTCTGCATTTCTATCATATTCAATGTTATCACCGTCAAAGCGAAATGCCGGGAGCTAGTTTATCTACGTACTACTACCTAGTAGTATACGCACTACATAAGACACCCCGCCATTACCTCGTACTAGGTAGGCTGCTACATACATAGTACGGTGTTACTGGCAGCGGTATGCGAAACTTCCAAGGTTGTCATCCAATATTGTGAGACGCCCCAGCCGTAGGGCTTTAGGATCAGCAGGCAGAAGCTCAACTTAAGGCATACCATACACACTACCTATATACATAATATAATCAATGTCATCGATACATATAATTCATCGCCACACTTGCCAGACATGACTAAAATATCACATTCGAGACAACATTGAAGACAGTCACCTACTGGTATACCCAGGTAGGTTGGAGAGTATTCAACCTACACGCAGAGGGCGGTATCACATCCTAACGAGTCAACATATCTGTCCCGCACTACGGCATGGCAATGTCATTGGTGGGTATGCATTATCTGGGCATTCTAACCTAGGTGCATTATAACTAGGTGCTATTGACATCCGCCTTACGATACGATAGGCGGGAATGGTGTGTTACGTAGTTAATATATTGAACAATCTCACATCAGCAGCTTATGGGGAAAGACATACAGTTACGCCAATGAGGGCAGTACGAGGTTTGGCGCCAACGAACCTATCGGCAGTGGAGTTACGAATGACACGGCATTCAGCTCAGGAGAGCATACACATACTTAATTGAGGGGAGACGCAAATCTCGTTTTCCATCCAGTCCCCTTCCAAATATTCAAGCTTTGTCGGCAGAAACACCTGCCTTTCGCCGCGTACCGAGATTATCTCCACCTTTGCGTTGAGGCTCTTCATACTATGTATGTACAGTATGTATGGTATCCAGACAGATGTATGGTATCCAGACAGATGTATGGTATCCAGACAGAAAAGTCTAGACATGAAGCAAATGCCAAGCTACGTCTTTTCAGGCCAACTACCGAAATCATAATACCTCGTTATCCACGTGGCGGGGACCAGGGAATTTATCTGACTGGTAGA